AAATAAATAAAAATATATATATAAATATATCATGCGTGTGCGTGAACATTTGCAAAATTTCGTGCGCAAAGCGAGAGCTTGCTGGCTTAGACGGCGAGGACATGCAGGGCCAGGAATCTGCTATTGAAACGCCTGCCCGCCTTGAAGTTTTCACAGAGACCCCTACACCCATCAAGAAAATTGATCCGATTCGATTTTGGGGGTTTGCGCCCTGATGCTGAGACTCTGGCAGCTACTCCTGAGAAGGTGAAAAACTTCTTGGAACAGGTGGCCAAGAAGTTGGGGTCCCAAATGATGCACGTAAAACATTAAGTTAATGATCTGATGCATATGTGCATGCATGCACTGATTTTGCATTGTGCATGTGTATTTCAACATGAATTTGCATTTATGGGCCCCCATTTCATGACAGAAGCCAACTAAACAAGTGACAATTGTCCAGCGCTGGTCTGGGCCCCCAATCCGCGGAAAATGATCTTTTGGAGCCTGCGATGTCTCCGTGCACGCGTGACGAGCGCGCTGGCAGCAAAGCAGTCACTTACAAGTCCACATGCAAGCTCATGATTCTACAGCACCTACTCTATTAAAGTTAACGGCCGTACTAATCAGGGGTGGCTCCCGCTTTAGTAGGGAAACAATGCACTGACCAAGACTAGAGCTTCCCTCTTTGCCCCAGCGCCTGTGTACACAAGCGCAAAGCCTCGCACGCCTCCTAAGAATAGCTCGGTCAGCAGCATGGAAGCTTCACCGCTGGGCTTACTGACAGTGAACATTTTGGTTGATTGCAGAGTAGCCTGGCGGCAAAGCAGCCACTTACAAGACCACAACTTACAAGTCCACAAGCTATCTTGGAAGCTCCTGAGCAAACTCTGTGTCGCCTACTCTATTCATGTTAACCTCGGATTAACCTGGAGGGCCGCACTTACTAATTAGGGGTGGATCCCGTTTTAGTAGGGAAACGACTGGATCCTTCAGAGTAATCCAAAGTTGACAGTAGTAACTCTGCAAAGTCATTAACTGGACCAAACCTTATAGAGCTTCCAAGCAGCGTCTGTCCACACAAGCGCGCAAAGCCTTGCAGAGTCGGCTACGCCCCTCCTAACAATAGTTCGGTCAGCAACATGGAAGCTTCACCGCTGGGCTTACTGAAAGTGAACATTTTTGTTGTTTGTTGGAAAGACACTCAGCATTGCAAAAGAGAGACCGTGTAGCCTGAGCCTACATCAGATCACTGGGCCGCATGGGGCCGCAAGGCCGCATGGGGCCGCGAAGCCGCCGAGCCGCCAAATCTTCACCGCCAGCTGTTCTCCTGGGCCTGCTGCCACACGTCCGGAGGAACGCTGCCAGTCTCGCCAGCTCGATGCACGTCATCCACCTTGGCTGCGAAACACGACTCATTGGGAGGCCCAGCCCCAGCGTACCGGCATGAAGGGAAGTTGAAAAGGCTGGAGTGACACCTGTTTGAGCTAAGTGGTTACAGTGGCGCCAGCAAGGTCGGGGCTTGATTGGAGGCACCCAGCTCGCAGGCGGGAAGTCGCTTAAACTGCCTAGTTCTGATACGGGTGCCTCATCTTCATGCAGGCTGTGCGAAGCGTTCTTCAGCTTTTGTTCTTGGCTATGGGCCTACGAAACACACTGGGAATGGACAAATCAGGGCCCCCCAACTTTCTTCAGCTGCGATGTTTGTTTTTTTCGGGAACGGACCATTGATTAATGCACATTTTACTTCGGGTCTTAGCGGATCTCCCTAAAAGTTGCAACAACAAACGAAGGGGCTTGAAACACATGCGGCCAAATAGTGGCAGCCCAGCAGCGCTGTACTTCACTCCCCTCTGAGGGAACCGTAAAACTTGGTCCACAGCTTTCGGCCACCGCACGCACTTGGCCAGCACTAAACATTTAATGACATTCTGCATGCATTTGTGCACACGGCATGTTTCGATTTTCAAACCAACACTACTCGAGGAAGGTGAACGTGGAGTTTGCTGAAAAGCTTCGTGAGATTGAGAGGGCGCCGCAACCTCCGATGGTGCAAAGAAAAAGAAGGCAGTGGCCAAGAAGAAATCTAAGAAGAAGGCGGATAGAAAGCGGACAAGTGAGCGATCATCGCCTGGCCGAGGGCTTGTGTGGTCGGTCAACCAGCTTGCGCGGGCAGGCTCAGGCGTAGAGTGACCCCTTTGCACACGCAAGTGCCTTTGGCCATGCTGGTGCAAATTCATTTCGGGGGCATGGTGTCAAGCACCATCGATCATTCAGCTGCGCATAGTTGCCTATAGTGCAACGGTATTACCACTGCTGAGTGCGACGGGAAAAAACAAAAGCCTTGGGGTTGAAACACTTCAAACACAAATGCATTTGCATGCATGCTACGTGCTTGATGGGAACGGCCCGGCTTGAGCCCCCTTGCGCAGGTGGATCATCGAAGCTGGCGCCCGTGCAGAAGGCAGTGGCTGATGCAATCGGCACCGGTGTGCCTGGTCTGCACATATCATGCACGTGCTTTTTGCATATGGGTATATGCAGCATGTACATCATTCATTTCACACATGCAGTCACACATGATATGTGTTTGCATGTGTCGCTTGAGTATGGTAGCACACGCATGCATGCATTTGGTTTTCCTCAGGTCAATACGCGGGTTGCCTGCAACCTGGCCGCGGCCTTCATGCAAGAATATGGTGATGCGCACCCTGGGCATGCTAAGCTGAAGAGCTCGCGCCTGCTCTTGCACAGGCAGCGCTTGCGGAAAACACAGAAGGAGAGAAACCCCCGTTTGTTGATCGACGAGGATTTGCAAGCCCCGTGCCCCATCACCCTGGCGGAAATCGGCCTCAAGGAGCAGCACCCGATTCTCCAGGTTGAGGACTTCCTGCGTATGCTTTCGGACACAAACAACTTGTCTTGGCTGACGGGTGGCCGTGGTTTTGAAGCATGTGCGACATTTTGGGAGGGTTACCATCATGAAGATTGCAATCATCCAGCTTTTTCTGTACATGGGGGGGCGCCTAGCCCAGGTGGTGCCAGTATACATTTTTGGAGATGAGGGAACGAGCCATAAAAGAAATCAATTGTTGGTGGTGAGCGTTCAGCCAGATCAACATCATGCGGACGATCTCCAGGTCAACATGTTGGGCGTAAGCATCAAAACGCGTTTTTTGTACACGGCGCTGATGGCCCGCCGGCTTTACCAAAGGAAGCCTGTATTTGATTCTTTGAGGGAGGTGTTGGCCACAGAGCTGGTAACGGCCTGGAACATGGTGGAAAGCCGTTGGTTTTGTACCCGACTGGCCGACGCTAAAGAAAATGGGGTCGTTGAAACGTAGCCATCATGGCGGAAAGGCTGAAGCAGAGAAAGGGAAAGGCGTTTGCCATCTTTGTATGGCTGGCACTGCAGAGTTTCCCGACTGGCATGATGTCATTAATGGCAGTTGGATGTGCAACCGGTCGATACGCGATCCAGACGTGCGGTGGTTGGAGGAGACACCGCTGACTGCTACCATCCCTCAATCAGTGACCGTGCAGCAACAGGTTTGGTTTTATCGGTCTGATCTATTCCATACCTGCCACAAGGGCTTGATGGCCGAGCTTGCTGGTAGTGCTTTGGCCGCTGGGCAAAAAAGCAGTGCACGTATGTGTTCAAACAGGCTTTTGTTCTTCCAGTCGATCCACTTTTTTGTTGATCACCCAGTCCAGCCCATCCCTTTTTCCAGTCCTCAGCATCGGCTGCAAGGTGAGCATGTTGGACTTGAACCTCGATGCGGGCGGTACCAACCTCTAGCTCTAGCTCAGGCTGTGGTACCCCAGACCCAATTTCCGATTTTGAAAAAAAAGCAACAGGGACATAGCCGGAATCACAAAACAACATGTTCACAATGATCCTTCATCTCCAAGTAAAGGCTGTGAAGCCTGTCCGGGATGTTCCCAGCACCGTTAGCTGGAACCCTGCCATAGGCTCGGGATTTTGTCGAGATGAAACCCGTGTGAGATTCTTTTGGCTATAGGGGACTTTTGGTGGCTAAGGGGCTGGTTCAAGGGCGCTGACACACGTGCAGCCCTTCACTTTTTGGAGCACAAGTACAATGACATCTTGCAAGATGGTCTTGATGGGGACCTACAAAATGCAAAGGGCTTCCTCACCAACGTCTGGAGGGCTGTGCGCAATGCAAATCAGCTTCTTGGGAAACTCTACCGTGCTCCGTCATCTTATCACAGCAGCTGTCTGCAGAGATTTCCAAAAATGGGCACAAGTTGGTCGCTAGATACCTGGCGGTTGCTACAGAGGCTCATTCTATGAAGGTGGATGTGCGATCGGTGCATATTCAAACGATAAGGCGGATCCTAGTTTCGCTTCGTCAGCACATTTGATCTGAGAGCGCGGCGTGAAGATCAAAAAGAATCGATCGGGGGCACACTTGAGCCAAAATGATGATCGAGTTTGTGAAATACACTCATCATGTACACATATAGCATATTTGCCCCCAAAACTCCCAAAACCAAAATATGCCACAGTGGCATGGTGGCAGGAATGCTTACCACTGTGATCAGTGGCAAGTATTTTGATACACTAGGATTCCCAGGAAAGTGTTTAACGTCCAGCAACTGGTGTGAGAAAACAAATTGTCCTTTTGACACCCCGAAAAAAATTGGGCATTGAGCCCTGTTGCTTACCAAAAACACGGTTGTCCAACCACAGGCTTCGTTTTCCTTTTGAAAACCTTGCGCTTGTCCAACCACAAAGCTGTCTTTCGACCCCCAGCTCCCGTCTTGGTTCATGGGTCCCACAACAAGAACAGCTGGTCGGGAAAACCGGGCCCCAGAGTCGGCCCCCGCGGCAAAACGAAGAAGAGATGTGTCACTTTCAGCAAAACGGGGGAAGAACGCAAAACTGTCAGATGCGCAAAGCCCTTTTCGCCGCGCTTTGCGGGGTGGGGGGGGGGAAGGGGGCCCTCCCACCGCGAGAGAGACGACGAGACGACGAGCGTCGTCGAAGCTCGTCGCTCCTCCACGGTGCGCACGCAATGGCGTGCCGCCAGGCCATGTTCGGGCAGCTCCATGTCCTGGGGCTGCCCCCGTAACCTCCAAATACCCCGCTTTTCTCCTTTTCAGTTGGTATCATGTCGACCCTCTGCTGAGAAAGGGATCGGTATTTACCGAGGAAAACCGATCGGTTATCTCAAAAATGCCAACTGAAAAAAGCGGGTATTTGGAGTAGGGGCTAGGAAACCAAACCAACCAACTAACCCAGAGGCTGCGGCGCCGTCTGAGAAACCTGGATCCACAGCAAGGACTGCATTTTCCAGCTACTTCTGCCAAATTATTGGCTACTACCCCCTACTCCAAGCACCCGCTGTTTTCAGTTGGCATTTTTGGGAAAACCTGGTTTTCGTGGTAAATACCGATCCCTTTTTAGTAGAGGGCCGACATCATACCCTGAAAAAGGTGGGTATTGGATGTAGGGGGAACACAACCCTAACTGAGAGGGTGCTGCGGCGGTATCTTCTAGGTCCTTTAGTAGAGAGGTTAGAATAAGGGTACCAACTTTTTTCTGTAGTCTATTTTAGTAGGGGAACCCTCCCCCAAAAAAGGGTAAAAGGGCCGGTATCTTAGAAACCTGGATCCCAGTTGCATTTCTTTATTTTCCAGCTACTTCTGGCCCAAATTATGGGTAGAAAAGTGTTAGTCGGGGTTTCAGGAGTTTACTGGAAAACCCCTTGATTTCCCAAAAAGCTAAAGTCTAAAGATCCAACCCAATAGCAGTCAAGCAAACATTGGATTTCTGGTCCGGGTCCTGTTTGAGACAATATTGAAAGCCTATCATTAGAACGGAGCTGCCCACTTTTTATCCAAGCTTAGTCTTGAAACAGGGGTACATGATTAGTAATGAATTACATGTGCCCCTGCTAAAAGCTTAACTTTTAGTGGTTGTTTTCCATTTGGCAAAAAGTTAAAGTCCTCACATCCAAGCGAAACCCCCGGTTTATTGATATGGGGGTGCTTTTCCAACTGGTTTTAGTGGGGATTCAGACCACTTTTGGAGGCGGCCCCCACCCCCCTATTAATACACTGGGGTTGATGAAAATGCACCAAAGGTTTGGTTTGGTAGGCCAAAAGCCCTAGCCCCTTACATCTCCAAATGCCTCAATTGCAATAGCCTCTTGCTGGGAAGGGGAGAAGCGTCCATACCCCGAAAGGCCTTGGGCCGTAACAAAAAGAACCCCCAAAACCTCCAAATTCCCAAGCGGGCGGTTTGAGTAGGGGGCTGTATTGGTTTCAATACTGTGGATGGTTGTGCGAAATCCGCTTCTCGCACCACTTGGAAGCCTTCTTAGGTGCGAAATGGATTTCGTCCATCCACAGTCGGGGGCTTACATCAACCCCTGACTAAACTTACATCCCATCGAGTGGCTTGGCAGCAAAAAACCAGCCCGATTGTGTCTACCATAAAATGCTCTGCATAAGTACGTCCAGGAGCTCAGGGAGTAGGACAAGCCTGGTATTCACAGCTAAAACAGCAAGCACGCAAGACTGAAGATTCATGTTGACTCAGGATTAATAAATCCATCCCATTATTAGGGGGGTGTTCCCTCCAAAAGTGATGAATCCCCACTAAATGGGAACACCCCCCCTATTAATCAACCAGGGGTTTATTAATCCGGGGTTAACAGTAACATGCTAGCATATTACTGTCCAAAAAGCGTACACGACGTTCCTTCCCTTTGCAGCCTTTTTGAGGCCCAACTCGATTGATTCCCGTTCCGGGCGGCCTACGCCAAAGCGAGGCTTCCCATGTTTGGGCGTTTGGGTGGTCTTTTGAGTTGATGATCCCTTTTCGACTTTCAGTTTCAGGGGTCAACATTAGGGTTGGGCGTTGGCGCCACAAGAATCCTCCATTTGCTTAAGCCTGGAAAATGAAGATACTTTTGTAAGTAAAAGCGATTCCCGTTAAAACCAACGAAGCAAAAAACAAAAGAAATCGGAACCATTCCTTGGGACCGGTTTCGGGCTCTCTCTTTCTCTTTCTCTTTCTCTCTCTCTCTCTCTGAATTGTCCTCTGCGCGCGCGCTGCGCGACCCGACGCTGGCATAATACGGCCTCATGGAGCGATCAGATTAGCCCCCGAGTCATGGAACGACCCCGTCTGAACTGCAACCCCAGTTTCTTAAGAGGGAGGTTCCTGGGCTTCGTGGGGAATCGTTAAACTGGGGTTGATTCATAGGGGGAGAACCTTCCTTGGCGGGATGGGCCAAATCCATTTCGCACCACTTCAAAGATCTGGGCTGCTCCTAGCTCCAGGCGGAAGGTTCGGCGGGCGCAGGACGCACATCTTGGCGAATTCTGACAGAAAAAGAACCAGGGCGCGCGCCCCCTGCCAGAAAAGGTGAGCGGTCCGCTCCGGGGGAAAGCATGGTGTTTGTAGGGGAATCCTCATTCAACGGTTTCTTAGGTGGTGGATTTCGTCCATCCACAGGATTAAATCAACCCCAGCTTATTAACAGAGGGAGTCTTCCTGGGTTTGGTGGCCATCATTCTTGGAAGGGAGCACTCCTTTTGATAAACTGTGGTTTTTTAACACGGTGGTTGGCCACTTGGATAATTAGCCACTCAGGTTCTCCATCTCCTTTGCTTAAGACCCTGCAGGGAAAAATATGACAAGTGGAGACTACCACGCCTCAAACGCTCTCTCTACCGCAAAACCCATCCCACATATGCCTGAGCAGCAGGTAACCACGGTATGCCTTGCCTGGGATCCACTGGGCCATAGAATCAGGGCGGATTCCAAACCGCGCATAAAAAAAGGCGCTGCCCCCAAATAAACCCTACAGTAGGTGCCCCTTCGATCCATTTTCTGTGTGGTTTGCAGGGGTTCCCTTGGCTACGTGAGTTTTGGGTCCGGTCCGAGAAGGTTTTGTTGTTCAAGGCGTTCAGACTTTCTTGCCTTTGTTGGACCTGAAAATAGACGGGCCTTCACGACATATGGTTTAGGGGAGCAGTAAACATTGGATGTTCGATTGGTGCTCCTCTAAAAGAACTGCAAGATGCGTACCCTCAGAGACACACCCATATGGACGAAACAGGAAAACCACAAGGTCACTGGCTTCGAGCAACACTGAAAATCCCAAACCCTGGGGGGGGGGGGGGAACCATCGCGGAATCGACCTGGGCCGTTCGCACATCTGCGCGGCGCGCATCCTGGGCCATACCTCAGTGGAATTTCCAGCCCTCGGCACGGGTCTGTAGCTTGATGACTTCCAGCTTCTCAATGGGCGGCCAACACAAAGTCGCAAACCCGCCTGAAAGATTCCATGATTCTTGGAGGAGTAACTATTTCCACGAAATGACACGAAATGACAAGATCCAGCTCAATAGTGTTCAAGGCTGAATCACTCAATTCGAGTCAAGACGCAGGCCGCGTACCCTAGGGACCGGCTTTTCCGAGCACACACCTACGGCTTGCGGACCGGCGATGCGATGCGAGAAGGGAATAGGCTTCCACTCGATGGGCCAAAGCAAGTAACCCTAAAATTCCCATGGGATGCTCCCCTGAAAGAAACCTATCAACCCCCCCTACCGATGGTTTATCATTCCGGGGCGCGCAATGGCACGAGGGCTTAAATACTTAAATGCGGGTTGTGGGGAGCTACCACGTAAACCAACACAATCGACCCGCTTCGCGCCTGATTCAGCGGCTACCCCCTACCCAATACCCACTTTCTTCAGGGTATGATGTCGACCCTCTATTAAACAACGAGGTATTTATCTTGGAAAGCCAGGTTCTTCCAAGACTGCTGTACCTGAAAACAGGTGGTATTTGGAGCACGGGGGTAGCCTCCAAGCTCCGCAAGTGAACCCACGGCGTTTCTCAGTTGCTATGGTTTTGTTGCGGGAAGTCAACAAGCTCCTGTGGGCTTCGTGGATCCCCTCACACCCCGTCGTAAGCTCACTGGCTGAGTGGATGGTGCAAAAAAAGTCCAAACTTTGTATTTGCCACTAAAATGGTCCTCCCAAAAAAAAATAAAGTTCATGAACTCAGGAAGTGAGTAAGCCAATCGGGCACTCAAACACGTGTCCGTAGAGCAATCCGAGGAGGCTCGGCCTAGATCCTCCCTGGTGGGCCCCCAACGGCGCTGCGGCTCGTAAGCTTAACATCCAAGAAATCCAACAGCCACGGGACTTGGGTGGGATATGGGTGTGGCTGAAAATCTTTCCACTTAGGGCAACCCATTTTGGGATTCCGGTTTTTTTGAGCCACAGCCATGCTGCAAGGTCAGCCACTTGGCCGGTGGGAAAGCGCCTGGGGGACCCAAGAGCTCCAAGAGAAATTGCTCCCCAGGGGCTCAACGGAAATGAGGGAAGTTGCCACCTTTCACCCAACAGAATTGTTCAGCATCCCCAACAGCGGTGCACACGCTACATCTGAGCCTGGCACGGAAAGACAGAGGCTGGGATCCGAAAACGTGGCACCGTCCGCTGCGACATTCGCATCGCAGCGTCTCAAAGCTTCATCCAGGGTTGCTCCAACATGATCGGCACCAGGGCGTTTCACAAATTATTAGCCTATACACTCAAAAATATGTCGTCTCAGAATTTTAACGTGCAACCTGCAAACAAACAGGCAGTCATTCACACCGCCATTGGCGGGCGTCGCGCTTTCGAGCTGCAAATGACTTCCCGCATGCCGATCACAGTCTCTTGGCCCCCCAACATGTGATCCACTAGCAGTGGGCAGAAGGCGCTGTTGGACCTATCTCACTCACCGGGCTTCATGTTCACCGCCAGCCTCCAAAACCGGGATTTTGCTGAAAAACAAGCAACACTTCCCCCCCACCTACCCCACCTACCCCTTCCCCCCCGCCCCCGCCCCCGGTCACGCCCTCCCCCCCCGTCGCTTCGCGGCAGCCTTCGCGGCCGCCTTCGCCGCCAGCGCCGCGGCGGCCGCGGCTTTTACGCCGCCGGGGCCGGCGCCGCTGCGCGCGCGCGGCGGGGCGGGGACTCTCCTGGCGGAACACCCCCCCGCGGGCTCCATGACAGGTGGCACCTGCAACCCCAAGTAGCCGCTTTTTTCCATTTTACCCACTGGTAGCCCGTAATTTGGCAAAACTACATGGAAAATGAAGGCAACGATCCAGGTATTGGGGGGGAGAAACTCGAACTTCAGCTTCCATTTTGATTTGGAGCCCAAGGTGGAGGATCGTATTTGTGTTTTCTTTTTGGGGTTCAGCTTTCTTTCTGATTCTGAGCCCAAGCAGGTGGATTGGAGGGGGTGTCCCATTTACCCTGTACAAGAACCAGGATCCTGCATGGTTTTAAAAGGACACGGCGAGGAGCAGGGGGTAGTTGGTGGTTTGGATTTGAAAGGACAGGGGGGAAGCTGGAAACCTACCTGTTTCTGGCGGGTTTTACAACAGGACACCAGGGAGAACACTGGAAACTTACTTATTTTTGGCTGGGGGGAAAACTGGAAAACTACCTATTTGTGGCTGGCTTTAAAAAGGACATTAGGGGGAAAACTGGTTGGAAAAAAACAGGGGGAAAACTGGAAAACTACCCTGTTTGTGGCTGGTTTTAAAAGGACGAGGCGAAATCTGGAAAACTACCCTGTTTGTGCATTGGTTTTCAAACGACACCACGGCGAAAACTGGAAACGACTCCTTAAGAAAGACACGCCGAACTGAATATAGAATCAGGGCATCTTCTTTTCTGGGCAAGAGCTCCCAGGCTCCCGGTTGAGATCGGGCCCAGGATGTTCTGTGGGGTTTGGGCATTACACCCTGGGAATACACCTGGGCATTGACGCCAGGAAAGGCACATGTCCGGATAAAGCCGTATGTTGAACCATTCTGATTCTGGGTCAGTTCCCAAGCATGTAATCCCAGGGTGTGATTTAAAAAAAAAAAAAACTCAGAGGTGTTCTGTGATTCCGATGGAATGTAGTCAGGGACAGGCGTTGGTGCCACAGAAAGGCTTAGCTCCCATGATCCGGTCTCCTCCAAAATGATGTAAACCTGGCCCTGAAACTACCCTTAAAAAGAGCGGGATTCACGCCAACATGTTGGGGTAATATCCAGGTTTTTTTATGGTTAAGGTAAGGGTCGGAGTAGTTCCAAAGCTTTGTATTTAATTGTCGGCAAGTCCAAACAAGCAGGGGGGGGGGGGGGGAGTTCACATGCATTCGGGATGCCCGGTTGCGAAAAACAAACACATTTTGGCTAGGCTTAGCTGCTTGGAACTTTGACCCTTTTGGTTGAAACTCTTTGTTTTCTTTCCCCTTATTCTCCAAGCCCTGGGGAAGTTAATCTTTTACAGACATATAGCCCATGTTGCCCAAACAGTTGAAAAGTTGTGTTTTTAAGAGGTAAGTTTTAGTCCACAAACGTGCCTCGTTTTTTTTTTTTTTTTTTTTTTTTTTTTAACATATATATATATATATATTTATTTATTTTCGTTTTTGTTTGGCCCTGAGGGGCAACGGCCAGTACGCGGGCAATGTTCCCTTTTTTGTTTGGTGAATAAGCTGTGTTTGACTGTGAATTCCAAAAGGAGTTCCAATTATTCTGCCACCCGGTGCTTCCAGTTACCAGTATAATAGGTATAACCAGGGAAACCATCATGTAGAACTACAGGTAAGGAAGCTTGGTTACCTACTATAGTGGAAACTGGAAGGACTGGGCCAGGGTCACTGAAGAACTATGTTTTGTTCACCAGCGATTAAGACGTCGAATGGTTCAACATCAATCGACAGGGTTGTGCAATTAACTACCTGGACCCGATTTAACTACCTGTATTCAAGTCAATGCCTGGTATGTATCCCTTTTCTGTAGAGGTTGCCATCATGCTGTGAAAAAAATGTGTTTGGAGCAGGGGGTATGTAGTTGGTGGTTTGGCTTGGTGGGTTGGAGCCAAAAACAGGGTAGATGTCCAGCTTTGGCCTTGTCCTTCTTGAAACCAGCCAAAAACAGGTAGTTTTCCAGTGTTCCCCATGTCCTTCTTAAAACCAGCCAAAAAAAACAGGCTACCCTCAAAGAAACGACCCCAGTCGACACTCCTGAATATGGACCTATGGACCTCATCGATACCCGCACTAAGCTGCCGAGTCGCAATCGCGCTGGTCTCGCAGGAGGCGACATGGGAACCGGCCTTCCAAAACCAAACCCAGAAAAATGAGAAGTCGCCCGCTGTTTTGTTTTTCATTGAGAGGACTTTGCTGAAAACCTTGGCTTCCATGAGAAGTCGCCCGCTGTTTTGTTTTTCATTGAGAGGACTTTGCTGAAAACCTTGGCTTCCATGAGAAGTCACCCGCTATTTTTGTTCTTCATTGAGAGGACTTTGCTGAAAACCTTGGCTTCCATGAGAAGTCGCCCGCTACTTTTTTTCTTCATTAAGAGGACTTTGCTGAAAACCTTGGCTTCCATGAGAAGTCGCCCGCTGCTTTTCTTTTTTTGGGACTTTGTTGAACCACTTGGCTTTGAGAAAGGCCTTCTGTTCTAGTCAGGGTTGACATGATTCCTCCCCCCCGGCTATTGGGAGGTTACGGGGTAGTTCTTTCGGGTCCCTTAAGCCCTTTCTGACCTATAAGTCGAACATGACAAATACGTGGGTGTTCGATTCGCCAAGTTGGTGAGTTGTATCGGCAACATAGGTGAGACAATCCACCCCCGCAAATTTGAAGTTAGCCCTGTACTGGGTTATCACCAGTAAGAAAGCGGCCTGTTCCAACTAACTGGGCTTTCATTGGCCACCGCTTTTGCGGACGCAACAAAAGATATATCGGATCGCACCCATTTGTTTTCGGCACCTGGGCCCGACACAGGACTGCAACTGCCCTTAAATGGGGAATTCACCAACCAGACTCTCCATTTGCTTGCTTAAGTCTCCGCGAAAACAAGATGAAATACTTCCAGTAGTAGATGATCCCGTTAAAACCAACAGAGAAAATAAATACTCATAGCCAATGGAAGACACTTTGCGTGGCACCCCATGTCAACGGATAATTGGAGGGTCCAGGCAGCCGGTTTTCAAGGGAAACCTCCGAAGAAAGAAAGAAAGAAAGCAAGAAATAAGTAAAGACACACAGAAACACAAGACATATATATATATATATGTATATATATATGTATCGAAAGAAGGAACGAAAGAAAGAGGGAGGAAGAAAGAAAATAAGAAAAGAAAGACAGAAGAAAAGAAAGAAAGAAAGAAAGAAAGAAAGAAAGAAAGAAAGAAAGAAAGAAATTGATTTCTTTCTATCTTTGTTTCTTTTTTTTTTTTAATTTACTTCTTGTTTTCTTTCTTAATTTCTTTCTTTCTTTATTTCTTTCTAGAGACAAAAATAATGAAATAACAAGACATAAATAAAGAAATAAATAAATAAAGAAAGAATAAAAGAAATCAAGAAAGACAAAAAGAAGGAACTCAAGAAAGACAACACTCAAGAAAGACAGAACGAAAGAACTAAATAAATAAAGAAAGAAAGACATAAAGAAATCAGGAAAGGATGAAAGAAAGAAATAAAGAAAGAAAGAAAGAAAGAAATAAAGAAAGAAAGACAAAAAGAAGGAAATCAAGAAAGACAGAAATCAAGACAGACGGAAAGAAAGAAAGAAAGAAAGAAAGAAAGAAAGAAAGAAATCAAGAAAGACAGAAAGAAAGAAGGAAATAAATCAAGAAAGACAGAAATCAAGAAATCAAGAAAGACAGAACTCAAGAAAGACAGACATCAAGAAAGACAGAAAGAAAGAAAGAAAGAAAGAAAGACAAAAAGAAGGAAAGACATACAGAAAGAAAGAAATCAAGAAAGACAAACAGAAGGAACTCAAGAAAGACAGAAATCAAGACAGACGGAAAGAAAGAAAGAAAGAACGAAAGAAAGAAAGAAATCAAGAGAGACAGAAAGAAATAAATAAAGAAAAAAGAAAGAAAGAAAGAAATCAAGAAAGACAAAAAGAAGGAAATAAAAAGACAGAAATCAAGAAAGACAGAAAGAAAGAAAGAAATACATAATTCAAGAGAGACTGAAAGACAGAAATAAATAAATAAATAAAGAAATAAAGAAATGAAGAAACACAAAAAGAAGGAAATAAAAAAGACAGAAATCAAGACAGACAGAAATCAAGAAAGACAGAAAGACAGAAAGAAAGAAAGAAAGAAACAAAGAAAGAAAGAAAGAAAGAAAGACATCAAGAAAGACAAAAAAGAAGGAAATAAAAATACAGAAATCAAGAAAGACAGCAATCAAGAAAGACAGAAAGAAAGAAAAACAATAAAGCAAGAAAGAAAGAAATCAATAAAAACAAAAATAAGGACATAAAAAGACTGAAATCAAGACAGACAGAAATCAAGAAAGACAGAAAGAAAGAAAGCAAGAAAGAAAGACAAAAAGAAGGAAAACAATCCAGAAATCAAGAAAGACAGAAATGAAGAAACACGGAAAGACAGAAAGAAAGAAAGAAAGACAAAAAGAAGGAACACAAAGCCAGAAATCAAGAAAGACAGAAATGAAGAAACACAGAAGGACAGAAAGAAAGAAATAAAGAAAGAAAGAAAAAAAGAAAGAAAGACAGACAGAAATCAAGAAAGACAAAAAGAAGGAAATCAAAAGACAGAAATCAAGAAAGACTGAAATCAAGAAAGACAACGTGTACCAGCACAAAACAAGGGCCATGCTTCGAGGAGTACAGCTTCCCCGTCGTGTTCAGGATATTTTGGGAACACTGAACATGCAATGCTCTCTTCCATTTGCGTTTTCGCCCCCTGGATCAAATAGACATTTTCCAGTAGTGATAGATTCCTTTTAAACCCAAGAGATGAAACTCAAAACTATTCTTAAGCAAATGGCCACATTGTTTTACCACTCTCAAAGTCACCCCTAAGTGATAGATTACAAAGGGCAACGCCCGCCAGTTGCCAACTGTGACACCAACAACAAAACAGAAGAGTCAAAATACCCTCCAGTCCACTCACATGGCAACCAGGAGTGGGTCCCTTTGAGGGAAACATGGTCTTCCAGGACCCCTATGTGAAATTCCATGTTCGTTGATGGGAGGGTAACCCGAAATGTTGGATCCTCAGGGAAGGAAAGGTCTCTTTAATTGGGGCCATGACAAACCTCCAGAGATCTCCAGGCTTCTTTTCTGTTCCACACCGATCTGCTCAAAAGGTGAACTTGCTGGTGAAATGGAACCTGAGTCCCCTGGTCCCCTCTACTGGCCATGGGGCGAAAAATCCCCCAGACATCCCAATCCAACCACTAAAATAGGTTCTAAAATGGGTGGTGCACCTACCCCAAAATGGGATCCCATTGGTTTTGACTCACTAAACCAACTAAAAGCCGAAAGACGTAAAGAACCGGACGCCTACCCAAGTTGTGGGTTGTTTTCCGACTTCCCAGCCCGGCCTCACAGGCGCCATCACCGCCAGCGCCATCGCCGCCTTCCCCAATCCCCGAAGGCCTAAGTAGGGGGGCTGCGCGCTTGAGCGCCTGAGCCGGCTGCTTCGATGGATCGGAAGGCAGGTTTTGGTACCTCCAGGTTTCATGTGGTGGCTACCTACCTAACCCACACGGAAAACATGTGGTTTTCCTTGGCTACCTGCCGGCTTTGCATTGTGGTTTCCCTTGGTTGCCTGCTATAGGGGTAACTGGAAGCACTGATATGATAACTTGGCCCACACGTGACGTGGGGGGTACGACACGAAACATGTTTTTCAGATTCGGTTCCATATGTTGTCAACCTTAAACTATAACATTTCTCCTGGAGACCCGAAAGAAGAGCGACCGACTTGCGGCCACTGGCCTCATGCAAGGGGAGTATGCTGCGTTGCAAGCTTGTATTGGGATAATCTATATATATATATATATGTGTGTCAATATATATATATATATGTCAATGTATATGTGTATATATATATATATGTCTATATATATATATGTCAATGTATATATATATACACCTATATGTATATATATATATATACACCCTACTCCACATATCCGCCTTGTTCAGGGTATGATGTCGACCCTCTGCTAAAAAGGAGCTATTTACCGCGGGAAACCAGGTTTTCCAAAAAAAAAAACACCCTGAAAACGGCGGGCATTTGGAAGGGGGTACACATAAATATATATATATATATATATATATGCAGAAGCATCCATACAATCCCATACCTGGAACTGCGGTCGCGGCATTTCTCTCGCCAAGCAATGCACTTCGGGCGCTACGGGAAACTCAAGCTCCGCTTCAAAACTTTCTGCTGACTCCGACGAACAAAGCTTTCGCAAGCCACTCTCCCAGTTGCTCGCAGCAGAAAACTGAATCGAGTGAAGTGGACATGAAAAGTCGGTTGCTTTCTGCTCCCCTGCTCCCCGTATTTGTTCGCAAAAAGTTAAAGTCCAAGCATCCAAGCAACATGCACCAAAGCAAAGTCGAACGTGTTGTTTATCACATCTCGCTGAACAACTAGGAGAGGCTCCAAAGCAAAAAGTTCTGTTCCTGCCAGCTCAGCATAACCTATCATTAAATGCACGTGGACCGTGGGAAACAACTACGCCATGCTCGATCCACGAGCAGAGTCATGGGCCAACCCGTCAACGTTGCTCATAACATGTTCTCTACAGGGAAGGGGGTGTTCTACCCCCTACTCCAAATACCCGTTTTTTTTCAGGGCATTTTTGGGAAAACCTGGTTTTCCAACCTCCTTTTTTAGTAGAGGGTCGACATCATACCCTGAAAAACAAACAAGGTATTTGGAGTAGGGGGTATGTGACCTTTGACAAGAGCATGGTGTGGATGAACCTATCGATTTCAATTTTTCGTCACATCAAGACACCAACCGTAATACGGGATCCCTGTGAAGGACACGAAGCATCCAACCTCCAACCCCCATACCTGACATGTGCCTTAAATATTGCAGAGAATGTTTGTGCCAGTTGGGAAAGACATTAAGATTGTAACTTCGGTAAAATATACGCTCTTCTATCACATTCTAAACCTACAGTACACATATGCTGTCCCCCAACAAGACTTCCAAGAAGAGCAATAGATGACATGGCAAAAACGTTTATTCACCCAGAAATTGTTATGAACCTGATCCCAAATGCAGGAACTACTAAGATGTAATCCTCTGGATGTCCAAAAAACAGACTTATTGTCGATACAATATAGGATATCCTTCAAAATATCGGATCACAAAAACAAGTGTATTAGAATCAGCATGACCCATCATTGAAATAAGTGTACCAAGTATAGATATAGGTAATACCGGTGGGCTGGAGCGATCGAGATTCGCGGCGGCCCAGAGCAATTGCGATTCGCAGATTCGCATCGCTTGCTTCAGCACACCTGGGTGCGGTTGTGCCGGCCTGGACCCCCCAACTGAAAAGCGGAAGTCTCCGGAAACTCTGTGTTTTTTCTTTGAGAAGGGGGGCTCAGGGCGCTTTTTTTGGGGGGACGAACTTTTGGCTGGCTTTAAAAAGGAAACCAATCGGAAACCGACACGACGTTTTGGGGTTCCATGATTGGGGGGGGGGGATGGAATGTTCTGCCTAGGCCCCCCAAAACAAGAACGGGGCTCTGGAGTATGTATTTGTTCTTGGCTGTTGCCTTTGGCTTGAGGGGGGTGCTGACACCTCCGGGGTAAGCCGCGGCGAAAACGTACCAAAATCCCTCATTCATGGGTTTTTGTTTGAGGACTCTTTGGTGTTGCTCTGTTGTTTCTTCTTATTATTATGATGTTCTTCCATGTGCCCACATGGACCACACATGAGCAGAATAAAAATGAACGGACATCATCTTGACCCAAATTCGGTTTATCTGACTCTTCCCATGTGTAGTCTGCCCTAACATATATATATATATATGTATATAGTACATGGCTTTGGAACACACCCCATGATGTCAACCCAGTTGTTCAGTAACCCTGGTAGGAAAAGGATTGGAAAGGAAAAACAGGTTGCCACTGAACAACTGGGTCAACGTACCCCCTCCAAGTATTTTCACTTGTTGTAGGGACGTCAACCCTTGACCAAAAAAGGGATCGGTATTTACCAAGAACCTTTTTTTCCCAACAAATACATGCGAACAGTTTGATGTTGGAGTGCGTAATTACCAAACAAAGCTTACTGGTGCTCAGAAGCGAATGAGGGAATCACGGAACGACTCTTGTAAACCATCCAACTGCTGGCTTCCAGGTTCATTCCCGCATTCCCCTTTTTTGCTGTAGTCTAATTTAGTAGGGGAACCCTCCCAAGCAAGGGCTCCACTGGGGGACCTAGTTACCTATCGCACCAGCCAAGCCAGAATAGGCGGGTCAATGCACGAAGCCTGTACTCAAAAACACCTGCTCTTTCCAGGGTATTTTTTGGGAAAACCGATCGGATTTCCGTGGTGAATACCTCCATTTTTTGGAGAGGGTCGAGATGATACCTTGAAAAAAGAGGGCATTTGGGATAGGGGGTGGTTCCCCGTTGCGCCCGCGTGGTTCCTCGACTCCGCTGAGCACCCGACCGGCACGGACTTCTGCGTGGGCAGACCTCGATCTCATCCCAAGGGGTGGTAACGAGGTCTGTCCCACCCTCCAACTGCCCCAAAAAAGCTTCGAAGGGTTTTTCTAGGTGTTGTTTCCAACCATTCTTTTCAACCATCGTTCTTTTCGAAAACCCGCCGTTTTCCCCGGGTTTCTGAAGGTTTCAACCTCCGCATGCAACCGCTTCCATTATTCACCCAGACGCGGGCCCCTGAACCCAAGACCCGCTTCTTCTCAAGGTATGATGTCAACCCGTCACTAGAAAAGGGGCGGGTGTTCCAAAACTGCCGGCCAAAAATAACACCAACTCAAAAACGCTGGTATTCGGAAATCAGGAGCTATTCACGTATTCCAAAAAACGCTAGACTACAAACCGGCGTTGGTCATTGGAGGTGATCCGAGAGCAGGAAAAAGAAGACCGCCCGAAGCCCGGATGCTGGGTGTGGACGTCTGGGCTTCCCGGGCGTTTGGGCTTCCGGTGCTGAAAGCCTTTGCCGTGGTTGATCCTCGGCCGGGGTTCCGCGACCCGATCTCTCCCCGGATACGAAAGGGCCCCACGAAAGGGCGTCCCTTGGGCTTCCTTGGGGCTTAGGGTTCCTTGGTGCCCGCCGCCCGAAAAGGCACAGGGCGAAGCAAAGAGAACTCGCGTCTGGTGTGGTCAAAGTACCCCGTGGCAATCCTGCAAACCTCCAAAACATCCGTGGCCCCCACCCGGTGGATTGAAAAGGGTGAATAAACGGATCCAATATGTTCTTGGTTGTGGGTTGTTTTTCAACTATTGGCTTCCAGTGCTTCCAGGCAAGCAACTCTACTAACCAGGGCTCGGTACCTCTAGGTTTTACATGACACCGGTGAAACAACCTCCTGGCGGGCTTTTTGGCTGTCGGCGGCTGTTTTCCCATGTCCCGGACCGCGTGGCACAGCCCAATTGTGGCCTCGAATAAACCGAAAGTGATTTGGTGTGGCTGGGGGTATTGGATTCTAGCTTTGGTCCAGGTGCGATCCATTCCTTATTACCTTATGGAATCCCGAAATGAGGTAGGTACAAGGGGGGTGGGGATTCTTGAGAGCCCTGAAATTCCTTCGGTTTGCTTCGGGAACCCTAAAAACAGCAAAAACCCTTAGGGCTACTACGCCGAGACAAACCCTTCGTGGGAAAAAACTGGTCGGGTGCGCCTCTCATGCGGCAGGCGAGTGTGCAGTGCTGCGACGTACAAAAAATTGCCAAAATCCATGGGTCCACGACTGGGTGCGTGAGCGAAAACTTGCCTCTTATGGGGGCAACACCCGAATCGCACCCCTTGGAGACTACAACAAAAACGCCTATGAACTTTAAAAGGGACATGAACCCCCACCTGAATGATGGCCACCAAAGGGCCCCCAATTAAAATTCAGGCCAAGATCACCACTGGGATTGAACTGAAAGTGATGAGTTTCGTGAAGGGATGATACCCAAACCCCAAAAACCCGAAGCCCGGAGTCCCACACGGGGTTTCGTTCTTTGGCTTGGGACACATGTCAAGTCTGGAAGCTGCCACCAAACCGAACACCTAAGACTCGGGGGAACCGGATGGCTGGCCATTTCGACCTGAAAAAAGGAGACATACCGTGGAGGGTTCCGAAACCCCCATTTCGCACCAAAGAAACCCCGGTGGCTGATGAGTCTGCAAATATCAACCAACAATGGTTTCGTATGGTTTCTCAGTGGTGCAGGATTTCGTCCATCCACAGTATAATAAAGGGAAGGGTTGGAACCCTAAAACCACAAAGCCATGGGGCAAGCTATGGGTGTGGGTCAAACATACCCAACATGGAATGCCGGATCGGTAAATGGAAATAAGGACTAAAACCTGCAGTCCCCTGGTGATTTCGCGTTGACCCATATACCTAACTCAATGTTCCCGCAGATTTACCGATGTTTGCCCTATACCATGGTTTTGTGGTGCACACTTGCACTCGCAATACTTCCAGTTGCTCAAGTCCCCCCAACAATACATGTATGCATATATACATATATATATATAGTCGGTGCCTATGTCCAGCGGTGATGCAGTACCTTTAAACAAACTTTAAACCAAGAGGGATCAACAAAAATGTCTTGTGCAAGCGGAAGTGAAGGGGCCACTGGACTCACCAATGGAAGTACAACAACATCCAATTTGCTCCAAATACCCGGCCTTTTTTCTGGGTACCGTGTCGACCCTCTACTAAGAAAGGAGGTGTTTACCATGGAAAACCAGGTTTTCCCAAAAATACCGACTGAAAAAAGGATTGGTAGTTTGAGTAGGGGGTAGTAATTGCAATAGATCCCCTTTAAAATCAACAGGGCGAAATAAGAAACCGGAGAGAACATGAGGGGTCACTGGATTCCCTTTCAAATGCTGATCAATCAATTTCCTGGTGGTGTCCAAAAAAAGGGAAACATCCAGATTCCCTTTCAAATCCACAGGGGAGAACAAACTTAAGCAACTGGAAGAAGCCAGACATGGAAATCCCTCCAACCACTAAACCAACCAACAAGCTCAAAAGCTAAGATGGCTGGGAAATATGTCCATGGGTCAAAAGCCCTTACCCCCAATGAACATCCAATCCAACCATAAAATAGGTTCTAAAATGGGTGCTGCACCGAACACCCCAAAATGAAAATCCAAAACGGTTTTGAGCCAGAGCCATGTGTCCAGTGATGGATGTCCTTTAGAACCCACAGGGGAAATATACCCCCTGCACCCAATACCCACCTTTTTCAGGGTATGATGTCGACCCTCTACTAAAAAAAGGACCGTTTACCATTAAAAAACAAGTTTTCCCAAAAATACCCTGAAAAAAGCAGGTATTTGGAGTAGGGGGTATCCTTGCATCACTTCCTGAGCGGCATCTGACAAATCCTTTCGCTAGCCGAAACCCGAGCGCTTGGCAGGAACGCCACAGCCGCCTTGATCTCGTCCAGCAAATGCGCCGCCATTCCTCGCGCGCATCGAAACCGAGAAAACCCCCACCACCCAATGCCCACTCAAAGGCGGATTCTAGGTCCTCCAGTAAATTGATCAGCAATTGAAAGGAAATCCAGCGACCCCCTTTTTTTTCCGGTTTCTTAATTTGCCCTGATGATGTTAAAGGGGATCTAGTACAATTACTACCCCCTACTCCAAATACCAATCCTTTTTTCAGTCGTTTTTTGTTCCGGGAAACCGATCGGCTTTCCATGGCAAATACCAACCCTTTGTTAGTAGAGGGTCGACATGATACCATGAAAAAAGAGGGTGGGATTGCTCCCTTCTTGTGAACCCAATCCAATTCTTGACCCCCTTTAGGCTAATTTTCCAGAATTTAGCCATGGACTGACGGTTAATCAACCCATACCACTAGGTTCATACCAGGGGTTCATGTATGGGCATATGAATTCAGCCTGGGACCACTTTTGTTCATTTGGTGTCACAGGTTCTGTCAGCCCTTGTCTAAAGAACGATTTACTTACCATGACAAAGCAGGTTTTCCGACACATCTTCGTAAAAAAGAAGCGGGTACTTGAAGTAGGGGAGAAGTGCGGGTGATGACGCTGAAGGTTTCCAGACTCCAACTGCTTGGGCGGCACTTGGTTCAGAAAACGGTTTGGATGCGCTCGTGGATTTCACCTGAGTCATCAAAACCCGGTACTACAATGGTCTACCCAGAACCAGGTAAAGAATTAAGAGGGCGGATATCCGCAGCTATTTATGGGTGGGGTTGTCCCTTACTGACCTTCATCTACACGAATCGGTTTTGAGCAAGTGGCTCACCTGTGCTTCACCGCTGCAAAAAGACAGCGACATGTGTCTTCTTTACGGCTAAAGGAGGCTAAACCCCGGGGAAAGGGGGGGGGGGGTTAACGCTGTGCCCTGCCCAAACAGTTTTAATTGTTGCAGGTGAATTGGACCAGAGCCTCTACTCCAAATACCTGCCCTTTTTAGGATGTTCTGAATAACCCGGTTCTCCGTGCTACATTCCTCCTTTGGTTCATAAAGGGTTGACGTGATACCCCCCCCCCAAAAAAAAAAAACGAGTATTTGTTGAGGGGGGGGGGGGGGCAAATTGGTTGCCAAATTAGTTGAAGGTTCAGGATGCAACCAAATAGCAGCCAAGACATTGCGGAGGCTCCGTCCGGTAGTCGTGGATTTAGACAGCATGGGACTTCATTTGTTTGATTGGAAGGAGTCCCCGACGAGGAGGTTCATTCAACGTAAAAATCTGCAGGGGAACCCTCCCAACCAAAAAAGGGTGAGAAAGGGCACCTCTGGAAAACCTAGTGTACGGAGTTAGCCTTTTTGGTTGGTTTTAAAGGAACAACCAAAGGAAAACCCTGTGGCGTGTCTGATTTGTAACTAGGTCCTCCAGTAGAGAGGTTCGGATAAGGGTACTTGATTTTTTCTGTAGTCTATTTTAGCAGGGGAACCCTCTCCAAAAGAGAAGAGAAAGGGCACTACTGGGGGACCTGGGATTCTAATCAAGATTCGCGCAATCTCCCGAAATACTCCCCTGCAGTTTTATTCAGTTGCCATCTGCAGCCCGGTTCCGCGTGATGTTCCCTCTTTTTGCCTTCATCTCAAAGCCCTACCAAGGGAAGCGCACCTTAATTGAGCCCAAACGGTGATGCTCAACAAACCAACAAGGAAAACATCACCGGACCCTGGCAATTCCTAATGTCAATCTCGGATTAATCCGGAGCACCATGCTCATCAGGGGTTGTTCCCCTGTAGTATGCAAGCAAACTACTTTTGGGGGTTCCTCTCACTGATTGGGTCCTCTGAATTAATCCGAAGCTAAACATATTTTTCCGACATCTGGTATCGTTGCCCAAGGGCCTACTTGCTACTGAGAGAAGTGCCCTCGAAACAAGCCTGGACGGTTATGGGTAGGGGGTTCTCACCTAGTAACCCCTTCCTCTGTGGATACCGGCAGTAGTGAAATCGACTCCCTTTAAAACCAACAGGGGAAAATACAAACACGCATGCCAGATTCGGTTTCGGCACCGATTTGTGTGTAAAGGGAACTCCCCCTCCAGAAAAAGATAGCAACAGAGGTACCACAGGGCCGTCCAACATACCTGACAGGCTGAACGAGGGGGTCCCAATTCCAGTTCCAGTTGTCTAGTCTTGCCCATAAAAGAGGTTTCCAACCATAGATGTAGTCTTCCCCATAAAAGAGGGAAAATCCAACCATACATGTAGTCTTTCCATAACAGAGAATATCCACGCACTTCCTGACTTGATTGGCAAAAAGCAAAGTCCGAAACGGAACGCAGGAAGTGGTTGGGGGTCACCCCCCCCGCTCTCTCGGGAGGGATTGATGTCAGGCGAGCTGCTCATGGTCAGATTGTTCTTCACCACGATTCGGAACCTGGCGCGAGTGAGCGAAGCAGCGCCACCCCAAAAGGGGGTTCTCAAAATCTTCTGGAAACCGCTTTTGGGTGGAAGTCAAAGAGAAACCACCAGGAAACCAACCAGCCATGTTAGGGAACCTCTGCTTTGAGAAAAACACATGTTGGGCATGTGTCAAAACAGGGATTCGGACCCAACCATGCTGGTGTTCCTTTAAGTTCGCTTTAAACCAACCCGAAAAGGGTACCCTTGTCTTTGCCGGATGGATCCTGCAAACAGTGACAACTTGTTGCTGGCTGCAAGAGAAAACTAAGGAACCCCAAAACGGGGGAATGAAACCGGTAACTTTAGTCTGGCAATGTTTGTTTTGCTTCTGAAACACGGATGCAATGTGTGATGAGCTTAATATGTTTCTGGGCTGCCCTCAGATCCCCTGCTACAAGTTTAACTTTTAGTGGGTTAAATGGAAACTACCACTAAACACTAAAAAGCTAAAAGGCTAAGGGGAAGGCTGGGAGCCACCTAGTTTTGGAGGAACATATTTCAGTGCTTCTTCTGGCCAATCCACCTCGGAAGTCGGAAGTGGCTCTCTTTAGGCCCGAGTAAACACCTAGCTCCGCGGAAGGGTGTTGGTGCTGCGCGACGTAATTTCAAGTACCTTGGAATTTGTGGTGTGGATCCCGGTCTGGGATTTAAACTGCTTCCTGTAGAGGGTAAATGGAAAAACCGGCCCCAAACCATACAGGAGAACCTCCAACCATGAATGGAACTCCCAAAGAAAGGAGAGCCCCTAACCAAAAGGAGAACCATAAAGGAGAGCCCCGAACCAAACCAATCCACTTGGGAAGCTGATGACTTGCCGCTCACGGGAAGGGATCCAGTGGATTTCCCTACCCAGAGGCTTTTGGGGCTTTCAATGGAAGACCCGACCCCATTAGACACCCCGGGAATCGGTGGCTGGGACCCGGTCTCAAAACTTCAGGTTGTTTGAAGGCCCTAAATCCATCGAATTGGAGCCTCTGGGTAAGAAAAGGATTTCGCCGCTTTTTGGTTGGTTGACTTGAATCGAATCGGAACCCTCCCCAAAAAAAGAAAAAACGGGCGCTGCTGGGCAACTGGGTTTTGATAAAATGAATTTCATCGCTGGTGGTTCTCTTGTCTGAAATTCCATGCAATTGTCAAATGATACAGAGCCGGTCCCAACGAATGCGCCGCACAAAATGTGGAGCATCACGTGATTCGCCGAAATCATCTTCGTGATTGCCCACCCAGAGGCTCCTGAACCTTAAGACCCGACCCCTCCGGTAGACCTCTGGGGTTTTGGGGTCTCAAAACCAGGTTGGTTGAAGGTCCTAAATCCATCGAATTGGAGCCTCTGGGCCACATTTCGGACTGGTGGCTCAGTCTCGGCTCATAAGGCGAAACAAGGGCACCACTAGGCAACTGTGGATGGACAAACTCCATTTTGCACCACTTTGAAGCCGAAACCATTGTTTGTTGTTTACGGATGAATTAAATTATTATTCTATAAGTTCTTATGGTGGTGCAGGATTTCGTCCATCCACGGTAGGTGATGTGCCCGGACATGGGGCTGGCGGTTAAAACAAAAACAACGAACAGGTCCAGTTTTGGAAGAAAACACCCGACACCACGACCAAACGAACAAGGCCATGGATTCTCAGCCAAAAGCCTCGAGACGATCCGACGACCCAAAAGGCAAAACGTGGGGGGTTCAACTGTCTGGTGACAAAGGCAAGCAAGCCGCTGGTCTTGCAAGAGGGGTACCTATATAACCCCCCCAGCTCCAAATATCCGCTTGTTTTCAGGGCATGCTTTTGAAGGTGTCCATAGCAAAACCTGTTTCTTTAAATCAACCTGCTGGAAGGGTGAATCTACCAGTCAATATCCAGAGCGAACGAAAAAAAACGCGGGGCCCGATTTTGGCAGGACAAGGAAGCAACTGGGTGCGCCACACACCGATTTTGACAGCCTCTGTTCAGCCAAACCGGCCCAAGCGGCCCACCGCTAAAAACAAAACCTTCAAAAAGGCAGGCCGGCTCATGATCTTCGGGCAACAAAAACATGTTTGACGGGAAGCTTCCGGGCAACGCACCGCCGGTGTCGCATGGCTTGATCGCAGGTCTGGTCTGTGAACAGGGGCATGGTCTCCTGGGCAATGGGACTGCGTTGCTCTCGTTGGAGGCCCTTGATCCTTTCAAAGGTTGCAGACCCCGGAGAGCGTAGCCCAGGGGAAGCCGAACTAACAAGAGCAAGCTAGGAATAAGCCCTAAATGAGTTCTCTAACTGCCTCCATTTGCTTGTTCGCCCCCTGGAAAAAAACATAAGCGTACTTGTCCAACAGTGAAATCTTGTCCAACTGTGAAATCGATTCCCATGAAACCCAAGATGGGAATTCAATTGAACAAACAAACAAACAAACAAACAAACAAACAAACAAGCAAACAAGCAAACAAAAGCATACAACACATGTGTTTGGTTTATAATATATATATATATATATATGGGTGTGGCTCAAAATTAGCCAGGAGGGGTTACGCAGGTTTTGGTCCATGTTTCCACTTACCAGGGTTCCATTTTGGTACCGGTTTTTTGAGCCACAGCCACATATACGCACAATCGTTTCAGCAGATGAAAGAGCGTCATATCTGTCCTGGAGTTTGGTCTACTCTCAAACCCCCTTCCATGCGGCTGAACAGACATGGACCCGAAGCTGATGGCACCACGTGCTCTCCCTTATGCAACCCTGGATTGCAGAACCGAATCAACCCCCTTGCAAAACTAGGTTAGAAGAAGTTGGTACCAACTTGTTTTTTCAGTTTAGTCTATTTTAGTGGGGGAACCCTCCCAACCAAAAACGGGTAAAAGGGCTACTGGGGGACCTAGCAAAGCTCCCGAAAACCCCGGGTCCTTTGGGGGTCAGTCTCCATGACCCGATTCAAAAATGGGTCCATGACCCCATCATTTTGGGTAATGACCCCCATTTTCAAAGGGTCAGTATTGCTTGGGAAACCGATCGGTTTTCCGGTGTAAATACCGATCCCTTTTTCGTAAACGGTTGACGCGAGAACCTTAAACCGACGTTACGGGGGTACCTCGAGTTTTCTTGGATCGAGAAAAACATCAGGTCGCTGCCCGTTGCGTAACTGTCTCTCCTGGCACAAAAAAAAAATGCCGGGGCCGTGTCTTTTTGAGCGCTCCTTACTGAAAAAATCAGAAGGTATACCGTGGAGAGCCAGGTTTCTCCGAACAAATGCACTTAAAAACGGACACTTTGAGTATAGGGGAAAGGAGAATCCCAACGGAAGCCGAAGCCGAATTTCACTGCAACAAACCCATGGCCCATCGAGAGAGACAGCCACCGGGGTCAGCCGGCGATTCTGCTGTGTCCATTGGAGCAACAGCTCAGAATCAGAGTTACCCTCGAAAGCTCTGTCTGGACCATCAAGCTACCCTTGAAAATTGGCTAGTGCCCCAAATTTGTGGGAGGGATTTTCGTTTTTTATAGGAAGTTCTTTTGGGTCCGACAGTGGGTCCGACATTTTTGGCGTACTTGGTCGGGTTGGTGAGAACTCACCATCCATGAGACAATCCCAGGCTTGCCCGAATACCCCCAAATCACCAAGTGCCTGGCCGCTTTTCTTAGTATTCGGAAAACCATTCAGTTTTCCCAATACCATTCCTTTCAGTAAAGGGTTGACATCATACTCTGAACAGAGTGGGTATTAGGTGTAGGGGGTAGCGGTTGAACTGGAAACAACTATTTTGAGACCCCCTCAAAATGCCCCTTGTTGGTCTCCCTTTAAACCACAGGCAACAGGAGTTCGAACCAATGCGCACTGCAATTCCTGAAGAAGTTGGTTTGGCTCTCGCAATGGGTGTCTTTTTTGGGGACCCCCAAAATGATGGTTTTAACAATTATGGTTTTGGTTTCCTTTAAGCCACGAAAAAGGCGTTCCCCCCTCCCCGCCCCAAAACAAAAAAACACCTAAGTGGGATTCGAATTTCCACGAAGGGTACCAGCACAAATTCGGGCCGCCAGTCGAAGCGACAAAACCCGCCAGTCGAAGCGACAAAACGCGAGCGAGAAGATCGACATCTCTCCTCGGTAAGGGGATGGTGCATGGACATGTGGTAGCCGCTGACGTACCAGTGCCTCAATTCTAGGGGTACCTTCCTTTCCTTTCTGAATCCAGGGATCCGATTCTTTTCAGGAAACCATCAAAAAGGTTGGAAACGGATCCGGTTTACGAGGGTCGAAAAGAATGGAAAAGGAATCAACCGCTATAGATCAATCCATTCTTCGATTTCGAAGTGGAGACGTGGGGTGGGTCTGGTCCAAACAGGGTCTTCGCAGTTTGAATGTTGCTGGACGCGAAGAAACTATCCTGAAAACCGATCAAGGTGTTCCATGGTGAATACTGTATTTGTTTGGTAAAGGGTTGACATGGTAATGTGCGTGGACAAAATCCTGCACCACCCTCGTTTCTGATTTGATACCCCAACGCAAATACCAAGCAACTTTGTGGTTTCCACCATGGTGTCCTTTCGTGGTGCGGCACTCACGGATTTCGTAAAACCATCCACAGTACGAATGGGTGCCCTAACAGCAATGATGGGAACCCTTCTTACACCCCACGCCCGCCTTTGAGCTGGTAGGATGAGGTATGATGGCAAGTGTTGCCTACAAGAGGGCTAACCTATTTGCCCTGGTAGCCAGGTGAGTCAAAATTAAAACCTGGCATTAAAATGGTCTACCCAGAACCATCTCAAGAATTGAACAGGCGGATATCCGCACCAACTCTTTTATGGTAATTAAGGGGATGGTCCCTTACTATGCTCCGATTGCACTGGTTCGACTTGTGACTCAGGTGTTCCAAAAAATGTGGCCAACACAATATCCGTGGATCGCGCAAACCCTCCGTGCAAGAAGTGAATAACTTGCGAGGAACAACATATAATAAGGTGTTCCGAAAAGTTCCACCCCCGTCTCCAAATGACTGTATTTTAGGGCATCATGTCAGCCTGTTACTTAACAAGGAGGCATTTACCATGGAAACCATTTGTTTTTCTAAACATACACAAAAAACAGAGAATGGCGTAGGGGGAAGTCTAACATGCCTAAAACGTCACTATCAAGAAAAACAACAACAAACAGCAACTCGCCTATATAGGCCACCAAACGAGATGATACACATCTGCATCCCCAAGCTACCCGTCAACACAGGGGGGGGCACCTGCCACCAAAAGACATTGCAAAAAACAATCAACTTTCAGGTTCGTTGCCAACCCAAGGAGGTAACAAAATCAACCTAATCGAAACGCACACCGCTTTGTTCCACTCAAAGGGTTCTGGGGGAATCACCAAACGGTTTGTGGGAAATCCACGAAATCGCGTACCTAGATAGCCAAGCTGCTGCTTTGTTCAGTCACTGTTGCCGGTTTTTGGGGGGTAAAGCTCATGGAAAAAAACGATCGCAACTGGCGATCCAGGTATCCCTGAATTTGTGGCTTAGCTTCGCGGCTTGGGGACTTGAAGCAGCTGAAGCCTTGCCCCCCTCATACAGGCAAACGACAAAGTCATGCCTAAGTCACTCCTTTATCTGTGTGGCCACGCGTTCCCCCATGTAAACGCCGATTCCAAGAAGTCACTCCTAAGTCACGCCTCGGCAACAATCCCCATGGAACGCTTGACATCACCGAGCTGGTCATGCTACACAAAGACAGGTGTCAACACTGAAACACAATGGAACGCTACTGATGGCAAAGCATGTTTTCCAGCCCCGCGAGGCGTCTGCAGGAACATGAAAACCAATGGAACGCCAAGCATGCGATAGGTTGTTGCAGGAGAGTTTAGTAAGACGTGACACATGGGTGGGCTTTGCAGGCTCTTGCACCGTGTCTTTCCACGTCCTGGAGTTCTTTCTCTGGAAGGCAGGCAGGCACATATGCAATGCACCCTGGAAAAAAAAAACGAGATCAAAACGAGATCCAACCGAGATCAAAACGAGATCAAAACGAGATCACCGACTGTCCGTTGAAGATTTTGGGATATTTTGGGCCCACATGTGCCGAACCCGCGCCCACAAGTTCACTTACTTCTGCGCCCGCTCCCATCAACCCACTTCCGCGCCCACTTTTCGACTCAATTTTGCACCTGCGAACGCCAGCCGCTCAAGCGCGCCTGCTCAGCCCGGCGCACACACGCCAGCCAAATGGTGAGCACCCCCGCTCAAGCACACCGGCTCAGCGCTGCACAGGCGCCAGCCAAATAATAAGCACCCCCTCAAGCGCACCCGCTCAGCCCTGCAAACACGCCAGGTTAGTCCAGGTGAGAGGAAAAGCAAGGTGCCGACTCGAACCAGCTGTAGCAAAAGAGACGTCAAGTCTCAAGATTGCGAAACACACTGTAAACGCTCCTAGGCGGATAAGATAGAACATGCCTAAACTATCCTAAACCCCACGGAATAACCATTTTCAACTGCAATGCCTCCCAAAAGCCTATCCCTTCAAACATGCAGAGTTCCTATGCGTTTTGGAAAGAGGCACGACTTCTTCGAAGCCCTCTCCCCCATGGAATTTAAGCAATGCCTCAAACGGAGGCACGACTTTGTCAAATCCCTGTACCAACGCTTTTTTTCTGCAGGGTGTTTTGGTTGAAAGCCGGTTTCGGTTTTTCCAAATACCGAGGCCTGTTTTAGTGGGCCGACATACACTGAAAAAAAAGGCCGGGTAGTGGGTGGGCACGGGGGTGGTTCTTGAGGGAGACTTGAGAAACCTGCCCTAACCTCCAAACCATTGGGGAAAAGGTTTCGCCTCCGCCCTACTGAAGCGGCAGGAGACTATGGGTCAACGCGGAGCATGCGGCGAGCTCGTTTTTTTTGTGGCCGCTGGAAAACCGATCGGTCTTGCGCAGAAAAAGTACAAGCAAACAAGAAAGCGGATATTTGGAGTACCTGGAGTCTCCATGACCCTTTTAAACTGGGTCAATGACCCCATTGTTTTTGGTAATGACCAACCATTTTTTAAGGGTCAGAAGGAGATTCCAGGTAGGGGGGGTCGTCTGAAGCACATGGGACTTCGCGTCCAGCCCGGGTAATGGGACGAGTCGGTCCACAAAACCCAGCCGAGCTGCCCCTGGGCGATGACATGCTGAAAGTCAATATCATCCTCAGCGCGCGAGCTCTTTGCTCGGGTCCGCGCAAAGGCGAGTCGGTTGCAACCGGCCGGCGTTTCTAGGGGTTGATTCCCTTTCCATTATTTTCAACCATCGTTCTTTTCAAGAACCGGATCCGCTTCCCCTGGGTTTTTGATGGTTTCCTGAAAAGAAGGATCCCTGGAAAGATGGGAAACGTACCCCTAGAGCTTTGTTCAGATCAAGCGCCTTTCGTTCACAGGGATTGGCACCGGAACCCTCAAGCCACTCTTTGAAATTGGACACCACGCCAAAAGTTTGGCGCAATATTTCAAGTTAAGGGCTAGTTTCTTGGGGTCCAGGTACCATGGAACGGCTTGACATCAAATCCTATCATGCCCCCCCCCCCAAAATATAAAAAAAAACTACTAACAAAAGAAACACACAAAAACAAAAAAAAAACAGGTATTGGGTGTAGGGGGCGGGGTTTCCTTTCTTTTCAGGAACTAGAGTGAACCACCAGTGCCACCTTTGTTGCAAGTGACTAACCGATCACCTTGCGTGGTTCCGGTTCCTTCTTCGAAGCTCCGAAGCTCAAAGGTGCAAGTCTGGGAGGGGTAGGTCCGACTTACCCCCTACACCCAATACACGGCCTTTTTTCAGGGTATGATGTCGACCCTCTACCAAAAAAGGTTTGGTATTTACCATGGAATTTGGTGTAGGGGGTATATGTCTAAGGGCCAGCTTACTACCCCAAATGGACATACCCCTCCGATAGGCCCTCAAACAGGTGGTTCTTGGGGTATGCACCCTCTAACACCCAGGTATAGCCACTAATCTTGGGGCACATTTGGGGTGCAAGTTGGCCTGAAAATGCTGAAGAACCACAAATGAGAATTAATATGAGCCAAAAGGAAAACCTTGCATATGGATGATTGGTCCAATTGAGTCAAAATCAAAGTCCGGTATATATTAAAATGGTTTAACCAGAACCATGTAAAGAATTGGCTGTGGGTCAAAACCATTTGTACAATTTTGGGGAGGTGCACCACCCATTATTGTCTATTTTAGTGGGGATTGGGATGTTCACTGGGGGTACGATTTGGCTTTCGACCCATGGCCAACTACCAAGGCGAATTCATTGATGGCAAGGGGGTTGTCCCCTGCAACCCTCCAATTACCCGGGTTTTGAGCACGTGACTCATTCTCAAAACTGGGCTGCCCGTTTTCAGATCCGCTAAAAGTTTCCCTTTGAGTGGGTTAAATTCGGAAACTACAACTAAACACAAACAGGCTAAAAAGCTAAGGAACCGGATGGCTGGGACACACCAAGAACATTGAGCCCGAGCCAGCCGGACCCCGAATCCGATCTGCGGCAAAGTCCGTCCGCTTTCGAGCTCCGAGTGGCAAAGGGCAGGCCGAGGTCGGGGTTGATCATGGCGGTCACCACCTGATTTGCTCCGACCCCCGGGCCCCCCACTATGGCCATGGGTCAAAAGCCAAATCGTACCCCCAGTGAACATCCCAATCCCCACTCAAATAGGTTCTAAAATGGGTGGTGCACCTACCCCAAAATGGTACCATTGGTGTTGAACCATGGCCATGTAGCGTGGATTTGATTCAGTGCAGGGGTCGTGGGAGAATTGAAAAACGAACTTCGTCATGATTGTGGAAGACTAGTAATTCTTCAGGATTGGCCAAAACCCCTTTGAGCTTTACCCTTATCTACCCTGCATCCCAAACCTCCGTAGACTCTTGTTGTTCATACTGTGGATGGACAAAATCCTGCATCACCTGAAAAACATGGGAAACCATTGTTTGTTAGAATTGACAGGGAACCATCAGACGCCAGGGTTCCTTAGGTGGTGAGAAATGGATTTCGTAACCATCCACAGTAGTATTTGGCTTAAAGGGGACACCCCCTCAAACAAAAATGCAAATAGGGAGCCTTTGAGGTCTGGGATATAAAATCGCTTTGGAGAGCCCATGTACCCCCAACTCCAAATACCCCGCTGGCCAAGAAAGACCTACCCCCTACTCCAGATACCCACTGTTTCTCGGATATGTTTGAGCAACCTGGGTTTCCATAGTAAATACCTCCTTTGTTAGTAGAGGGCCGACATCGTACCCTGAAAAAAGTGGGTCTTGGGTGTAGGGGGTATGCCTCTTGAAGTACAGGCTTGACATGATACCAACTAACAAAACTAGTTGGTATTTCCAGCAATGTCTAGACACCTGCTTTTCCCAATGTCCGTTTTTTCTGCCATAGTGGCCAAAAAGCAGTGCCTGGAGTCTCCATGACCCGAATCAAAAATGGGTCCATGACCCCTATATTTTGAGAAATGACCAACCATGTTTAAAGGGTCAGAAGGAGACCGCAGGTGGTTGCTATGGAGCGATCCCGCTAGGTGACTCACAATCACCCGGTATTAACATGGTCTACCCAGAACCATGCTTCAAGAATTAAGAAGGCGGATATCCGCATCCATTTTATGGCAAGGGGACTACCCCTTAACCTTCATCGCCCCTTACTAACCGGATCATCTACCCGAATCGGTTTCGATTCTGGCTCAGGTGGTCATGCTCGCTCTTTTTTGAGGCGAGCGGCCGGGAGACACACCTTCTGCGAGCTCATGCCCACAGCATCCAGGATGGTGAACACGGACCCGGAGCCCTCCTTCACGCTCAGCAGGCCTACGAGTAGGAAGGAAAATTCCCCCGAGACCCGAGGAACTACTCCCCTGCCAACGGTGTTTTTGTTACTCCCCCTGCACCCTGCGTTTTTTGTTTTTGTTTTCGGGGGATTCCCCGTCTCACCTCCAACCACATGTCGTGATTTTTTGGCGGGGTTTCTTTGGAAGGACCTGACTTTCAGGGGTTTGAATGCACCATTTTGTAGTAAAGTGGGATTCCCCTCTCACCTCCAAATACCCATTTTGATTAACCCCTGGCATGGACTGCTAGGTTATTGCCGAGTTGTGGCTTGATTAGGGGGGTCCAGCCCCGAAAAGGGGGTCAAAAAGGCCATGGTGTCCGTACAAACAATGTTGGATTTCATGTAGTCATGAGGATCTTAATCATCCAGCAAGTATCTAAATATATACTATGTAGATTCCCTAAAGTTGGAAACTGGATTGAAACTGGCCCAATGGTAACGCCTATAACACCGCTAAGGGGACACCGTAAGTATCTAGCACTCTTATCCCCAATTGGTGGCTTGGGTTGGCGATTTGGGGTTGAGGGGTAGCTTCCCAGTACAGTACTGCAAGCCACAACAAGAACAAAGGTTCAAACCCCCAAACCACCAATTTCTGCTCAAGCTGCCCACTTGGAAAGGAACAAACCCCATTAACTAGGACCAGTTTATTCATCCGGGGGATAACATTCCCTCCAACAACTCGGCATTTGGAGTGAGAAGGACTCATCACGGGCTCAAGGGAACCCAGGTTCTCCCAAAGAGAACTCACCTCAGTGGATGGTTTGCCACGAAAATGGCAAACTCTAAACTAGGTCCTCCAGGTTTGAGAGGTTAGAATACGTTACGGTACCCGACTTCTTGTTCTCTGTCGTCTAAATTTGAGTAGGGGAACCGAATCTCCCTCTCCCAACCAAAAAAGGGGAGAGAAAGGGCAGGATCCAGTCCAGGAACCAAGGGCCAAGCATTTGATTGGAACAAGCACGCGGGGGCTACGGGAGCGGGGGACATGGGGGGGATTGGCGCCATGTCCCAGATCAAACTTATTCAAGGTGCATCAACCGGGGGGAATTCTCCCGTATAACTGGTTTTTTCCTGTATCCGTGCTAGTTGGTTTCCCTGATTTCAGGAACCTACGGGGCCGGTACGGGGCCCGGTGATGAAAGCGACCCCCGCCTTCCCGCAAATACTGGGCAACGCACATCTGGTTGTTCACCTGCAAGGGGCCGATTAGTACCACGCGCCTCTTTCGTGTGTGTGTCTTTTTTTGACGAGAATATTCACCTACCTGGAGTCTCCTTCTGACCCATTGAACATGGTTGGTCATTACTCAAAATCTAGGGGTCATGGACCCATTTTTGATTAGGAGACTCCCCATGAGTTGAAGCGCAACCAACCCCCAGAATATCACCTCCAAATACCCACCTTAGGAAACCAAAAGGTCATTGGACGCCACCCTTTGCATGATAAAGAATGGATGGTTAGCAAAGTTGTCTACTCCCCACAGATACCTAAACCCTTTTGCAATTGGCATAACAGGGAATGATTTGTCAACCCTGCGCTAAAAGGGATCGGCCTTTACAATATGGCAAGCCATGTGTCCAAAACATGCCCGACAAAACATGTTCAAACACGTATGAATATGTATAATTAAACAACCTCCCTTTGGGTATGGGTTACCCCCCCAAAAAAAAACACAAAAAAAAACAGAGGGTATCTGGGGCAGTCGGTAGGTTTCCTTGCTCATGAGCCCAAACCATGCTGATTGCTAAGACCTCCAAGCTGCACTACAGCGAAGTGGTGAAAGATACCTGGAGTCTCCATGACCTTACCAAAATGGTTGGTCATTGCCCAAAATAAAGGCGTCATTGACCCATGTTTGATTCGGGTCAGAAGGAGACTCCAGGATAATTCATTGGTTTCACATTGGTGTAGCCTCTCAGCGAGTACTTGTCGTCGCCATATGCATATGCGGTGCATATCGCTGAGACAAGCAACACATTTTGGTTCACGCCGTGAAGGCTTGGGGGGCTTGAGGGGGGGGGGGTCATTCCCTTCCTTGAGGGGGATTCCCTGCTCCCCCATTGAACCAGGCTAGAATTCGAGGCCCTAAGATTCCGGGTTTCACACTTCTCCACGAAAGCGCCAGCCTCGGAGCGGGGCCCCAGAACCCCACTGAGCCAACCGGCCTGGGAATAGTAGCCCTCCCGGCCCAAGCGCAAAAGCTTGTAGAACTGCACGTAGACCCCCTGAGCCAGCGCCCACTTCTCCCCCTCCCGAAGTCCTCCAATTGTTTTTTTTCGCCCTGGAATTTGTGATATGTTCCCTTTAAAACCATCCGAGGGGGGGAAAAAAAACAAGGATATGCAAGTACCCTTTTTTCAGGCTTGGCAGCAGTGAGCGGGGGGGTTTGGAGGTGTGGTTAGGGTGTAGCTTCCCATTCACCCACATCCAGGGGTTCCAACCCCTAAACAATACAACATGGGGGCCTTTTTTGGAGGGTACGCGCTTTTAGGCTGATTTAAAGGGAAACCACCCCATACTCCAAATGCCCAGGCTGTTTTCAAGGGTAGGACGTCGACCCGTTACTAAAAAAGCGGAACTTACCACGGAAAACAAAGCAATACAATCAAATCGGTTTGGGTGTCACAGGCTTCCCTGCATTCGGACAAAAACCGCTTCAGGTGGTGTAAGCTTTCGTTTTTCACCTCCTGGAAAAGAAACATATGGCCAGTGATAGATACCTTTTGGAGTAAAAACAAAAACATGTCTTGAAAAGGCAACATCTTGATTTAGTCAAGGGTTGACATCCTATCCTATCACACCCTGGAACAAGCAGGCATTGGGTGTACTCAGTCTTGTAAAAAGTTGTTAGTTGTCCAAAACCCTCCTGTCAGTTTCCAGGGGGAGGGTCATAGATTTTTAAAGGGGTCCCACCAGATTCACCCCCCAAATCCACGAGCCGCTTTGGGCATAGCCTCAAGCCCGAAACCGGGACACCCTCAAATCCTTAAACCCAGAGGCTCCCGATTCATTTAGGGCTTTCAAACAACCTGGTTTTGAGACCCCCAACCACCTCCGGGGTGTCTAATGGAGGGGTCGGGTGCCTCTGGGAATATTGATGTCACCGCATAACTTGGGCAATCACGAGGGTGCAGGGAATCCAACACCTGAACTTGCCCGAACCAATTGAACCCAAACCACTCATAATGCGGCTCTAGCGATCCCCCCTACTATGGATGGACAAAATCCTGCACCACCTGAAAAAACATGGGAAACCATTGTTTGTTGCTATGTACAGGGGAATCGAATCATTCCAGGGTTTCTTAGGTGGTGCGAAATGGATTTTGTCCATCCACAGTACCACAAGGGGGGAAGGGGGGTTGCGGGGGCTCGCCAAATTCAGCTTTTTTAGCCTTTTCCATAAGAAGGAAAAGGGGTTGCAATACATCTGTCATTCCAAAAGCTGGTGAGCTCGTTGTGAGCTCGCTACAAAATAGGCAAAAAATCGGAGATCTCCGGAGCTGACACCCCTCCCCAGTTGCTTCACAGAACAGGACACCCTGAGCGTGCGCTTTTCTATGTTTGTTTCATTTTATTATTTATTAGTATTATATATTATTATAATTATTAATTATTACTATTATTATTATTGTTATTGCTATTATTATCATTATTGCTATTATTATTATTATTAGTATTATTATTATTTTTTATTTTTTTTATTATTATTATTATTATTATTATTATTATTATTATTATTATTATTATTATTATCATTTGTTTAATAAATATTAAAACACACACGATATGTTTGACACTTTTCCCCAAAAACACAAAACAACTCGAAACGCAAACTCCTCGTCCCGCTCTCTTTTTTTAAGGGACCTGATACCTCCCTCCGGTCAGTGCCTGCGCGGGGCGCGAGAAGTTCAGGGTGTAGGAGTCAGCGCCTGGGCCAAGTCTCCCCGGCCAAGTCTCTCCCGCTCCAAACGCCCCGTTCTTATTAGACGTCCCCTTCATCTCTACTCTTGGTATGGTAGCAAAAAACTGTGTTTTTTGCAGACCCCCAGTAAAAATGAACAGAACCAAAAAACTAAAAACCCAAAACACATGCCAAGAACAGCGAAGCTTTGGTTAAGATCCCTGGAGAAAAAGAACAACATGTATGTCCAGTGATCAACTTGCTCTTAAAACCAAGGGGAAATCAAACTTGTGATTTTCGGCAAATGGAAGTATATGAGGGTATTTTGGGAAGCAGATGGGCTTTTATTCAACACTCAGATGCCAACAAAAACAAAACGCACCCTTGTTTTGTTGGGTGAGTCTACAGGGAACCCTTACCCTTAACATGGAAGTGAACAGACCCTGTCAAAAGACTACTTTCCTCTTGGAAAGGGCATTTTTGCACTTCAATGCTAGTTGGTAGGAGGGTACCCAACAAAAAGGGTAAAAGGGCGGAATCCACTGGGCAACCGTCTGCCCAGATTGGTTCTAGGCGTCTAACCCTCGCTGCCCAGCAGCTTTTCATCGCAGTTCCTCCAAAGCTGGGCTGCCCTCACCCCCTACTCCAAATACCCGCTTTTCTGAGGATATTTTTGGGAAAACCTGGTTTTCCAGGTAAATACCTCCTTTTTTAGTAGAGGGTCGACATCATACCAAAGTCGACAACTTTTAGTGGGTCAAATACGGAAACCAGCCACTAAACCAACTAAAAGTCTAAGAAGCTGAGGAACGGGATGGCTGGGAAAGAAGAAAGACCCCCCCGCGGCCCGTGCCATGGACAGCCAGAGTCTATTTTGCAACCATAAACTGTTAAAAACAAAAAAACAATACACTAAAAGAAGGAGGTTGCAACATAGACCTAAGTGTCCACCATACAGACACACACACACACATTTAAGAAGAAACGTCCCAAAGCGCTTGAGTCTCTTAAGGCAGGGGGCTGCCGCCCAAATAGGACACGTTGATCGCCACCTCCTCGGACAAATCCTTGCGCTGGCGCCAAATCACCCAGCCTGGCGACCGACATCTCCGGAACGGCTTTCAATTCACCCAGACCCTGAGTGGTTGAATGGTTTATGGCTTAAACCAATTTTAGTGGTTTAATACGGAAACCACACTTGGTTGGCAAGAAGTTAAAGTCCTAACATCCAAGCAAAATGCACCTCTATTCAGCTTCCCTCTGATTGGTGGCGTGAATTGCTGAAGAGCTCTCCCAGCTGCCCTAGCCCGACGTTCAAATCCCCGCAAATTGCGCGGATACCTGAGGACTGGCCAATGGAAGCAGAAAACAACATGTCGATACTGTGGATGGTTCCGAAATCCGCTTCTCGAACCACCTAAGACACCTGGGAATGATGCGATTCCCCTGTAAATACCAATAAACAATGGTTTCAACCATGGTTTCCATGCAGGATTTCGTCCATCCACAGTACCTAGGTCCTCCAGAGAGGTTGGAATAAGGGTACCCTTTTCTGTAGTCTATTTTAGTAGGGGAACCGAATCTCGCCCAAAAACTTACCCCTTAAAACTCCAAGCCCTGGGGAAGTTAATCTTTTACAGACATATAGCCCATGTTACCAAAAAGTTGAAAAGTTGTGTTTTGAAGAGGTGAGAAAAAGAAACGGTAAAAGGGCTACTGGGGGCCTAACTTAAAGCGGTGGATGGTTTCGCGAGATCCCAAGCGCAACCGCTGCCCTGAAGCCCCGAGAAGGAAGCAAAGGCACCGTCGCTGGTGCGAAAATCGTCTGAACGGTGCTGCGAGCAGCGGATTTCGCCATCAGTCGATTCCTCTGAAAAGACCAGCTGTAAGATGGAAGTTGAGGCGACTCAATATGTACCTGGAGTCTTTTTTGATGACCCTTTAAGCATGGTTGGTCATTACTCAAATATGGGGTCATGGACCCATTGTTGATTCGGGTCAGAAGGAGACTCCAGGTACGTCCTTTTGACACGGAAAAAGAAACTCGGGGTGTGGTATGGGGACCTCCGGGTTGCCTCAGGACCCATAGCGAGGCGGAAATAAGACATCTTCTTGAGCAAATGGCAAAATATCAAGACATCTTCTTGAGCAAATGGCAAAATATCAGGAGGGGTCACTGGACCCCGTAACACGTTGATCAATGTACCAGGGGTGTCAAGTGAAACTCTTTGAAGGTTCCAACCAGGGAAATGGAGGGACCCTAAAATGCCCAGCCCAAAGCACACCAAAAGGACACAAGCAACTTCAGGGTCTTTTCGTGAGACCTTTGCATGGAAAGGTCTCTAAGTTCGGAGTTTCGAACTCAAAGGAGAGGGAAACACAGTTTTCTCAACAACGGGGGAACCCGGGACCTTAAAAGGAACGAACCCCGCCGTGACTGCGACCTCTCCCTTAACCTTGTGGCAGCGCGTGCAACGCGCTCTTTTCTTGAGCCAAAGCAATGACATGCGGACATGCCATTGGTCTTGTACCTTGCAACATGAGTACCTACCTCATGAACCTCTGGGCCATAAATGTCATCGTGATAATTGACTCCCCCCTCATTGACGGCACTGAGGGAGTGTCTTGGGCGCATTACCACGCCAACTTGAAGTCAAGTTTACATCACAACGACTGACGCAAGTTATTCAAGCATCGCCCAGTCACTTGCACACTTTTGGAAATTTTGCGGACATGCTGCAGCGCACTAGGCAGCTGCTTTAGCGGATCTACTTTCACGAACGTCTTCAAGCTTCTCTGGAAGGTCAACACGAATGCCGAGCAACCGGATGGCATGGTCCCACTTGTTGGGTGGAAGTGCTTTCGTGAAGATGTCTGCTGACTGCATGTCTGTTTGGACGTATTCTATTGAGATGTGTTCGCTTTCAAGCTGCTCTGCGATGCAAGCGAGGTTCACCTTGTGCGTGCGTTGTACACAGCGTAGCTTGGATGAGAAACCCTTCTTTGCTACGAGGATGGTCGCCTGATTGTCCTCGTGGATCTTGAGATGGAATGGTCTGTCCAAGATCAGCTCCCATAAGCTGAGCGCAGGAAGTGCCTCCTGGTACAGGGAGTAGGCAAGAGATACGATTTCCGCCTCGGTTGTCGATCGGGAGACCGGGTCTGCCTTTTAGACACCCACGCGAGGGGAAAGTGCGTATGTGGACCACTCAAAATCAAGAAGCCTCCGGACGTCGACTTTGCGTCTCGTTCTCCAGCGAAATCAGCGTCCACAAACTGTGCCAACTAGCGTGCTGTTAACCGTGCTGTTTATGTAGCAGACAAGCCTATGTAGCTGCTTATCGCAGTTCCTAGACTATTTCTGAACAAAGGAAGCAAGGTCGCCAATGGGCTTGACCAGGTCCGGGCGTGCCAAACGGCCCAACCATAAGGCTTTCATCAACACGCGGCAAGCGGCGAAGCCGAGCTCACCCTCCAAGGCGTCATCTGCGGGGTCTAGAGATCCAGCGGGACAGAATGGAGTGGTGGCATCACGCAACTTTTCAGTTTTTAGCTGTGCAACCTCAAGATATAATGCAACCGTTTGACGAGCATAATCTCGCATGTCGAACGCCATGCCCCCTTTCAATCTGCCCATTGCGGCATTAAGATCGGGTTCAGTTGGGTCCTTTGGAGCATCTATCAAAAGGTGATTCCTGCCTAGCACCCGATATATGTCTTCTGGGGGTTCTATATCAACCAGTCTTGTTAACTTTTCCCAGAAGTCTTTATGAAGGTGGCTGGGGCCGGCCAACGTCAAGTCGTCGACGTATGTCGAGAGAAGTAACCCGGACTCCTTGAACCAGAAGTTTCCAGGAAACTCTGCGACCTCACGCCCTCCAAGTTCACTAATGAAACCTTTGAGGTGTGCCTCCCAGAGTCCGCCAGCGTCAGGATGCCCATAAAGAGCTTTAACGAGCAAAACCACAGGTTTCACGAAACGCTCGCGCCACCACCTTGGCCGGAGCTCAGGCGGGAGTGTGATCCAAGTTTGGTACTTGGATTTCAGCAGTGCTTGCACATAAGCCTTTATAGCGTCCGCTGTTGTGGTGGAATTCCCTGGCAGGGATCCATAAGCGAGACAGTTTTTAAGACCTTGTACGCTCGTGGGATTTGCTCCCAGTTCTTGGTAGACAGCTGCTGCGCCATGTTCGTCTTTCGCACAGTCTCCGCGATACACAATCCTACCTTTCATCTTCTGAAGGTGTTTCGCGAGTTCGGCGAACTTGACGGATGCTAGCGACATCAACTGCCCGAAATGGACTTTTGTGCTGGATCGTCGCGCCTCAGCAGCGACTTGATCATACTCTCGGACTGAATTTAGATCCCAAACACCGGCTTTCTCCAGGCCTGTGGCTTCAAGTCGAACGGCTTCAAGGGCTTCCGGGGAAGCCAACATTTCGGCACGTGACAAGAGTCTGGTCACCATTGCGGTGATTTCAGGATCCTTCTCCTCCTTGACTTGTCCTAGGGAATGTGCGATGAGATTTTCAACATCAAGAACTTGTTCAAGGATGTCGTGACACTTTTCATCGGACTCGACAGCAATACCTATATCTTCCAAACCAGAGAGAGGGGATATGTGTTTTAGCTGTTGTTCACGTTCCCGGTGGTCGAGGGGCAATGGCACTTGGACAGGCATCGCAGGCACAACGGGTTGAACTGTCGGATACAGCGCACGGGCAACTGTGAGACACATGCCTTCGGGGTAGAAAGCGGTCTTTGCGGTCTTGTTACCTGCTGCAAGCGAGTGTTTATACCCTTTTTCGTGCGGACACTTGAATGCACTTAGCGCGGGTGCGAGGGTGCTATTGCTGGTCATGACTTTCCATGGCTTTTTGATGGGGTAACCATTGCTGTCCTTCAGACCTAGGGCGCAACCGTGGAAGGTCGCTGGGGTGAAGACCTGTGCGTATTCCCTAAAGAATGCAGAAACATCATCCCTAGCCCAGCTGTTGCAATCCCTTGGCCATTCAAACGAAACACTACCCCCCTGATGGAGGACAGTCTCAGCGTGACGTCTGAATCTGGAGAACAACTCTCTCGACTCTCTAACTTTTTGTTTCAGTTTCTTTTTGAACTGGCTTCCTAACTTGGCCTTATTAAGGCGTTGCCATGCTGAACCTGACGTGCAGGGGATTGCAGCCCAGAGATTGGGTTTAGTTATCACAACCTTCTATCTGTGACTGCAATTGGATTTCTCCTTCATCTGTGCTAAGGTCGATAAACTCTTTAGCCAGCCTAACATGAGGTATGCCAAGACCTTCAAACACACGACCCATATTGGACTCTGGTGAACATGCGTATTCGAACATCACAGGCAACTTATCAATGCGTGCCTGTCGCTTGCGGGCACGATGATTTCCTACCTCAAACTGCTTGGGCTGCGGAGCTTCAACCTCTGCACTGCGTGGCATGCCAAAAATTGGCAATGTATCTGGACGACCGTTCTTTGACGCTTCGGTGAGAGGTGTCGGCGGTACGGAGTCTAACATCACGGCTGCACCTGTGGTGATAACGCAATCGGACTGAATGGGTTTTAACTTGAACACTGTGAACCCAGTCCATGGGTCTCCAAGTGAGCGATTAGGTCGGCTACCAAACCAACCATCGTGAATGTTGTCTGCCTTGCCCCCCTGAAACACGGCACGAGTGGTGCGAGCTGCAGTAAATCTTTCTGGGGAAACGGGGCAATCCTCGACCTCCTTCGGGGTAAAAAGACTCTGCCTTGGCATGATATGGTACCGAACCAAACAGTTGGCATTTTGATTTGAACACCCAAAAATCTTCACCTTGCGATGTAGCGGCTGTCGCTGGCGCGGAATCGAAAAATGAGGCACCGGGTCTTGAGGGAGCGGGCTCCCCGGCTTCGGCTGCATCAAATTCATGCGCAACATCTTCTGCAGTAACTGCGATTTTAGGATCTTTCTCGTGCTCGGATGCGTGGATTGCCCTGGCTAGCTCCTCATCCCCTTCAGTATGAACAATGGGAACGGGCTCCTTAGATTCAGTTTTGGCAGCGCTTTTTGCAGCTGCTTCAGCTCGATCTGCAGAAACAAGTTCGGAGAACCTCTTCTTGCATTCGGCACTGTGAATTTTGGAATGACCGGTGCATGCACGACAACCTGGCGTTTCCTTGAACTTGATGATCCTCTCAACAGTTATGTATACGGACTTTGACTTGACAGCGGATGGAGTCGGTGGGGCCCCAAAGGGCGCCTCTCGCAGGGGCAAAGGTGGGGGATCTGACCCTTCTGTCTTGCCTCCGTGCAATGCTCTGTCTGCTGCTGCTGCGATCGGAAAGCTTGGCGGTCCGTCCTCAACGAACAACTACGGTTCAGGAACATCGTGAACGGAAATGGAACCGTCTTTACGGAAGGCTTCATAGTCCATGACTTTGACCACGTTACGGTACCGCAACCCCGGATCGACCCTCCAACCCAAAAAGAGCGCTGGCGCCATGTTCGGATCGAGAGCGCGCTTGCCCCCGAAACAGCATCTCTTCCCTTGGAACTTTTCCTTTGTGAGGGCTTCCCATTGGGTTTTGCCCGGGCTGAATGGAGCGGGCCTGTCGAACGACATGGAGAGGCATGCAAATGGGTAGCTAAACGTGTGCAACGAATAGGGCAACCCTGATTGCAAGTGGATGCTGCGGCAGCATTCCTTCTCTTCGCGAATGTCGCGCTCCAGGACGGTATTGTGAGGCCACCTGTTAGGCAAGCTTGTCTCTGGGACGAGACCGACTTCATGGGCTGCTCCTTCGAGCTCTCCTGCTGCATCCATTTTTATTAGACATGCTGGCGGCGAATCAGTGGCCCGAAGGCCCATGAACTGACGGAAGTTTTTAACATGCGCTTGCGTGTCTCGCCTACTCACTGGGTATGCAAGGCGAACGCCTGAGAAAACATCACGTGCTACATGGTGGGATTTGATTCCTCCGAAACCTACTCCGAGATGTTCATCGCCCATGGCAAGAATCACAGAATCGGTAGCCAACTGTTGAAATGGTGCAGTTGGGACGTCGACTTTGTCGTCTGATCTGGTATCCTTTTTGTGCGCTACCCTTGCAGAAGTGGTCTTTGAGATTGAACACACCTTGCAAAACGGGTGCTTAGGGAAATGGGACCTCATGTGCTCAGGAGATTTCGCTTGCTCCTTCAACGCAGTATCATGTGTCGGGTCACCATCCCCGAAGGCGATCAACGGAAGTTCGTCCTCGGGAGGAGGGGCTTCCTCGGCCGCTAGCATGTTCACAGGAACCTGATCTGGCTCGCCTTCATCTGACGCTTGGCACGAGTCATCGCACAAAGAAACGACATCGTCTTCGGCCGCGCTCATAGCGGCGGCTTCAATCGGCCAGAGGTGAGTTGACGACTCTGCCAACTTGGGCTTTACCACCTCATCATACTGGGGAACGTATTCCACTACCCTAGATGCATTAATGCGCGCATTGCGGGGCACGTTAATCTTACATCTACTGATGTCCTTTGGGGGAACAAGGTATGGAACATTTTCACGTGGATCCCAAATGAAAAGGTGTCCTTGATCCATTACGGTCTTCCCGATGGATTGCGCTGGTGGGCAATCACGGAGGACGTACACCTGCTCTTCAGCAGGTATCACTCGGCTGTCCTCGAACCCTAATGAAGTAGTGCCTTGTTGGGCACCACCCCCAGTCGCAAAACCTACGGGTGTGCTGCTCTCGCGCACGCACTTGATCATGTTGCTATTCAAAGCTTGACGTCCGATCAAGTGTCTCCCTGCGGCAGTATCCCAAAGCCAACTGATGCGATTGTCGTCAGAAGCAACGCTTGCCATTGCCGGAATGAGCTGTGCAACAGCTGCGCTCGCCTTTGGCGGCGGCGGTGACAACAAACTTTTGGGCTTGGGACCAGTGTACTTGTTTGTATCACTGTGGAGAAATGCGCACTGCTTGGCCTTGCACGAATTATAGGCATAAAACATGCATGGCGTCTTGGCTTTCTCTGCCGCGGTCATATTGGCTGTCTTGCTGATGGCCTTAGACCTAGGAGTAAGGTTATCGTTCGAACCACCCTTACCTTTGCCCTTGGGGGCTGGTGCTGCATTAGCTTTAGGAGGAGGCGGCTTTGGATCTTTAACCTTCGGCGCAGGGGCTGCAGGAGTCTGCTGGTCAGCAGATTTATCCTTCTTGCTCTTCTTATTTTTCTTCTTGGGCTTGTCTTCGCTGCTCGCTGCAGGCATGGCATTAGGATTATTCCCCTGGGACATGACGGCTGGCTTGATTTGAAGACTTTTGTCAAACTCATCCCTGTTCCGCTTGTCCTGATGGAGCTCCAAGGCTAGATCAACCTTGGACCACAACCATTCCGGCTTCCTACGGTGGCTGCCGATAGGGGCTTCCCGTGCCTTTTCTACCTTAGGCTTCAGCGCGGTGCACTTTTCCAGCTCATCCAACAGGTGATCAAACAAGGTTGTTTCCCTGGGTTGTTCTGCCACGGGGATTGCGGTCAGCACGTAAACGTACTTCTCCCGAAAGGCATCCAAGTCAGCAAGGGACGGACCTGCAAGAGACAACTTTAACAAGTTACGGCCTCCTAAGGTTCCGATCCTACCTCGTTCCAACTGGAAGTGCTTGAAGATGGCGCGCAACATGATTCTCCCTACGGGCATCCCACCTGACGAGATTCTCTCTTGTTCAACCATGTTTTGAAACAAGAGCCCGAACTTACCTTTGCGGCAGGTCTTAAGGAGCTTTGCGGCTACTTCACGATCTAGACGTGGGAAACGCTTGTCCGCGATGAGTTCCTGCTCGGTGGAGGACATGCATGCTTGGGCCCACTGGTAAACTTCATCTCCGGGGGTCTTCTGGAGTCGACCGATGGCCATCAAAACTTGGTTGACGAAACCTCTAGCCTGACCAGCGTTCTCCGGAGGGGATGGTAGTACAAGATCCTTGAGATCCTTGACACGGACAACGGACTCCTCATATGCGGCGTGATCTACGGCGGTCATGCCTGCACTGGGAGACGGGTCTGCGTTGGGGAACTGGCCAGAGCCTCCCCCACCTCCCCCACCACCATTCATGGTGAGGTATGGGCATTCCGTGTCTTCATGGCTGCCGCCGCAAACTCGACATTGTGGGGTATCGTCATCTCCATCGGAGTCTGATGATGAGTCGGAGCTTGCGGGCGATGGCGCTTGTGGGGATGACGAGTACAACCCTCCCAACATTGTGATTGGTACTGGCGGAACACGAGTGCCGTTGCCAGCTTTTGGCGGAGGCGGTGCCCCTGCGAGGGGCGTGGGAGGCACTGGAGGTGGTGCGGCCGGAGGCGGAGGTGGCGGAGCCACTTGATTAGCAACCAATTGGGAAAGCTGCTGAACCATTTCCGCTAAAGCCGTCACTTGCACTCTCACATCGGCTTGATCCCTTGTACCGTCTCTACCCAACCCGCTAGTCCTCGACGCGCCGGGGGCTGCACACCTTGTGACAAGACCACACCTGTGGTTTCAACCGATGCAAGACGTTGCTGATAAGCGTTGTCCGCGGCCTGGATTACCTCAAAGGCTTCTTGGTCGAAAAACCACAGGTGCCAACTATCCAATGTCTCACGCCAGGAAAAGAGCGCCTCAACCTGTTGCTTTGAGGCGTCTGCAAACCTGATCCACCGGAATCGTCTGTCCTGTCTCTTGTACTCGTCTACGACGATCTGTTGCAGGGTGTTGCACAGACGGGCACGCGGCCCTTTCCCACCGCGAGTGCCGCGGTGAGGGCCGACTTCCATGTGCGACCAAAAGGTCGCAGTCACGGAAGGGTTTGTTTACCCGAAAAGCGTTACGGCTGATAACCACTCAAAGGAGAGGGAAACACAGTTTTCTCAACAACGGGGGAACCCGGGACCTTAAAAGGAACGAACCCCGCCGTGACTGCGACCTCTCCCTTAACCTTGTGGCAGCGCGTGCAACGCGCTCTTTTCTTGAGCCAAAGCAATGACATGCGGACATGCCATTGGTCTTGTACCTTGCAACATGAGTACCTACCTCATGAACCTCTGGGCCATAAATGTCATCGTGATAATTGACTTTCGAACAACTAATAAAATACTAAGTTGTGAAAGTTGGGGTGCCTAAAAATATATCCTGTTGGTGTCCTGCACCACTCCGAAAGGTATCCTCAACCCAGACCCCCAGTGGCCATGAAGAAAGGGCCTGGATCGCCAGTTGCCGCTTTTTTCCATGAACTTTACCCCAAAAAACCGGCAACAGTGATTGTAAAAAGCAGCAACTTGGCTATCTAGGGGGCACTTGTTTGTTGGTGCTCTGCTTGAAACGACAGCCCCGTCCGAAAAGCTGAAACAAGCTCGCACGGAATGGGTTGTGGTGTCTGGGTTTCTTGAATGGCAAACATGTGTGAGGGTACCACTGGGTGTCCTCCGTCAAAACAAAAACATCTCCAAATACCTGCCTTGTGCTTTTTGGCTCGGGCAAAAATCATGTCACCCCGTAATTTCTACACAAGGGATCGGCTCTTGCCATGATACCCTACATCATATATTATTCCATTTTCCTTTTCGCCCCCTGGACAAAAATGAAACCATATTATAAGCAGTGAAATCGATTCCCTTTCAAACCAACAGGGGGAAATTATAAAAGCTTAAGCCAATGGAAGAGAAAAACACCACAAGGCGTGAGAATCCCCTCCCCCCCATGTTTCATTTTGACCCATACCCACACAGAGACACACACACACACACACACGGTCCCAGGCCTGTGCCGCAGCAGGAATTCCCGAACTTGTGCCCGCTCGCCGAGATGGACCTAGCCCAGTTGAACCCAGTGGATGCCATCGTAGAGGGTTTTGCTGGTACCTCCTGAGGATGCCTTTTCGGGGGTAAAAAGGGGAAGGTACTTGGACCCTCTGGGATTGGACCCTTGGCATTTTTTTGCGGAAAACCAGGTTTCTTGAAAAACACAAACTGCGAAAATCGCAAGAAAAAGCATTTGAAGGTGATCCCGGGGGGTAGTAGTTGTGGTTGTTTTTTTCCTATGGAGAAGCCAAATTTCCGCGCGACGATTCGGTCACACCTCGATGGACCAGCCAGGATCTCGGGTACATAGACCTCTGTTTTCTTCAGCCTTAAGAATGAACTAGTTTTGGAAATGACCCCACTAAACATCTTCGGATCCGTTCGGATCTGGTGGGCTTTCTTATGGGCCAATCCACCCAGAAAGTCGGAAGTGAATCTATTCAGGCCGGAACAAACACCATCTTTTCTGGAGGAATTCCTCTTTTAACCACCTACCAAACAAATGGTGCTTGGATGCTCGGCCGCAATACCTGGCTGCTCGCTTTTCTCGGGTGGTTTATTTGAGCATTCATGAGGTTTCATCCATCCCAACTGATGTGGGACTTTGTATATTCACGGCTAGTAGGGGAACAAGGGAACCCCTCAAATTTGTCAATGTGGAAATCGCTTTTGAGTTGATTGGGTTGGTTTGCTTGCAGTTTGTAGGCGTACCATTATACCAAGTAACCTCAACCACCCCCTTGATTTCATAAACCGACTATGCAGGAGTACAAGCCGTCCTTGTATGCGGCTTTTGGGCGGACGCCCGCGTCTCTAAAGTAAACCAGCCGTCAACTACGAAACCAGGGGTGGGTAAACACAAACTTGTTCTGATACCAGAATCAGGAAGCATATGTGTTTGTCGCAAAATAGGGAACACCACACAATTTGTATAGTATAGTTTCCCTTCCAAGCAACAATAGGCCAGTAACTTCAACAAAAACACAGTGTCATAGGTGGGTGTCGCTGGTTACTAGACGTGTAGCTGAATCAACATGATACCCTTCAACAAACTAATGTATTTGGTGGGGGAGGGGGGGCTGACCGTCCCTACTGTGGGTGGACGAAATCCTGCACAACTTGGAAACTATGGTATTCCGTTGCTTATTGGTATTTACAGGGGAATCATCGTTCCAGGGCTTGTTAGGTGGTGCAGGATTTCGTCCATCCACACTAGCTTGAGCTGTCCAAGCACCAGTCGACTGAAACCGATGTAGGGACAACTTGGGTTCCGCCCCTTGGCTGCTGGACATGTCACAAAATAGGGGACCTCCAAATATGGGTGTGTTTTTGTTAGTACCCCAACACGAATATGGCGGTTTTCCTGTTGCTTTCCCTTTAAACCACACCGCACAAAGGGAACCAACTCCAAAAACAACGCACCCATATAGCGACGTTCCTTTCGGGTCCCGTTGTTGGCAGGCCCTTTTTAAGGGCAAACCAAACAAAAAACCGCGGGCCCCGTATGAGGCATGGCGGACATGGCGCTTCGGCATCGTGGGGCCGATGGCTTTTTTTTGGCTGCCGGGGCGCAAGACGTTCTTCAAGCGGAAGTCCCACTTGGGCAGGTTGTCCTCCGAGCGACTGGGCGGCTTGCCCAAAACAATCGCACTTCTCGATTAGATTGCCCCCATTTTTCTCCAGACTGGTTGTTTGCCACTAAAATGGTGCAAACCCAAAAAGTATCAAGTTCAGGACTCAGGGAGTCAGGGAAAAACATCTGAAGTACCCAGGACACCGAAACTCACCTGCCCATAGGATTTCGAGATGAAAGGACCCAAAAGGGGTACTAACTGGCTCCTTGGAGCATGGACGCACACCTCATGCATTGTGTTCGTGGAGAATCCGACAACCCGTCCAAGCCATCGTTCAGCGAGCGATGGCGACAACAAGAAGGCGATTTGCCAAAGACGTCAGGCGAGAGCATCTCAAAGGTCGCACGGTCGACCAGATTTGTGCCATCGTCGTCACAACGTACCCCCGTAACCTCCAAATACCCGGCCTTTATTCAGACTATCATGTCGACCCTCTGCCAACAAAGGAGGTATTTATCACGGAAAGGATTTCTCACAAAATACCAACTGAAAAAAGCGTTGGTATTTTGTGTGGGGGGGTACTTGGACCCTTAGGGGAAGGCCAGCGTTTTACCTTTTTTGCGAAAACCGCACACTCACATTTTGGGAGCTCGGTCCCAAATTGCCCGGCTCGCTTGAGGATGTTCCAAATTTTGGTTCTGAGTGTCAGCGCAGCCAACGGACCCGGGACCCGCCCTCCCAGTCCCCGTCACCTGCAGTTTGGTTCACCTTTGGGGGCAACATCGACAAGGGGAAACTAAAGTGGGCTGTCCTCAGATTCCCCGCATTAAAACAAATAACTTTTGGTGGGTTAAATTCGGAAATCCCCATTATAAACACTAAAAAGCTAAAAGGCTAAGGAACCGGTGGCTGGGAGCCAGTAAGTAAAAGGACGTTCAGGTCGACTCGCCTTTGGAACCGATCGGTTCTCCAGGTAAAAATCGCTCCTTCTTAGGGTTTTCCATCATACCCCTACCATAATACCACACCAACACACAAAACGTGGGTACTGTTGAGATCTGCCTAAACACCCCGAGAGCAGTGTTGCAGCCGTTGATCTGCCTAAAGCCAGCCCTTTTTTTTCGGAGCTTGCTCGCGGAAACTGGAAGCTGGGACCTAGGTCCTCCAGATTTGGGAGGTTAGAATTCGCCTCGCTCAGATCTTCTCCAAAAGAATCTTCGCTTTTCCCCTCCCCCAACCCCCTCTAAAATCCTGTCCGGCGGGCCTTGAAATTTTCGGGGTTCGTCGGCGTCCAGCTCCATGGGTCCATTTTTGTCGAAAATGTGCTGACAATTGCCATCAAGTTACCATGAATCACCACATGTCCAGATCTAATAAACACAACCCTCCTGCAAAGTCGGTTTTTGCGCATGTATTAGCTCTAGAATTACCACAGTTATCCATGTAGCAGTGACCATCAAATGGACTATAACTGCTTTAATGAGCCATTCGCGAAAATGACTAGGCTCAGGCCCAGCCCAACCAGCAACCCGCCTGCTGGCCAGGCCTGTCAGCCCAGCCCACCCAGCCTCAGGCCCAAGCTTGTCTGAAACACACCTACCCCAAGCACGGCCCCAAGTCATCCAGCAAGCCCAGCCCAGCCTGCCCAGCCCAGGCCCCGACCCGGCGCGGCCACTAGCCGGCCCCCAGCTCCCAGCCCACCAGCAGGCTCAGCGTGCCAAGGTCAGGTTTGTCTAACGTGTCTGAGACTGGCCTCAGGCCAACAACCAGTCTCACGTGTCTGAAACTGGTCTCAAGCTATGCCAGCTACTACGTGCCCCAGCCCCTCAGTCTTGACCTCCTGCTCGCGTCTGGCCCCAAGTCATCCAGCAGGCCCAGCCCCTTCGGCGCAGTCTAAGACTGGTCTCAAAGTATGCCAGCCTGAGACTAGGCCCAGTCCCTCAGCCCGCCTGCTGGCGTGTCTTACGTGTCTGCGACTGGCCTCAGGCCCAGCCCAGCCAGCAACTCGCCACCCAGCCTCAGGCCCAAGTGTGTATGAAACAGGCCTTGCCCATCCAGCAACTTTCCAAGCACAGCTCAGCCCAGCCCGCCCAGCCCAAGTTCCAGCGTAGTCCGGCTGCCCGGCAGCCAGCAACCCACTCATGGCTTCGCAGCCTCGTGGCTGAGACTAGCTTCAGGCCCAGCCCAAAGCCTGCCCAGCCCAGGCCCCGGCGCATCTCAGGGCATGCCCCAGCTCCCAGCCCACCAGCAGGCTGAGTGTGCCAACGTCAGGTTTGTCTAACGTGTCTGAGACTGGCCTTAGGCCAACGACCAGACACGTGATGAGACTGGTCTCAAGCTATGCCAGCTACTCAGCAGCCCAGGCTGACCAGGCCCCTTCGGCGCGGTCTCAAGGTAGCCTCAGGCCCAGTCCCTCAGCCCGCCTGCTGGCGTGTCTTACGTGTCTGCGACTGGCCTCAGGCCCAGCCCAGCCAGCAACTTGCTACCCAGCCTCAGCCCATCCAGCAACCCGCCCAAGCACAGCTCAGCCCAGCCCGCCCAGCCGAAGTTCCAGGCGCAACCAACAGCGTAGTCCGGCTGCCCAGCAGCCAGCAACCCACCCATGGCTTCGCAGCCTCGTGGCTGAGACTAGCTTCAGGCCCAGCCCAACCAGCAACCCGCCTAAGCCAACCCCACCCAAGCCCACCCTGTTTGAGAGCTTCAGGCCCAGCGCAGGCTTATCTGATGTGTCTGAGACTAGCCTGTGGCCCAGCCCAACCAGGCGAGGTCGGCTTGTCTGACTTGTCTGGAGCCAGCTTCAGGTATTCGGACCTTCCCAACACTGGATTTCGGTGTTCCTGACCCTTCCCTCAAACTAGGCTGGGCCGAGGCGGGCAACGCGAAGCGTTTACAATAAGTTGGTACCAACGATATATATTTTGGGTTTGTCTAATTTCCTGGACCCCCAAAGGACCCCTTTTGCATGCCTTTGACCCAAAAATAAGGGGTACAAAGGCAGAAAAAAAGGGTCCTTTTTTGGGGGTCCAGGTTAGTAGGGGCTTCCCCTCCCAACCCGAAAAAGGGTTAACAAGGGCAACTAGCTGGACCTAGGTGAACCAAACCCCCCAAGAAGCCCACCGAAAACCGCTTCGAAAAACGGGTCCTGGAAGGGCGCGATGAAGCCCCCGGAGGCGGCATCCACGTGGATGCCCACCTGCGCCACCCGGTGCTTCGTCGCACGGGCCCAGAAACCCAAAAGATGATCACCGGAGATGGGGAGCAAAAAGGGACGAAAACCAAATCAAAAATCAAAAAGTACAAACAAAAAAAAGAACAAAGAAGAAAGCCTGGTGTCTGATGATTCCCCTCATACCAACAAACAATGGCTCCCCATGGTTATCAAGTGACCAAAAACAATTCAAAAAGGACAAACAAAAAGACCTGGCATCCCGCCATGGCATCCCGCCGCGCGGAGGAGACGTCTTGCCCCTCAAAATACCCGCCTTTTGCGAGGGTAGCCTGGGTCCTCCAGATTTGCGAGGTTAGAATAAGAGTACCAACTTTTTTCTGTGGTCTATTTTAGTAGGGGAACCCTCCCCCAAAAAAGTTGGTAAAAGGGCACTACTGGGGGACCTAGTAGCATTTGGGGGTTGAAAAGAAGGAACTTCAAAGGAACATGGAAGCGGGTCCCTCCGCCTCTACTCCCAAATACCCGCAATTTGTTTCATTGCATTTTGTATAAAAACCACCCCCTGCTCCAAAACCCATATTTTTTTCAGTTGGTATCATGTCGACCCTCTACTACAAAAGGGTTGGTGTTTACCATGGAAAGCCGATCGGTTTTCCCAAAAATACCAACCGAAAAAAGCGGGAATTTTGAGTAGGGGGTTGATCTACCCCCATACTCCAAACCCCTGCATCGCCAGTTGCGATCGCTTCTGTCCATGAACTTTACCCCGAACACCAGCAACAGTGAGTGAAAAAAGCGAATTTAGCAGCTTGGCTATCTAGGCCGTTCTTTTTCAGGTAAATGCCTTCTTCTTTTTTAGCAAAGGGTTGACATGATACCAACTAAAAAAAGTAGGTAGGTGCGGCAGGGGGCACATTGGGCGAAGGGACCTCAACAAAGGCCAAAAAATGTTTGAAGTCCCAAGATCCAAGATCCGGGCAGCGCAGGGTGGATGACCTACTCTGCCTCTCTCTTGCTTACAGTTTAAGTTCGCTCTTCAAAACCAGAGGCCGTTGCTTCGGTTGAATGGTTTGCCAGTTGCAACTAGTTAACCAGAAATAGTCAAGTGATCGCTATTTGGGGCCACAACAAATCGACCGCACGGAGAAACCAACAGGTGAGTTCAGGTCAAGTCGTTGGCAATGCCTTCAAGGTTCGCTGGATTGCCCCTCAAAAAGTGTCTAAGGATTGTTCTATTCCGCACTGGGAGTACGCCCTGAGAAAAATACAAAACATAATCTGAATTAGGCATGTTTTATCCAGACATTGGCTAGAGTGGAGTCATTCCCACAAGGGCGCAAGCCCAGGGTGTAATAGAACCCTTGGAAAGTTGCAATTTGTTGTGGTTCTAAAACTGCCCCTTTCGATACGATAGCCCAGAAAAGCTGGACATACTTGGAGGCAATGTCTACCTCCTACTTCAAAAACCACAACTTTGTTCAGTTGGCATTTCTTGCAAACCCCATCGGTGAAACCATGATAAATACGTTATTGCTCAATAAAGGGCTGGCAATCTTCCATTTGCTTAAGTCCCTTAGACAAAATTACCTTTCTTGGTGAAATCGATGCCCTTTAAAATCATCGGGAGGAAAACCTGTTCTGAAACGCACATGGACACAATTCATGCCACCCTAAGGCTCGAGACCCCTCCAACATCCCTCCAATGCAGGCCCCATAAGGGAGCCTCCAATAAAAAAAAAAACGGACCAATTCCTCAGGGGCCCTTGAAAAACCAAAAACAATTTGAGGGCCCAAAAACAACCACGAAAACAGCTTGACCAAATCAGCATACCCATGTTCAGGGCTCAAAAATCCAACGAATTGGGAGCCTTAGGGCAAGCGTCAGGTTCCGTTGGGCTACTCCAGGGGTTGATTCCCAATCACTGGGTTTCTGGAGCTTCTCTGGTAAGGATCGGGTTCAGAATGGGCATGGAAGGTACCCCTAGAGCCACGGTACCTGACGTCATCGCGGCCATGAACCGAAGACCTCGACGTATCTCGACGTCCAAAACCCTATGGCGAGTCGGAGCTGTACCAATGGCGTGTCTGATCTCCCCAAAAACCCTATGGCCTCTCTCAAAACCGCCTGCTTGGCGGGGTACCAACTAGGTCCAGTAGAGAGGTTAGAATCCCGGGACCCTTTAGTAGGGGAACCCTCCTCCAAAAAAAGAAACGGTCAAAGGGCACTACTGGGAGACCTAGTGTAGGGAGCCAGCCGATTTAGTTGGAGTTAAACAAAAGACTCAACCAGAGCAGGACCCTGGAAAGCAGAAACCAAACGAGTCATGATCAAAAGCTAGATATTGAATCAGTCTATCCGAAAGCATGTCACGAATGGGCGGATATCCGCATCTCTTGGTGGCTTTGCCAGTCTGTTGCCACGATGGGCGCCCTAAATGTTGCAAGTAAACTAGCCATACTCAACCACAAACCATGGTAGATCACTAAAAACTTGCTGGTGTCCTTGTCCCTTGCAACAGGTGTGTGTTGTGTCTATCAACCCCATATTAGGGGGGGGCGTCCAATGGGGATCAGACCACTTTGGGAGGTGCCCCACCCCTAATTTAATGAACAAGTTGGTTGATTCATATGGGGCCAACAGAACCAAAATGTATCATACCTAGCCCCTTGGGCTTTAAATATGAAGGCCTTGGACCCCGAAAGACCGAAAAACTTAGCATGCTGTAAGTTTATGCTATAAACACTGTCATAAACTTACAACATGGTTCACTCGTTTTCAACCATTACCACTGTAATCACTGTAAACTTACCGGGTGTCCTTGTTTCCGAGTCGCAATCAACACCTGGTTCCAAAATGGTCTACCCAGAACCATGTACAGGATTAAGAAGGCGGCCGCAGCTATTTATGGTTGGGATCGTCCCTTACTAACCTTCATCTACCAGGGTTTGGTTTTGGCTCAATTGGGTGTGGCTCAAAATTAAACAGGAGGGGTTACGCAGGTTTTGGTCCATGTATCCACTTTCCAGGGTTCCATGTTGGTCCCGGTTTTTTGAGCCACAGCCAATTGACCTCCAAAGACCTCAAACGGGGTCAACATTATTCGTCGCGGGGATTGATGACCCTCAGCTCAGAGCCTGGAGGCCCTTCTCGGCGTTGATCTTGTCCAAGGCTGCATCCACCTGACGCATGAAACACCCCGTTGCTATCCTCCCCCCGCGAGTGTTTTTAGTTCTTTCTTCATGTGTTGTTCTTTCCTCATTTGGTGTGTGTGTGTGTGTTTTAGGATTTGGACCCCTGGTGTTTCCAAATTTTGCTTGAACCACAAAACAAACCCTCATCAAAAGGTCAATGTAGGTCTTGTGGAAAAGCCAACTTTTGCGATGTTCAGCCATGTTTAGAGACAAACTCTAAGAGAACCGACGCATGCGAGTCGTAATCAAAACCCGGTATCAAAATGGTCTACCCAGGACAATGTAAAGAATTAAGAAGGCGGCCGCAGCTATTCATGGTTGCGTACCATACCCGGGCTTTGGTTGTGGCTCATGTGTTTCCTTTGTATGTGGTTTTTCCCTTTGCGGGGCTGGTAAAAGGCAAACACCCGTTTTGGGTTGTCTTGCTGAGGGCATCCTTTGTGGAGGTGTGTCTCCAAGGAACCATAAGGACTACCTGGACCCTCAAACTACCCTGAACAAGGAAATTAACGCCATATTTTTAGGGCAGTAAGCAATTTGTAAGTCCAGGTACACTTGTTTGGGGGGATCGCTCATTGAGAGACAAACAGATCTAGACACATGTCTACGTGTGCGCCATGGTCAATGTCTGTTGATGACCGATGGACCTTGCAGAGTCCCTTGGCTTTTCAGGGAAATGTAGCGGAGTCCCCGTGCATACCCCCTACTCCAGATACCCACTTTTTCTATATTCTTGTTTGAAGAACCAATCGGTTTTTCATGGTAAGTACCTCCTTTTTTAGTAGAGGGCCGACATCATACCCTGAAAAGTGGGTATTGGGCGTAGGGGGTACTATCATCTCTACTTGGCGGTTTGGAGCTCGGTGGTTTGGACGCGTTCCGGGGGTGGCGTCCAGATACCCAAGAACCAGTTCCCTTATCAATCTACCAATCCAAACCTCCAATTAAGCTGGGTGAATTATAGTATTTCACCAGCCTGAAGTGAGGTGCTTGGGGGGCCATTCCCCATATAAACCACCATTTGGGGTGAGCTCGTGTGAGGCCATGTGAGATCGTTATACTTCACCCAGATTGAGGGTTTCCTGATACTATGACTATGCCTGCGCGCGCATGTGCACGTCAGCCTCTGGCGTGGAACCTTGCGCTTTTGCGCTCGCAAAAAGCGTGGGCGCGGGTGGCGTGTGATCGGGAATCCCCAGGCAAGAAAGGCCATAGGAGCTTTCTGAGCTCATTTGACTGGCCAAATCAAAGTGCTGGGTTTTGACTCAAATGTTGTTCTGGGCTGTCCTCAGATCCCTTGCTAAAAGTTTAACTTTTAGTGGGTTAAGTGGAAATCCCCACTAATAAGAAGCTAAGGAACCGGATGGCTGCGAACCACCAAGTGTTTTAAAGCGAACCACCCCTTGTTGGCAGCAAGCTTACACCGAGGAACAAGATGCACAATTCCCTCGGAAATACGGGGATGACGAAACCACCATGGAGTTGGATATGCCACATGTAAGTTGGCCAACTCAACTACGAAAACCCAGACTCAGACGCGCTTCTGTTTCCTACTCCAGATGTATACCCTCGTTTTTGTTTTGTTGTCTTAGCGTTGTTTTCTCTTTGGAAACCCTGGTTTGCCATGGTAAATATGTTTGTTAGTCAGGGTTTGCCATTTGCCATCATCCCCATCATACCCTGAATAGGGTTTATATCTGGGCTGTGTAAAATGGAGGGTCTGGCAATCCAAGTACATAATCCTTTGAGGGACACCATTACAAAAGGGTGTTTCTTTCGTAGCCCAAGGTAAGAAATTGAGGATTGCCTTGAAGAGCCCAGATAGCCAGCAAGGAAAGATTGCCAAAATAATATGTTCGCTATCTGCTTCGGACATTGTTCCATTTTCAATCCCAACCCAGCGAATCCCACGCAAGCCACCATAGTAGATAATAAAATAACCAGAGGCCACAAAGTAAAACCTGGAGATAAGAAATCCTGGTTGCCTCCTACAGTGGCTTGCTTGGAAGCACTGGGTATGTTTCAACAGGGAGGAGACCCCAGTGGACATCTAGCGAAACGCAAGGAAGCCTGCAGTGGCTTGCCCATCGGGTCGTGGAGTTGAACTCGTGGGCGCGCAAACATGTAGCCATGAAGTTTAAGAGCGAACCACCTCAAAAGTTCCTTGTGGACATAAATCCCCACTGAATTTTGATGTCCACCAAAGGGTCGCTTATTAAAATTCATAGCCCTGCTATGGCGCCAAGTCTTGTTGAGATGGACCCCCCCTGGCAAAAAAAAGACACAAACAAAGTCAAACGTAACATGTGGGTTGGTCGCTAAATCGGGAACCTTCCACGAGATCCCTGATTTTCCTTAGGTACCCTGTAGCAAAAAAACAAAAAACAAAAAGACACACACACGAACACCCGTACTTATTGTGTCCCCCAGTTGGACTTTAAGGAGTAAGCCCCAATTCCATATTTGAGTGTGACTCTCATGTCATCCCGGATTTCGACAAATGACTGTTGTTCTCTTCCATTTGCTTCAGTCCGGAAAAAAACATACAGACATATCCAGTCAGTGATAGATTCCCTTTCAAACCAACGGATTAAAAATACAAACAAAGCAACTCAATCAAATGCAATACACATACCCCCTACTCCAAACACCTGCCTTTTTCCAGGTAGTTTTAAGAAAACCTGGTGTTCCATGAGAAATACCTCCTTTGTTAGTAACGGGTCGACATGAGACCCTGAAAAACCAGGGGGTATTTTGAGCTTTCTAGGGGTAGGCCATGCACCACTCGGCTGGTGGAAAAAAGCTGAGCGCCAAGCCTCCCACACTGGGTCATACCTCAGCGACACGCCGATTCAATTCAATGCCCACAGGGGTTGTGTCTACAACTTGAGGGACTTCCCCCCAAACAAAGTTCTTTTGGTTTCCTGCGGGTTCCCTTTAAAAGGGGAAATACCAAAAGGGGACCGTGGAAAATCCCATGTTGTTTTGACATACACAAACCAACACACAGGCGTGTTTGGAGTGGGGGGGATTGTGCCAATGCTCGATGCTCGCGGATTTGCCTCCATGGACGTGGGTAAGACACAAAGGCCCGCTGGTTGTTTGAGTCACCCGTGCATTTTGGTTCCGCCAGTTCTAGGGACAGCTCCTGGTCAACCATTAATCTTCGCAAACACCTCCCGTTTTGCCAGGTGTTTGGTTGACCTTCCCAGGGATTTGTGTGGTCCTCTTCAATCACCCGCCAGTTTTCCCAGGAATTTGCTGGCTTTCTGAAGCACATCTTCTCCTGAAACAAATGCTCAGTTGCCCAGTTCGGACCTGGAACTAAAAGGTGATCACCTTTTGGGGCCATGACTAAATATGGGTGTGGGTCAAAAATAGGTAGCTCAAATTGAATCCTGGTAAATGGAAACAAGGACTAACAAATGACTAAAACCTGCGGTTACCTGGTTTAATTTTGACCCATACCCATATGGGAACCCAAAATGGGAAAACCAAAAGGTCATTGCGATCGGTCGATTCGCTCAGAGAACTCGGCGGTCAAATCCCCTTCGAAAAAGATTAACTTTTAGTGGTACCGAAACTATCACTAGACCCCAAAAAGCCTAAAACAACTATTGTGGTTCAGTGGATCAGTGGAAACCAAAAAAGCTAAATTTAGCTTTTGGTGGTCCAGTGGAAACAATCACCAAATCCTGAAAAACAACAAACCTCCGGAACCGGACGACTCGTTGGTATCACCAAGAGAAGTTGTTGGAGTGTTTTGTCGTCAAAGCGACTGCCCACCGTAGTGGTTCCCCATAATGCACACCACGCCAATTGTCTGGTCGTCGATGTAGTCCTAGCCGCGGTGTCTCAACTGGAGGGGTCTCACTTGCGGGGCCTGGAAATAAAGAGTGATCACCTTTCGGTGTCATGTAACTCAGTTCAGTGACCATGGAAAAAAAAGGAACCCTTTTTGGGGAAGACCATTTAAGTGGGGCCACCAAAAAAAATGGGAACATAATTGGTGCCACTGAACAACTGAGGTACACATGGTTGCCAAACAGAGGAAACCAAAAGGTCAAAAGGTCGATTCGCTTTGGGCAAGTGAGCACCCACTACCCGGTGTTTTTAAGGGTGCATTTTGAAAGCCCCGGTGTCCATGGCACAAACCGATCCCGAGCTTGCGGGGAGTGCAACCAGCTTGACCCAGAATTTACCTTTCGGTGATGACCTTTCAAGGCCACTTTGAAAAGTGGGCTCCCACAACAAGAGCAGACACTTTTCTCGGTTGCTTTCTGCTCCCCTGCTAAAAGTTTAACTGTTGGTGGTTTAATGGAAAACCCATTAGTTGGCACAAAGTTCAAGTCCTACATCCAAGCAAAATGCACCAAAGAAACCAAGAGGCTGGCTTTAAGGCAAGTGAGCTTGAAAGAAACCATTGCACATCGTTTCCGTCCGGGTAAACCAGACCCCCTACTCCAAATACCAACGCTTTGTGTAGTTTGTACTTTTTGAAGAACCGATCGGTTTCCAAGGTAACCACCTCCTTTGTTAGTCAGGGTTTGCCACCATACCCTATACCCTGAACAAAGCAGCTAGGCATAGGGGGCACATGTTCCCCGCGAAGTTCGCCCAACCCCTTGGTGTCTGAATATTTGGCTGACTTCCCGGATCATGCTTCCTCTAGACGGTTTCTTAGACCAAACAACCTAGAAACAAATCGAAACAAAAAACAAAACAAAAAAAAAGGGGAAAAACAATGAAATGACCCTTTTGGCGCCAAAAAACCTGTCGAGCCATTGCGAGGGGGGAAGCTATGTCTCATTCCCATCGCTTCGCTTTAGCCGTCAGTCAGATCCTCGGGGCCTGAGCCCCTCTCGGCCCTGGGTCCTCCAGGTTTTGAGACCTTAGAATAAGTTGGCGCCCGACTTTTTTGCTGTCTAGTTTACTAGAACTCGGAAGCCTGGAACGCCGATCGTTTTCAACCAACAAAGACCCGCCAAGATAAAACAGCTCCGAACCTCCGGGGAGGGGGGCTCCTTTTTTCAGCGGGGGAAAGGGGGGGGGCAAACCCAGCGCTTCCCCTAGAATTTATCTTTCCAGGTCCTGCCAAACAAGTGTAACTCAGGGGCTCCGAAAAGTGAGGGCTCAACATTGATTCAAATTAGCAAGCGCGGGGGCAATTGCCATGTGTTTCATTTTTATCTTTGCGGGTCTTTGTTGGTTGGAAACGATCGGCGTTCCAGGCTTCCGAGTTCTAGTAAAATAGACAGCAAAAAAGTCGGGCGCCAACTTATTCTAAGGTCTCAAACCTGGAGGACCTAGGGCCGAGAGGGGCTCAGGCCCCGAGGATCTGACTGACGGCTAAAGCGAAGCGATGGGAATGAGACATAGCTTCCCCCCTCGCAATGGCTCGACAGGTTTTTTGGCGCCAAAAGGGTCATTTCATTGTTTTTCCCCCCCTTTTTTTGTTTTGTGTTTTGTTTTCCTTTTTTGTTTTTCCTTTGTTTAAGTTTTTTTGCTGGGTCGTTTGGTCTAAGAAACCGTCTGGAGGAAGAATGATCCGGGAAGTCAGCCAAATATTCAGAAACGCCAAGGGGTTGGGCGAACTTCGCGAAAAAAGTCCTGGAATTCTTCGGGGTGCCAAATCCATGTAGCTGCTAACCTTGGAAATCGCCTGGTTTTACAGGGTTTCAAGGCATTTACACCGGAAAACCAATCGGTTCTTCAACAACTGCCCTCCCAAACAAAAAACGGCCGCCAGGTACCCCCTACTCGAAATACCCTTGGGAGCCGATCTCAAGAAGCGTTTACCTTGGAAGTCGCTCGGTTCTTCAAAGAATGCCAACTAGATTCAGCTCCAAATGCCAACGCCTTGTTCCGGGTTTCTGTATGTTTGAAAACCAGGTTTTCCATGGTAAGCATCTCCTTGAGTAAAGGCTTGACATCATAGCAGAAGAAAAGGCCGGGTATTTCGGTTGGCAAGGCTTTGGAACCCAAAGGTTTATAAGCGTGGCGCTGTCTTTTCCGGACCGGAATGTCGGAATTTCTGCGAGCGCCCGATGTTTTTTTTTTTTTGTTTTTTTTTTTCTTCCCGGAGGTTTAAAACGAAGCCAATAGGAAACCAGGGTGGACCACTTCCTTTCTTGAGAGCACCTGGATCGCCAAGTTGCGATCGCTTCTTTCAGTCACTGTTGCGATCGGTTTTTTGGGGTAAAGTTCATGGTGAAAAAAACAAAAAACGAAACAGCAACTGGCGATCCAGGTACTCGTTTGTTTCTTCTTCGTTTTCTCTTTTTATTATATTTTTAATTTGTGTGTGTTTTGTGTTCTTTCTTTCTGGGGTTTTAAAAACGGACACCCACCAGGAAACCCCTTTTGGCGGGGGTCCCAGTCCTCCAGAATCGGAAGCAAACCTTGACACCGATCGATTCGACTCGATTCCTTGAGCTTGTTGGGGTCCAGGATGAAGGTCTTGTAGCTGGGTTTCACGAACCGGGGCTCGATGTCCATGTACTTGAACCTCGGTTGTTTCACATCCGAAGCCCATGTCCTGTTCTCACTTGGCCAGTGAAAAAACACAAAAAAGTGAAAACACTGTTTGGGCCACTAGTAAAAAGGGAGCTTTAAAACAAACAGGGAAAAACATAATCTTAAGCGAATGGAAGAACTGTGGCTCCCCCCACGAATCTTTCAACTGCGCCGGCTTCCGCCGTGTCTCAGTTTGGACATCATGTTCACCCCTGGCCAAATCGGAGGTATGGTTCCCCCAATGTATCCCATGTTGCACATATAGTAGGTAACCAGCTATGTACCTTTCGGCTTTTAAAGGGTGCTCCCCTTCGTTCATTGCCTAGAACCCAACATGGTGAAACCATTTTCTCACTTACCGAAGCGAATCGACCTGAAATGAGTCATAGTCAAAACCCGGTAGTAAAATGGTCTACCCAGAACCATGTGAAGAATTATGGCGGAATTCCGCAGCTATTTTTGGCAAGGGGATTGTCCCTGACTGACCGAACCATCTACCCGAATCGGCTTTGAGCAAGTGGCTCACCTGTTCTTCACCATTTCAAAAGACCATCCTAGGAGCGCTGCAAAAAAAAAAAAAAAACGCGACATGACATGTGTCTTCTTTACGGCCCTCGCTGGCTGAGTAGATGGCCCAAAAAAAGTCCAAGCTTTATTTTTACCACTAAAACGGTCTTCCCAAAAAGTTTAAAGTTCATGAACCCCGGCTAAAGGCGGCGAAACCCCGAATCGGTTTTGAGCCAGTGGCTCAAACGACCTTGTGCTTCGCTTCTGATCTCACTTGGTGGGTCTAAAGTGCGACGAAACATGTGGGTTCCCAGGCCGGCAAATGGATCTGGCTGCAAAACCCATCGGCTTTCCCAAAAGTACCCGGAGAGAAAAGGAAAAACAACTGGTGTTTGGAGGTTACGGGGGCTTACCTTGTACCTAATACCCGTGTTTTTTTCAGGGTATGATATCGACCCTTTACTGCTTAAAAGGAGATACTTACCATGGAAAATCGGGGAAAACAAAATATAAATGGGGTAGGTTTTTGGAGGTTGCGGGGGCACCAATCATTCAGGAGACGCACCGATCGAACTACGCAAGCCTGCCCCCTACTCAAAATACCCGCTTTTCTTCACGGTATTCTTGGGAAAACCGATCGGCTTTCCATGGTAAATACCTCCTTTTATGAAGGGTCGACATGATACCAACTGAAAAAAGGCCGGGTATTTGGAGTAGGGCGTAGACTCAGCTTGGGCCGAGGTGCAACTTCTCCCAGGCAGCTTGGAACATGGTGGAAATCACCTCAGCCGCCCACCCGGAAAGAGCCTCCAACAGGGATTCCATCATACCAGAGGCAAATTAGGCACCTGGACCCGAAGAAACGACCCTGAAAAGCAGAATTCACCAACCAGACTTTTGGGGCCATCAGCCACTTTTGGATGCATTTTGAGGGTCCAGGGTCCAGGTATATCCTTTATACAGGGGCTGCTTTTGTGGCTCTGGACCCGATAGAACACCTGAAGGCAGTGGTTTGGGGGGCTTATGGAAACCATCCCCGCACCGGTGAGATGTCAAGATTTATATCACCAAGAGCTCAGCCATGCTCAGCCTGATGTAACGCCCGACATAATAATCCGTAACCGCGCAATACCCACTTTGTTTAAGGGCAAAGGATATCAACCGCTTCCCAGCAATGAAGGTATTTATCATGGAAAATCAGGGTGCCCAAAAATCCAAAGTAAACCAAGGCGCGTATTTGGAGTAGGGATAGTTGGCATTACGTCAACCGCTCCCCCGCATTCAAAATGTCAAACCTTCTGCAAATTCGACCTGAACGAGGTGGGTAAGTTGGAGCAAGGGGCACCAGTAGAATGAGGTTATGGGGTACAGAAAAGCACTGTAGAAGAAATCCTGGTTGTAGAAATTGAGGGGCAGAGCTTGCAAAATCAAATAGGTTGCAACTGCATTTGCTGCTAGGAAATTGAGCCCCCTGAACGTCCAACTTCTTAGCAAACTTGTGCTATAAAGAGACCATGTTTTGACCATGCCCGCTAAGAAATTATTTCTCAGGTGATGAAGGATTCCTTTGCTAAGAAACTTTCAGGATGACGGACTGCTTGGCCAAGAAATTCAGGGGCTCAGCTTCTTGGCGGCCTCTTCGTGTGATGCGGCCAGGGGCTCAATTCTTGATGGCCTTTCTTGGTGTGGTGGCACACCCACCCCTCAATCCAATATGCATGGGTCAATCCGCGCATTTTAGGGCTTGAAATTGAGCCGATGGTCAGAACAGGGGAACGAACAGCGGATAGAAATTGAGCCCCTGAATTTCTTCGCAAGTCACCGCCCGCTTAGAATCGATCCCGTGGATTTCTGAGCAGACAAGATCAAGAAACTCCCCCTACTCAAAATACCCGCTTTTCTTCAGGGTGATTTTTTGGGGACAACCGATCGGTTTTCCATGGTAAAAAATACCTCCTCTTTTTAGTCGAGGGTCGACATGATACCAACTGAAAAAAGAAAGGCCGGGCATTTGGAGGTTCCGGGGGTCGGCCTAAGAAATCCAGGCCCCTCTCGCTCCAGGGACACACCAGCCCGGTTTTTTTGACGAAATGGACACTAAGAAACTCAGCCCCGGGCTTCCTTTTCACTTCCTCATTCTTTCAATGGGGGCCCACGCAGCAGCCCACGCAGCAGTTGTCATCACTTTCGGGAGGAAAGACCGGAAATCCTAGAAAATTGGATGCTTGGAAAGAATGGGTTTTAACCAAAAATATGGCCTCATACAATACTTCCCCATTCTTTCTGGTTTTCCAATTTTCACCCAAAACAGATGCAAACGCGAAAAAAATAACAACAGGGACACACTGATCTTTGATCGAAAGAACGATGCTGGGGGACAGAATGATGGGGTGGGGAAAGAAGGGAAATGATGATGGTTGTTGGGAAAGAACGATGGTTGGGGAAAGAACGATGGTTGGGGAAAGAACGATGGCCCTGGGGAAAGAACGATGGTTGTAGGGAAAGAACGATGCCCCTGAAAACAGAACGCTGCCAGTAAGATCGATGGCCTGCAGCGGCATGACTTTGGCAGGTCAGGGAAGGGGTTGTTTAGTCTATTGGCCCTACCCCTAGCCCGCAGGACAACTTTCTGCATGCGTCAGTGCTCGCTCCAGAAAAAATCAAAAACTGAGCCGAAACCGGCTGGAAAGACCGATCGTTGCACTGAGTGCGCGTGTGACGAAAGAATGGGGAATCAACCCTTAGAACAAAGCCAATTACCTGGATCGCCAGTTGCGTTTTCGCTTTTTTTTTTCCATGAACTTTACCCCCAAAACCGATCGCAACAGTGACTGAAAGAAGCGAAAAAGCAACTTGGCTATCTAGGTACGTGCTTTTGGGGAACCTCGTTTTGGTTTAGGGGAAACCAAAAGAAGACCACAATTTGGCGCTGGAACAGGACCACTCTCGTGCCGGAACCGATTCCACATGGAAACATGCTTGCGGGAAGTACAGGAAAGAGCGCCTCAGCAAGTGGAGTGAGTTTGTTGCGTAATTGAAAACCAAACCAAATCATGATAAGATTATCATGATCATTGGTGACCTTTGGAAAAAAATAGATGGCCCCGGTACCTGGAACAAAACCCACCTAAACCGCTTGGGTGCTGTAGATCCAACAGCAAAAAGTTCAACATTTTGCTGGTTGAAAGGAAATATGAGGGGAATCCAAAAAGCTAAAGTCTACAGATCCAACCCAATAGCAGTAGAGACCAGTGCCATCTATTTCTAATCCAACCAATTTGAAAATTAGGCCTGTGATGATGATGATGATGATGATGATGATGATGATGATGATGATGATGATGATGATGATGATGATGATGATGATGATGATGATGATGATGATGATGATGATGATGATGATGTGTGTTGGTCAAACTCTCGCAAAGGATCTAAAAATTCAAAATGTGATCACCTGGGTGAGTACAACCCCTGACTAAAAAAGGAGGCAAGTAACTTGGAAACCCAGGTTTTCCAAAACATTCCAGAAGGCATTCGGAGTAGGGGCTAAAAAATGCCGTCTTAACCATGAAAAACGATTCTGGTTTTGAAACACAAGCGGGCTTGTCTGGAGCAATCAGAGGCTGGATTGGTGTGGGGTTTGTTGGGGGGGAGTTCGTCTCGTTGCTGATAGCCGGCTCCAGTTTGATTCGGGCCGATGTGTTTGTCTCAAAACTGTGAGTCTCAGAAGAGACAGGGAGTAGAACACGCCGGGGTATTACAGGGATCCTTACATTATACGCCTGAACATTGCAACTTGTCTAATGGTGGTTTCCATTTATTTTGGTAAGAAAAAGCCACATGTTCAAATGGTTGGAAAATGAAGTTCTTTTAAGGAGCCCTGTATTGCTCTCTGTGTAATGTTGAATCCTCCAAAAGTCAGAAGTCACCACTAACAGAAAACATTTTCCCATTACTCAACCCGGGGTTTATTACTCTGGGGCTCACATTCATGGTAAACACCGATCCCTGTTTAGTTTCGGGTTGACATGATACCCTGAAATTCTATCATTGCTATTGGGGTTTCAAATTTAAGTGCATGTCATGTTTGTTGTTTTTCTAATTTACTCGAAAACCAATTCTAGGTCCTCCAGTAGAGAGGTCAGAATAAGGGTACCAACTTTTTTTCTGTAGTCTATTTTAGTAGGGACACCCTCCCAACCAAAAAAAGTTGGGTGAGAAAGGGCACCTAGCTGGGGGACCTAGTTTTGGGAGGGAGGGTAAAGGGATGGCAGCTGCAACTAGACTAGATCCTCCAGTAGAGAGGTTAGAATAAGTCGGTACCCTTTCTAGGTCCTTCGGTCGAAAGAATTTGGACAAACAAGCGGGGATACGGAGGGAGCGGGGATATGAAAACATTCCCTTGGGGCCATTTCCTATGAAACTTCGTCGAGGTGCATCAACCGGAGGAATCCTCCCGTATCCAACTGGTGCCCCCTGTATCCCGATCGCTAGTTGGTTTCCCTGAAGACTCGGATCCCCAAGTAAAGGGCCCCAAGGCCCGGCCGTCACTCCTTAATCCCCCCGACTCTTGCAGATCTCTACCCCCTACTCTTGCAAATACTTTGTTTTTTGCAGACCCCCAGTAAAAAAATGAACAGAACCAAAAAACCAAAAAACCGAAAAAAAAAAAAAAAAAAAAAAAAAAAACATGATCCAAGAACCGCGAAGAATTGCTCTGGTCTTCCCATGGGCCCCCTGATTTTTCTCCCGGCGCCGCAAGGCTCCGGAGTCTCAGGCAGGGCGCCAGGTTGGGATAGACGCCCCGCACCTGGTCCGGCGATTGGCTCTTCCTCTTCGCCTCGAAGAAATCGAGAAAGGCGAGCCGATGGAATTGACACGTGGCAAGTACCTGGAGTCTCCATGACCCGAATCAAAAATGGGTCCATGACCCCTTCATTTTGGGTAAGGAACCCATCTTTTAAGGGTCATGGAGACTCCACATGTGCTTGGTGGACGTTGGAAGGGGAGCAAAAACAAACATTTTATTAGCAATTTAAGTGGACTTGGATTTCAACCACTACACCACAATAAGCAAACATGTAAAGTGCTTCCCAACCACAACCATGTGTGGCTCCAAGTACCCGGATTCTCTTGGAGTTTTGTGTCAACCACTATAACCATAGAAAACCGGGCTTTTCAAAAAAACAAACAAAACAAACTGGGGGATTTGAAGTAAGGGCCACGAGGAAAACCCTGGACATGCGTGGAACGCCACGGTTCAAATGATGTGCTCTTTGCTCCCAGAGGCTCCGATCGGCTTCGGCTGGTTGGGACCGGGTCTCAAAACCAGGTTGTAAGGCCCTAAATCCATCGAATTGGAGCCTCTGGGCAACATGGCAACACAAAACTAAACCACGGTAAAGCGCTGAGAGCCATGCTCCGGGAACAATAATAAAACCTTTGAGAAGCTGTTTGCTTGATCACAGTTATGAGGAAACCAAACACCAGCCTTTTGATATGGTCAACCCCTTAGTACACATGGAATATTACGTGATCTAGTTCTAAAAAATACACTGAAAAGAAACATGTTTGTCCAACGATACCCAGAACAGCATGTCTTTTTCACAAATACCATGGACAACAACTTGTGTTTTCTGAAAAACATACCCTGAACAAAGAACGGGTCTTTCGTTTGAAGGGGTTTGGTTTTTCACCATGGTGACCTGTTTATTGCGAAGCCTCTCTGTGCTGGAGGTCATATGTCTTGGTGCTTGGAGGCTTGAACCCTCCATGTTTAACATGATCTGGCACTTAGGGTAAAGCCACCAAATTGCCGTATTTGTTTATCGCGTTGGTTGCAACATCCCCTACCCCAAATACCTATTGTTTGCAGGTTAAGACCGGTTAAGACCCCTTGTTTTTAAGAAGGGTTCGATCGGTCTTTACCATGGAAACCCGAAATCGTTTCTTCCACAAAATACGAACAACCAAAAGCCCCTGGTATTTGGAGTAGGGGGTACACTCATAAAAAAGCATACCAAATATCCAACCGAAAGAATAAGAAACAAAACGTGCGCGGCCGGGTCTTTGGAGGCTCATTGGGGGCCGTTGGCAATAGCTTCGCCCTATGCTGCCGTTATCATGGAAACCCGATCGCTTTTTCCTAACCCGAACAGTAGTCATAAATATACCAAATATACAAAAAACAAAACACACACAGAAAAAAGAAACGAACCAAAAAAAAGCAGGCGGCAACGGGACTTTGGAGGTGATCCAAAAGGGGGCCGTGGCAACTGCCTCGCCGTATGCCGCCGCGGCACGTACCACTTGCGCCATCGGAACTTCAGGGCAAGCCCCGCCAAGAGGCACGCCTGCGAGATGAAAAGAGCGCGCGGGCTTGAGCTCAGGGACTTGACACCCGTTTTCTTTCTTCCTCCTTTTTAAACAACGAATCCAGGAACTTGAGTCCGGAGGAGTTGAGCAGCGAAAACATACTATAAGCCACATTGAAAAAGCAACGGAACTCGATCCCTGCTTCCTTTTGTGTGTTTTCTTAAACCCCCCTACTTCAAATATCTGTTTGTTTCAGGGTATTCTGTGGAAGACTAGGTTTACCAAGCAACATATTTCCTTTTTTGGTCAGTGTGTGCCATCATATTGTGCTTTCCCCATGAGAAAAAGGAGGCACTCACCCGCCAAAACAACCAGGTCCAAACGATCCTATGCAGGTCCAATACTTTCCCCCTAATACGGGCCTAATAGGGGCGAATAGCGACTAATACGGCCTATTAGGGGCTAATAGGGTTCCGCTTTATTATTTTATTTCGTTTTTTTTGGGGGGGCATGGGAACATTTGTACCATGAATCCTCATTTGTTTGGATATGTGCCATCATATTGTGCTGTCCACATGGCACACTCACCCCAAAGAGACCAGGTCCAACATACTGTGGATGGACGAAATCCATTTCGCACCACTTGGAAACTATGGTTGAAACCATAACGTTTATGAAGGTATTTACGTTGGGGACTCAAATCAGAAACGAGGGTCTCTGATTCCGGTGGTGCGAGCCAGCCGGATTTCGTAACCACCCACGGCACCCCACTCCAAACACCCCGCTTCTTTCAGGGAATGATGTCGACTCTTCAAGCTAAAAAACAAGGTCTTTACCGTGGAAGCGCAGGTGTTCCCCCAAGATACCAACTGAACAAAGCGGGTGTTTGGAGGAATTACGGGGGAATGTGCCACCCTGAAAAACCCGCGGCAATCCTCCGCGTCCGAACCACACAAAATCGCCGTCGCCGGAAACGGCATCGGCCTCGGTGGAACCCACGGTGCCGGCACCCGCGTAGCAGCCCTTCTCGTCGAAGTCATCCGGCTTCGGGCAGTGCCAGAGCTTGGCGATCCTCAGATTCGCCCAGAGAGGCCCGGCTCGGCGGATGATTTTTTGTGTTTTGTGGCTCAGAGTCGCCCAGAGATTTCCTTGGGGTTTGTTTTTAAACATGTTGTTTGTTTAATATATATATATATATATATATATTAATATATACATAACATGGGGAAAACCGGTTGGTTTTTGTTGGTAAACATGGGGAACAACTGTTGGGTGTGTGTTTTTTGAAACCTGTGGAAAAGCGGTTGGGGGGGGGGGGGGGTTGGGCACATAGAACACATAGAAACCAGAGGTCCATCCTCGCAAGCTTCAAATGCCCGGTCTTTTTTCCGGGTATGATGTCGGCCCGTTCTCTTTAGCAGGAGGCGGTAAACGCCTGAAGAACCGATGGGCTGTTCAATGAAAAAGCCCTGAAACAAGAGGTATTTGGAGTAGGGGGTCTGAGAGAGTTGCATGACTACTGGGCTGCAGAGTTGCAGTGGGAGACTGGGCCGTTGAAATTGGATTGATTTAGGGCCTTCACACAACCTGCCAGGGTGTCTAATGGAGGGGTCGGGTCTTCCATTGAAAGCCCCAGGAGCCTCTGGGGGTATATAATGAAGAAGGCTGGGTGGGCTGGAGCGAACTAGACTGATGGAGTAACTAGACTTAACTAAATTTGAGACTGAACTGGAAGCTGGAAGCAAACCTGGGAAGGCTGGATAATATCAACCCGATACAAACACTGAACTCTCACAGCAAGGCACAAAAGTCTGTTTTGGTCTCACAAGCAGTCAATCGCCTCAATCCTACTGCTATCGCCGCTATAGTTTGGATCGCCCCAATGCACCACAGAGCCGTCTGCCAGGATGGCAGCAAAAGCACACCGGTTTGCTTCAATCTGCTCTACTTGCGCCAACTGAACCCGCACCTGGCTGCTGTCACCGCCAAAATGATGGCCCCATGTCACCACAGAACCGTCGGCCAGAATGGCTGCAAAAGCAGCTGAAGTTGCTTGAATCCGCTGGACCTGCACCAACTGATCTTGCACCTTGCTGCTGTCACCGCCAAAGCGCTGATCGCCCCAAGTCACCACAGAGCCGTCGGCCAGGATGGCAGCAAAAGCGCTCTGAGTTGCTTGAATCTGCTGCACCTGCACCAACTGCTCTCGCACCTGGCTGTTGTCACCGCCGCGGCCAGGATTGCCCCAAGTCACCACAGAGCCGTCGGCCAGGATGGCAGCAAAAGCATCGTCAGCCTGCTCTCCCACCATGTTGTCACTGCCATGGCGAGGACTGCCCCAAGAAGCCGCAGAGCCGTCAGCCAGGATGTTAGCGAAAGAAACGCCAGTTGCTTGAATATGCTGGACTTGCACCAACTGCTCTCGCACATGGCTGCAGTCACCGCCACCGTCTGGAGCGCCCCAAGTCACCACAGAGCCGTCGGCCAGGATGGCAGCAAACGCACCGCCAGCTGCTTGGATCTGCTGGACCTGCACCAATTGCTCTCGCACCTGGCTGCTGTCACCGCCATAGCAAGGACGGCCCCAAGTCACCACAGAGCCATCTGCAAGGATGGCAGCAAACGCAGCAAGAGTTGCATGGATCTGCTGGACCTGAACCAACTGCTCTCGCACCTGGCTGCTGTCACCGCCATTGTGAGCATTGCCCCAAGTCACCACAGAGCCGTCGGCCAGGATGGCAGCAAAAGCAGCTGAAGTTGCTTGAATCTGCTGCACCTGCACCAACTGCTCTCGCACCTGGCTGCTGTCACCGCCATTGTGAGCATTGCCAAAAGTCACCACAGAGCCGTCGGCCAGAATGGCAGCAAAAGCGCTCTGAGTTGCTTGAATCTGCTGGACCTGCACCAACTGCTCTCGCACCTGGTCGCTGTCACCGCCTGTAAAACGACCGCCCCAAGTCACCACAGAGCCATCGGCCAGGATGGCAGCAAAAGCACTCTCAGTCGCTTGAATCTGCTGGACTTGCACCAACTGCTCTCGCACATGGCTGCTGTCACCGCCACTACCGAATGAATCGCCCCAAGTCACCACAGAGCCTCCTTCGACAAAAAGCGCGAATGCTTGCCGAGTGGAAGCTAGCTTCACCTGCTGCGCAATTGCAGTTATTCTGTCGCCATCTCGCAGGCCCACCTCATCAAGAGTGCGCGATGGGTCCAGCGTCTCGCTTCCGAACAGGAGCCTCAGAAAGCGCCGCTCGAGCTGCTGTTGCGCCTTAGCCTTCAGCTCACGAACGCTCGACTTGCGAGGCAGTGCAACGGAGCAGCTCTTTCCACTCGCCAGGTACACATGCAATTCCATGGCGCCGAATTTGCAATTCGAAAAGGGAGGCGAAGAGCGGACCACCACGCTGGCGGTTCTCGCCAAATGATGATTGTTCCTGATTACCGCGATGCTTGTGGCACACTCAAAACCCGAAATCCATGGAAGGTACGCCCCGCCCAAGAAGGCTACTTACAGGGCGATCAGTCACACCAGGCAAGCGCATGCTGATCCGCACTGTTTACTCTGGTTACAAGTTCCCTTTGTGTGGGTTACAACCAGGTTCCTCCAAGGATACATGCAAACCCACTTCACAAAGGAGTTGGACTGGTTTGGCGTCCTTTGAGGCCCTGGAAATATAACAAGGGGCAGCTCAGGGCTTCCTATATGGATGTGAATTGTAATGTCTTAACGAGGGCAAGGTCCCTTGAGTAGACAGAATCCTGATTCATGCGCACCAAACACTTTAACTCGGCCAAGGGCCGAATACCCGGCCATTTTTGAGGGTATGATGTCGACCCTTTGCTCAATCAGGATGTGTTTACCACGGAAAGCCAGGCTTTTAAGCAAATACCCCCAACCAAAAGAGGGTATTTGGGAGTAGGGGGAACATTTATAAGGCCTCTACCAAAAGTGGTTGCCAAGGCGCCGGAAAACAAAAGGTCAAAACAGGTGGGGCTGCGACTGCGGCAATGTCCAGTTCCAGGGGTTGATTTATCGCTTGAAACCAACAAACAAGGGGCTCCTCTGAACAACGACTGCACCGCTTGGGATGGATGAAGCCAACCCAAAATCTAGGGGTTTGTTCCTTTTCCATTCTTTCAGCCATCGTTCTTTTCAAAAACCTGATCCGTTTTCCCTGGGTTTCTGGAGGTTTTCTAGAAAGATCCCTGGAAAGAATGGGGAAGTGACCCCTAGAACTGCGGCAACTGTCCACAATTGAACAGCCTCCCTGGAGAATTCGGGTTTCTACCCTAACATAAACCATGATATGGTCAAGGTCTGAAAACCTCTTACCCCCAGAGGGCATAAACATGGCTTGTAGCATGAACATTGAACTGTTCAATATCTCAACTCCTTTTGAGATGAAACAACGTAGGACAAAACACCTATATCCATATACTAAAAGTCTACTTTGGGAATTTGGTTGTGTTGAGCATCACGGTGGATAGCCAACGTTTGATGTTTGTTTGGCAAGTGTTGTTTAAAAGGGATCATTCCATATGATTTATTGAGTTATTGCCAAAGGAGGCGAAGGGCACGCTTTGGTTGGGATGTCGAAAACCATCAGGCCTTTAGGTGATGTTGACCACATAACGAGAGACCCCTAGGCAGTGGCCCAACATATACATTCAAGGGGGGGGGGGGGGTCCCCTCCAAAAGTGATGATTTCCCACTAAACCCAGGGACACCCCCTATGAATAAACGGGTGTTGATGAATATTGGATCAACACTACCTCCCTATACGTCAAATACCAACGCTGTTTGTTGCTTGCTTTGGTTAAACTGATTTTCCGGGCAGTCAAGGGATTTGGGGAACCATGGGGTGTGACTGTTGAGGCTGCTGGGTTGAAAGGAAAGTCACCCTTTAACTCCAGGTGCTTAAGCCCGGAAACAACAACATGTTCAGTAGTGGTAGACCCCCTTCAAAACCAACAGACAAAAAAAACAAAAAAAAACATGTGAGTCTTGAGTCAAAATGGTTCATTTTTTAGTCTACCTGAACTATACAATAGTCTTGGGAGGGGATTGAATCTCCGTCACCCCCCCACTCCAAATACCCGTCTTGTTTGGTTTACATGTATATATATATATATATGTATGCATATAATGGTTTTCCATGATAAATATCCGCTTGTTTGGCGGATTCTTGGAAAACTTGCGGGTCCCATGAAACATAACAAGCGTGTTTTTAGTAAAGGGTCAACATGATACCCCACATACAAAAAAACAACTGCTCTTTGGAGGTTGCGGGTGAAGGTTGTAGACTAAAACCTCGCAATACCTGCTTGTGCTCGTTTGGAAAACCGAGCGGTATACCTGGGCATTGGGTGGCTGTAGCGGCTACGGGGATTTGCTGCAGAAGTCCGCTGGAATAAACAAAAGCATGTCCAGGAGCGAATTATTGATTCCCAATAGAACGCATGTTGCTTCACAACCATTGGTATGAATTGAACCCAGAAACAAAACAAAAAGCAACCACCGTGCCAATGGAAGACTCTCGTAAGTATCCCTTGGGGTTGCTAACCTCTAGGCTTGACACCGGTTCCCTCTCCTGGCACCCGAAAAAAAAAAAAAAAAAAAAAAAAACACGAGGAAAAAAACAGCTCGAATTCACAGGCAAAGGCTCATGTTCAGGGTGTCGTTGTGCATGCGGAAGGATTCCGGATACCTCAGGACTCAGGTTCCGAGCAGAACGCTTAGCAAAGGCATTGCCCGGCACCTTTTGTGTTGTATAGTTTCTTGAAGACCTGGCTTTGCAGGGTTACCTCCTTTTCAGTCATGATATGATACCCGATCCCCTTAAATCAAAGACGTGGTCATGGGTCCAAATCCCGCACTCCCAGTGAACATCCCAATCCCCACTAAAATAGGTTGAAAAATGGGTGGTGAATTCACCGAAACCCCCAAAATGGTATCCCATTGGTTTTGACAATGGCCAAATAAGCAACATGATCCAGGAATCCAAGAGCCTCGAACTCACTCTGTCCTTTTTGAGTTCTTCCAGTTGCCTACCCCCTACTCAAAATACCCGCCCATTTTCAGTGGGTATTTTTGGGAACACCGATCGGTTTTCCATGGTAAATACCTTCCCTTTTTTAGCTTGAAGGGTCGACATGATAGCAACTGAGAAAAGAGGCCGGGTATTTGGATGGGGTACTGCCTCCAAAAAGGACCCATTTAAGGCCGCTGGAGGTTCCTCAGAAAGGTCCATGAGCGTCTGTGTAAATGCCACATTCGCTGCTTTTCCGGGGCTCATGTTGCAACTTGAACACCAAACCTGAAGCTATACAAAACGGAGGTCTGAAATGTTCGTCTAACATGGGTCCGCTTTTTGTTGAGGGCACCATGTTGGGGTTTGGTTGAAAGGGAACCAACATGATAGCCATGCTTCTTTTTGCTTGGGGGGAAGTCCCCCTATTTTTTCGTCTACCCACATACCCTGTTAAGCATTGGAAACCGCTCTCCCCCCAATCAACCAAAAGGGATTGCGTTCTTGATTATGAGCTGCACGCAAAAGATGTGGGCGTTGTTTGTTGAGGGAACGGCTGTGTTGTTTTTGTTTAAGGGAAAAATTCAAAAGGACAACCACAATTTTGGGGGTCCAACTCCCAAGCCAAGACACACCGAACTGGCAACCGTTTGCCAACCGTGGTCCAAGGTAAAAGCTCGGTTGCCATGTTCTTTGTTTGGGGTGTTGACCTGGAAAACGAACTTCACTAAGCCAGGCAAGGGTCAGGGGAAACTAGCACCAAATACTCACGTTGCTTAAGGTGTTAGAAAAGGGATTGGCTTTTTGTTTCACCATTTGGCCGTGGCTCAAAAAACCGGGATTCCAAAATGGCTTGCCTGATCGGTAAGTGGAACCATGGGTACCAAAACCTGCGGCTTGCCCCTCTCGTTTAATTTCGAGCCACAGCCACTCTCCCAAAAGCGGCCGGGTTTAGATGGAGCTTTCGGGCCGAGGTAGGCCAGCTGAGAAGGCCCAAGGGCTACGCCAAAAGAAGCGCTGAAGGCTTAGGTGCAAGGCAGCCATGAGCCATGCCCACAGCTGGTTGAACTCTAAAGATCACCTAAAAAAGCTCCAAGCACCAACGCTCGGATTTTTTTCTCGGGTATGCAGCATGTTCCTCGGACTCATAAAGGTTGCATGTAGCATTGCAAGCCTTGCCTTGCAAAAACATATCTAAAAACAATGAGATCTAGAGGGGTAAATATCAATCATTGGAAACCCAACAAGGGAATTGGGGCATGCAGGGGTCCCACCCGCAAGCCCCGTGCAAAGGGTCCTAAAAATCCTCATTAACCCAGAAAAAGAACTGTACACACTTGCCCTTGTCGGACCTAGAACCTCAAAAGGTTAATTCGCTTGCATCCTGAAACACCGGGATCGAGCACAACCCCATGGGTTTCAACCTTCAAACTATACCGGAAAGGAACGTGGGTACCTGGACATAGCAACTGAGAAAAGAGGCCGGGTATTTGGACGGGGTACTGCCTCCAAAGAGGGCCCAAATTTTCGGCCGCTGGAGGTTCAACAGATCCATGAGCGTCTGTGTAATCATGATGCTTATATGGTACCAAAAAGGACACCTACCACCTAAGAAACCCTGGTGTCTGATGATTCCCCTGTACAAACAAACCAAAATGGTTTCCGCCGTGTTTTTCGGGTGCTGCGATTTCTGGATTTCGCAACCATCCACAGTATGATGTGAAATGTCAACCCTTAATGAGTTGTATGATGTGAAATGTCAACCCTTAACAAATAAAGTGGGCATTTACCAAGTTTGTGGATCCTGAAAAGGTACCCCCCCCCACACCAAGTACACACTTTTTTTAGGGTATGGTAGGGTATGATGGCAAACCCCGACTAAACCAGTATGGTCCAAATGCTTCCCGAGCTGCACCGTCTGATCCGCCAAGTTCACCTTGAGCCCCATCATCGCCACGCGCTCCTCTTCCTCGGCTCCGAAATTCTCTTGGGGCGCGTTTTTTCTCTACGGAGGCCCCCCGACGCATCAACAAATGCCCCGTGTTTTTCTTCTTCAACGTGTTGCTGGAAAAAACATGCCCGGGCTTTCTTTTCTCAGTTGGTATCAGGTCGACCCTCTACTAAGAAAGGAGGTTTTTACCATGGAAAACCGATTGGTTCTTCCAAAAATACCAACTGGAAAAAAAAATGTGCTTTTCTTTTAAGGAAGAGGGTTGTCATGATACCCTGTATAAAGAAAGCGGGTGTTTGGAATAGGGGGTGTACCTAGCAAATTGCAAGTGCACCAACCATACACCGAAAAACCACGGGTGAATCACTGTAAAATAGATAATTTGCTTTCTTGCTCCCTTACTTGCAATACCCGACACCCAATTGGGGGGCGGGCGCAAACACGATGGAGTTGAAAACCAATCAATCTGGCTTCTAAAGATGCTTGAAACGGGCACTGGGTGACAATGAGGCTTCTGCTTGCTACTGTCCAAGTACCCCAAACTGCAAATACCTATGGGAACCCCTGAATAAGAAGAAGGACACCCCCTACTCCAAATCCCCCTTTTTGCAGAGTATCATGTCGACCCTCTACTAAAAAGGAGGTATTTACCATGGAAAGCCGATCGTTTTTCCCAAATACTTTGAATCTACGAAAAAAGGAGGTATGAATTACCAGAAAACCAGGTTTTCCTAAAAACAAACTGAAAAAGGCGGGTGTCTGGAGTAGGGAGTGTTCCCCTGCTCCAAATACCCCTGACATTTGTTGTTGGGGAGTATCTTTTGGGAAAACCGATCGGTTAAAACCATGGTAAATTCAACGATCGCCTGTCTCAGTCAAGTTGTCCAGGGCTGACATCATTTGACATCAACTAAAACAAGTGGGGCCACTCCAAATACCGATGCTTTTGCTTGGTACCAACCAGGTTTTCCATGGCAAACATATCGTTTCGTCATTGACATCGAAAAAAAAACTTTGAGTAGGGAGGGGACGGGTGTGTTCTCAGCAGGCCACCTGAAACGTGATCGATTTGCCTTGGGATGGGTACAAAAGAACGCCCCTGCAGGCTAAACATATACCTTTGTCATGGCATGTTTTGAACAACCCCAAAGTGGAAGTTTGGAGCTTGGCGGAATAGAAATAGAACTCACTTCCTCAGTGGATTGGCCAGGAGAAGTCTAAACTTTTTGTATGCCACTAACATGGGCTTCCCAAAACGTTCAAAGTGCATTCGCTCAGGAAGTAAAGCAAACTGACTCAGTATTTTCTCTTAGCGCAGAAAACCTTACAGGGGAGGGCATTTACCTGCATGGGTCACCAAGAGGGACATTGCCGGGTGCCTACCTCCTACCACCCAATACCCTCTTTTCTTGTCAGGGTAGGTCAACTCTGTACTAAAATCAGGATCGGTCTTTACAAATGGTTTCAACTGACCGAGAGAAAGTGGGCACTCGGGGCAACCCTGCCCTGGCCCGTGTGCCATGCGCAGCACAAGCTTACCCATCGGTTTTCCAGAATATACCAACTAACTAAAGGTTGGGGTGCTTTGGTACTTGCTAACTGGGATCCAAAGGATTGGCCACTCCCTTTTACTTACGAGGCAATTGTGCCACACAATTTGCCCGAACAAAAACATTTGGGGTAGGGGGAACTCTCCTAAATTCAATGATAACTCCTGCATTGAATTGCTGCCGATTTGCCTGGGGGTTTACTAGACTACCGGGCTACTGTCCACTTTAAAACATTTACCCTCCCACGTAACATGGAAGTGCACATTGTTCCCCACAAATAAAGTAGGCTTTCCACAGGGATCTTTGCACTTCCATGTTCCCCCTACTCCAAATACCAACGATTTTTCAGGATATCATGTCAACCCTTTGCTAAAATTTAAAGAGGGATCACTATTTACCTTGGACAACCTATCGGATGTTTAATGCGTACCAACTGAAAAAAACCGCTGTGTATTTGGACCAGGTCCTCCAGTAGAGAGGTCAGCATAAGGGTACCAACTTTTATCTGTAGCCTATTTTGGCAGGGGAACCCTCCCCAAAAAAGAAACGGCAAAAGGGCACCTAGCTGGGGGAGGTTACGGGGGTTAGTCGGTAGGGTACACGCCAAGCCTTGCCACTTGACACTGTCCCAGCGCTTCCCATCGACTTCCCGGTTTTAAAAGTTCCCCTACACCCAATACCCGGCCTTTTTCAGTTGGTATCATGTCGACCCTCTACTAGAAAAGGAGGTAGTTATTCTGGAAACCCGTTAAACAAAAAAAACACCTAGAAGTGAGGTTGCTTTTGATCAGTTTGGGATATTTAACAAAGAGAAAAACAGGTTTGTCTGAAAATAGGGGCACCAAGAAATGTGTCGCCATCCCCAAGATGGGACCCAGGAAGCCATGATTTATAGCCACTGCAACGTACCCACAGAACCCAACCAGACCCTCCCCCCCCCAAACAAAAAACGACAAAACAAAACCCCAAACCAACCACCCCCCCAAGCAAACAACACCCGAAAAGTCAACCCCCCCCTAAGGCAAACAAAATCGAAACCAAACATATCCCAAGTCGATCCAAGCGCATGTCAAATGATTCTCCCCCAAAACCCACCCCAAATCACCTGAACCCAACCCGAACCCCACCCCAAACCTCCGCCCCCCAAACCCGCCCCCAGTCATCCGCAGCCCGGGTGTCCGGTTCGAAGACCACGTTCACGTAGGAGCTGGTGTTCAACCGCTCGGAGAAGTCCAAAAGGTGATAGTCCTGCCGCTTGACATGGGTTTTTGAAAGGAGCCTTCGGGGGCACACTCACTTCTTGACTGGATGGGCCAAAACAAACAACAGAGCTTTTTGTTTTCTAACATAAAAAACTCATAAAGTCCATGCACTCAAGAAGTCAGAAGTGCCCCCGGCGTTTGCTTGTTGGACAGCCCGGGCTTGGACACGCATGCGCGTGTAACCAGCATATTTAAGACACGCAGCGGCCACTGTAAAAATGGCGCCCTTGTTTTTCGGCGATTGCTTCTGAGGAATGAATGCACCGGAGGCATCGTAAATCTGTGGCCCACTGCTGTGCGATTGTGTAGCCACAGCGCCTCCGAAGAATCGATCGCCGTATGCGGAACCGCACGCGGCTGATGACCTAGTTCAATGGCAAGACTAGGCTGGGGGACATCTGCAAACAGTGGTTTTGGGGGCCTGGGTATTACTTCCATTTACCAGTGAGAGGGGCCACGGCATGGCACGGATCTGGAAACAGCGATCGCCTTCAAAGTGGATCCGAATAGAGACACACCCATGTATGCCCTTTTGGCATTGTCCATGGCCCCTGTGGGCCAAACTTTCTGCGCAGCTGAGGTGAGGAGTTCCGAATGCCAGGTTAGTGAGCGGCTAGCCGGGACATAACCCCCTAATAACCACTTGGTTGCCAACAACTTGCTAACTAGGCCCGGACACCAAAGGAGCAAAACGACTTTGTTTCCTTTGCCCGCCACTAGAATTGTTCAGAACCAAACAAAATACAATTAAGACAACTTCCAGTTCCCGCTAGAGTAGGTAACCAAGGGAAACCATCATGTAAAACCTAGAGGTAAACTGTTTTAAACATACCAGCTCTCTTCACAACCTTGCACCTTCAAAATATGCACGCGCAGCAAGTCGATTAGCCAGACTCGAACCAGCAACTGAGCCACAACTCAAAGGCTGACTGTATAGGTCCATATATGAACCCATGGCAATATTGCACCTCGAAGAGGGGCTGATTTAGAACTAACGGTTCATAAGGGAACCATATATATATATATATAATTTAATGGACTGGACGTATACATTCAGCCTAACAACCGGGGGGCCCTCAAAGTCCGCATGTTCAGACGGCTCCCTACATTTCTCTTTTGACCATCACCCCCCTCTAAAGAAATTGGCCCCAACCTACATGGGTGTGTCCTTGCTCTAGGATTTGGACCCCCCTGAAAAATGCCGCCTCCTCCTTTCAGTGTTGTTTACAACCAAGCCAGAGAGCAAGAAAACAAGACCCATATGGCCCAAACTGTGTGCCGATTCAGACGCTTCCCAAGCGCGTTTTGGGATCAACCCCTACCAGAAAGCCCTTCGACCCAACAAAATGGGTCTTAAGAAACTTGGTTCTTTTAAACTGCTTGCCTGAGATCTTCTGCTTCTCGTTTCAATGTCTCAGTTGCCCAGTCGGCGCCTGCTGTGGACAAAAAACGAGGGCATGTCGTTCAAATACAGCTGAACAAAAAACGTTGGTGTTTGGGGGTGAGACCAGGTCTGGAAATCGAATTGGCAGAAGTGAACGCGCTGTAAATCCATGGCCCGCGCAACGCAGTCCCAGGTTGGAGCCACGGCGCCTCCAAAGAAAGACCGCTTGTGAACCAAGCAACAGCATGCGGCTGATGACCTAGTTCGGCAAGTCGAGCGTCAAAATGTGGAACTGACTGAAGCTTAGCCGTCTGTCAGGGAGATGCACCAAAGCGCCAGGGTACAAGTGGGCAAAGCATACGTAGGCCTTTCCCGACTCGTGGACTTTCACTGGCGCAAATTTCCGCCCAACTCTTTTTCATGTTCTTGTAAGAACATGAAAAAAAAAACACGGGAAGCCGTGGTTTTCTTGAACTAGGCGCTCGTGCGAGCGTTCCAGACGAATCCGTAAGCGAATCCGTAAGCGAATCCGTAAGCGAATGACGGCGCTCGGCGCTCGTGTGACACTGCATGACCATTTCTTCGGATGCCTGGTCTCAGTACTACAAAACAGACAAACACACCACAACTTGCGCCCCAAAGCCGGGACGCAAATTGGGTTGTCTCCCCCCCCAACGTTTGATGTGTGTGAAGCCAAACAGCAGCTGTCAGTGTTCAGGGGTTTTACCATGGCAGATCTGAGCTTCAACCAAGTCCAACACGTTGACCCAAATGGTCCAGGGTACGGAAACCGTTTTTTGTACCCAGGTTTGATTTTGGATCAGGCGACCGGACATGGCGAATTGCTGCCCGCATTTCCAACTTGAGGCGTCAGTCTCTGCTCATCCTGCGGACCCGCACTTCCCTCCTGAATGCCATCTCGTTGTCTTGAATCCTGGGTGCTTAGTCTGGCAAAATTTGGTTGACGTTGGAAGGGGAGCAACAATTTAATTTGTAGCAACTAAGTCGGGGGTTCCCACTAAACCACAGTAAGTAAAAATGTAAAATGTTTCCCAACAACAACCATGAAAACCAGCTGTCTCTCAATAGCGGTCCTCAAAACAACCTAAAGAGGGTACCTAAAGAAAAGGCACCGACTTTTCGATCGGTGGTTCCGCTAAAAGAAAATCATGGCCATAGACTCTGAGCACGACCCCAAGGATGGAATTGCTGTGATAAACTGTCAGGAGAAGAAACCAATAGTTATGTGTCGCTTTTTGCCCAATGTTGACACACACACACACACACCGACTTGCTCAGTTGAGATGAGTCTAATCATATGCTCAAACGCGCCCAGGAGAAAGCTCATGTTCTGTTGTCTTGCGTGGATTTAAACAGAAGCTAAAGGATGAGCACCATTTGGCCATACCGGTTTCCTCAGGGGACATGTCAAATTTGATCTGCAAAACTCATTATAGACCCAAAAACTGAAGAAAAAACAGGATTCCTAACAAAAGGACCTTTATCACGGTAAGCTCCTTATGCCCCCAGGCGAGGTCGCAATAAGAATAAACGGATTCTACGCTACCAACCGTGCCAAGGAGCAAGTTCATGAACTTGTGCAACTTGGCCACGTGACGGTCATGTGTTGCTGCAACCGGCGGGAGCTGCGTGTCCGACTTGGAGAGAATGTGTCCCATGGAGTCGAAGGATCGCGATGGTTCCTGCGCACTTGCCACACTAATGCGCGCTGGTTTTAGTGTACTTTTGGACCTGGTTTGGCAAAGTAAATGCCAAACCCTTTTAGTAACGAGTTGGCACGATGCCCGAAACAAAAACGGCATTTGGAATTGGATGGTTTTCGCAGCCCACTCGATCAGAGACGCTCGGCCCAAGGCTGAAAACCGGTGTTGGTGTCGTGTTTTCCTGACAAAGCTTTCCGCTTGGTGTGTAAAACAGTGATTTTTTTGCAGCCCGCCCAAATGAAGAGACCACACAAAGAAAACATTTCTCGATGGTTTTACTCACTCGCCAAAGGATCAGGAAATGGAAGGCTAACCTTTTCTTACCCCTTAAAACTCCAAGCCCTGGGGAAGTTAACCTTTTACAGCCATATAGCCCATGTTACCAAAAAATGAAAAGTTGTGTTTTTAAGAGGTAAGTTTTGGGAGCCTGACTAAAGATGGACCACGGTGGGAAAACGAAAAGGTCAAAAGACCGGCTGTTAAGAACAGTGAAGTCAAAGGGGCCATGACGACTGGGGCAATACTTCTCCCTATTCTCCAGTATTCTTTCAAGTTAAAATTACTTGTTCCCCCCTACAACCTGGGACTTGGTGAGTCCCTATTTTTGCTTGGTTGAAATTCAAAGCACCCTGACATCAAAGGCGATCACCTTTCAGGGCTGCCCAAATCGCCCAACTGGAGAGACAAAAGCTCAGTTGGGGTTGATTCTCTTTGGGCAAGTGAGTATTTTGTTTTTCCTACCATCATGTTTGTTCAAGCCAACGAATAGCGCCGAAGGTTAGACCAAAGCCGCCGACCTCGCTTCTCTCTGTTTGGTGAGAACGCCCAGGCAGGACCCTGCATTCTTAGCCATTTTACATGTTTCGCCAATTTTGATGTTTCACAGGTTCGTTTGTTCGCAGGGTTCCGGCACACGCTGTCACCAATTTCGACGCCTCGCACACCTGTATCCACACCCTGCCACATGATAAGCACACCCGCTCAAGTGACCCCGCTCAGCACTGCATCCACGCCTGCTAAATGATAAGCACACCCGCTCAAGCGACCCCGCTCAGCGCTGTACAAGTGACCCCGCCAAACACGCGCGCACGCCGCAGTGACCCTGCTCAGCGCCGTGTCCCCGCCCACCCCCTGCCACATGATACGCGCACCCGCTCAAGTGACCCCGCTCAGCACTGTATCCACTCCCCGCCAAAGGAAAAGCACACCCACCCAAGATCGCCCAACTGACCCCGCTCAGCACTGTATCCACTTCCTGCCAAAGGAGAAGCAGACCCGCTCAAGTGACCCACCTGCCAAACGACACGCACCCACAGCAGTGACCCGGCTGAGCGCTGTGTCCCCCCCCACGCCCTGCCACATGATGCGCACACCCGCTCAAGTGACCTCGCTCAGCACTGCATCCACTCCCTGCCAAATGATAAGCACACCCGCCCAACATCGCCCAAGTGACCCTGCTCAGCACTGTATCCACTCCCTGCCACATGATAAGCACACCCCTCTCAGCACTGTATCCACCCTGCCAAATCATAAGCACCCCCCATCTCAGCACTGTATCAGCAGCTGGCAAGCTGTGCAATATGGCGGCCTGATCTAAAAAAGCTTTGCTTCTTTCACAAAATCGCCACGGCGGAAATTTATGTCAGGCCCACAACGACAACACCGTCGTGGAGGATTTGAAACATTCAGAACATGTTTTTGGGCAGGCGACGTGCGTTTCGCCGCCTGGGCGAAGTCACGTTTTGAGGTTTTCGCGGGGTGAGTTGCTGAAAACGCAGGGTGCGTTGCGGGCGTTGTCCCCTCTGTTCTCAAGCTCCCCTATGCAACCTGCTGCTCTCTTTTTTGCTTTTGATTGCTCGATTCTGGGACCGGCCTTCCAGCACAGTTCTACCGGACCGCTTCTGGACTGGTCCCAGACCTGAGGATCAACCAGGTTGATTCCCCCTGTTGCTGTGGCTTTGCCACCAATCCACCAAGTCATCCCAGAACAGGACCTGTAGAAAACACAGCTCGGTCGACCCGTCTTGTTTCCCGCGCAAATCAGGTAGCGCATCAGACGGGCAAAATTTCGCTTCCAACCTTTTCTTTTTGCAAATCGCGAGGGGTGAATCGTCCAACCCGTGGTCTTGCAGTTTTGGGCGGAAAACCCATTATTTTTGCTCTCAATCGCTAGAACAAAGCCCGAATACTAAGAAAGTCCGGTCCGAAGAGGAAGGGCCAGAGCCGAAACGGAGCGGCCGCAACACCAGGCGCGCTTGTTTGCCAATCCTTCGCGACTATGCCTGCGTAAGCGGGTCAGCGGGTCTCTGCGCGCTCCTGCATAGCCGCTTTTTCGGAACAACATCCCGCGGGCCAGTGAGATTGCCTGCAAAGGCGCTGCTTGCAGGCTTTTCGAGGGATACCGCTCTTGGGCGCGGGCGTGGTGGGTGAGGTGCGTGTTTTTGTGTGGGGGGCTGCAGCTTCTCTCTGGGTTCTCTTTGGGTTGTCTCGCAGTTCTGCGCGCTTCCGTTCGGGCTTCATTTTCTGCGCCGTGTGCGTTTTCCGCGGGGTTCCTCGCTTTTCGAGGGGTTGTGCTGGCGTGGTGAGGTGCGTGTTTTTGTGCGTGGGCCGTAGCTTTTCTCCGGGTTCTCTCTAAGTTTTTCCTTGGGGTTCTGCGCGCTTAGGTTCGGGCTTCCCTGTTTCCGTTTTTCGGTGGTGTTTGGGGCGCCGACGCGGTGGGTGACGCATGCGTTTTGTTGCGTGGGGTTTGTAGCTTTGGCGCGGGCGCGGCGGGCCAGGTGCGCGTTTTGCGTGGGGGTTTCTGGGGTTCGGCGCGGCCAAGCGGGTTGGCTTCGGGCTTCCTTTGTCAGTCTTCACTGGTCTTTCTGGGGGTTGTCCAGCGGTGTGTCGTTCATATGGGGTTCGGGGCGCCGAGCGCACCAGAACTTAAGTCGGCGGAATGAGCCGGAGGCTCTAAAGTTCCAGTAGTGAAATCGTTTCCCTTTAAAAAACCAACAAGGGAAAACTGCAAACATATAATCCTTTTAGCAAATGGAAGCTTTTCTATTGAGCGAGCTCGAGAGCAGATACAGGGTTAAGGTTTTTCAGCGTCGTCGCGCTGCCTCGGCTGGTTGCGCGTCAGCGAAAATAACCCTGCTCGGAAAAGGGTTGACCCCCTCCCCCCCGAAAGTGGGTTCCCTGAGCCAAGCTGGTGAAACCATAACTCGACACTTCTAGCAAAAAACCGCCTTGAAGTAGATGGAGGCTTCACAAAGTCTCTGCCCATCTCTCTGTCGAATGAAGCGAACATTTTCGAACTCCGTTCGGTCTGCTAGGTCTGCTGGGTTGGACGCCGACTGGGCAGAGGCTGCGCAACCCATTGCGGAAGAAACTTGACACTGGCGTGCTGTGCAGCTGAGCCAAAGTCTCGCGAGGATGGAAAACGCAGCTGAGCCCTTGTCGCACCTGGACATAAAAGTTGATCACCTTTCGCGACCTTTACAACAGTTGATTGCTAGAAAGGGAAAACCAACAGATCGAAGGTCGATTCGCCTTGAGCAACTGAGAAAAGAGGCAATATGGACATTCCTTGTCTCCAAACAGATTTGATACTGTATGTCTACTATATATGGTTACCAGAGTCAGACAATGTGACATTTTCAGTACACTCACTACGGGTCAGCCTCCCTCTGCTTGGTGGAGCCTGGCTAAGGTAACCCCTTCACCCACCAAAACCAGCGCTGAGGTGGTACAAGGGGCCAAATAAACACATATTCTGATTATCTTGTCTTTGTTGTAAAGCACCCCACTCAGAACCCTGCTCTAATCATCTTCAAAGTTGGAGTTTTCGGGGTATCCTTAAAAACTGTGGGCATTCTTCCATGACCGCTTTTGGCCCCCTGGACAAGTACAAGTATAGAACATATTTCCAGTAGGCGAATCGGCTGTCTTTGAAACCAGGGGCAAATAACAAATACCCTCTGTTTCAAATACCCTCTTTGTTTCTGGATTTGTTTGACAACCGGTTCCCATGGTAAATTTACTCCTGGGTTGACATGATCCCCCCCCGAAAGGAGCTTTCGGGAGTACACGCACTTCCGGGGAGTGGATGGGCCAAAAAGAGTAACCAACCTTTCTTTTTTAACATGGCAAACTCAAGCCCACTAAGTGCCTCCTACTCAAAACACCCGCTTTTTTTTCAGTCGGCATTCTTGGGAAAACCGGTAAACCGGTTCTCCATGGCAAATACCGAAATCCCTTTTTTGGAGAGGGGTATTTGACATGATGCCTGGAAAAAGACGCCGCCGGGGTATTTGGAATTTGGTTACGGGGCTGAGACCAAAGTCCTGAACTTCAAGGAAAACTTTGGGCAGCCTCGCCTCACGCCTCGCGACCCCATGGACCCCCAAGAAACCCCCGGCACCTCAAAACACCAACGCCTTTCCTGGGGGATTTGTTTGGGAAAAACCTGGGTTTCCATGGTAAATACCTTCTTTTGTTAGTAGAGGGCCGACATCATACCCTGAGAAAAGTGGGTATTGGGTGTAGGGGGAAGGCTGAGGGGCCATGATCCAGCGCTGTCCTCAGATCTCTTGCTAAAAGTCGACAACTTTTAGTGGGTGACGTACAAAATCCCCCCACTAAACTAAACAGCTAAGAAGCGAAGGAACTGGATGGCTGCGAACCAAGTGCACAAAATTATAAAAAAGAGCAAATCTAGAACATGCCAACAGTGAAGATCCAAGAAGCAGTCCAAAAAGCTGCGAAGCACCAAAGGATTGGGCACACTCCCGCTCATGGAAGCTGAGAGGCTTGGGACGGTTTGGGTTTCCGTTTGGGGAAGCCTCGAATTTTCCGCTTCAATGATTGTTGGATTCCGGGGTCGCTCTTTTTTCAGTTGGCATCATGTCGACCCTCTACTAAAAAAGGAGGTATGTACCATGGAAAGCCAGGTTTTCTCAAAAATACGCTGAAAAACACGGGTATTTTGAGTAGGGGGTAAGAAGCTCAGGAACCGGATGGCTGCGAAGCACCAAGCATTCCTCGTTATGTTTTGGAACCCGCTTTTTGGTAGATTCTGGAGTAGCAAGAAGAACTTAAGGGCTTATCCTTGGCTTAGCCTCCCCAGTTCGCCTCTAGGTCCTCCAGTAGAGAGGTTAGAAAAAGGGTACCAACTTTTTTTTTATGTAGTCTATTTCAGTAGGGGAACCCTCCCTAAAAAGGGGTGAGAAAGGGCACCTAGCTGGGGCACCTAGCCACTGCCAAAATCCGATTCCTTTGGAATGGTATTTGCCTCAGAAAGAAAAGCCATGCCCCCAAACTTTTGGCAGCCGAGCCAAGGATTTCATTCCGGCTCCTCCACCATGCGCACGCAGTGCCGCGCATCGGTGCCCGACTGCGGGATCTCCATGTCCTCCGCGCGCTCGCTGCACGACAGGGGGCTGGCGTAGTAGGGCCTCAGCGACTCAGCGCACCTACAAGTCCTCCGAAAATACCAGCTGAAAAAAAGCGGGTATTTGGAGTAGGGGGTATCCTATGATACGCTGAAAAAAGGTACCATGAAGTGCCTCGGGTCCGTTGGTATGGCAGAGCTCCCTGTTGTCAGCCCACAAGCGACGCCAGGGAGTAGGGAGGTTGAGATCAAGGTCTTTGACCAACAGCTTTAATGTCCACCTACGATTAGTAAACAACCCAATACTAAAACTTGTCCTGACCCTGAATTTTGTCCCCTTAACTTTATTTAGGGTCATTCAGGGGGCCCCTATTTATCAATCAGAGGTGGACATTCCCCGCCATACACGTGTTTTAGTCTGTCTTCTTGAACACCTGGTTGTCCAGTGCAAATCTCACTTGCCCAAAGGACCCAGAAATAAAAGGTTAGCCTTTTGGGGCCATGACTAAATATGGACCAAAACACTGGAAAACCAAAAGGTCAGAAGGTTGATTCGCTTTGGGCAACTGAGAAAAATGTCCAGTTTTGCGCAAAACTGTCGACATGATACCGATACCCTGAAACAAGTGGGTATTTGGGCTACGTTTCTATGCTTCGCCAAAAATGCCTTCCCGCGAAGAGCCCTCTGAACAAAGACATGTCCAGTAGATAGTTTCCATTTAAGACCAACAGGGGGAAATACGCTATACTAATTTCAGCTCATGGAAGACAACCTTTACCCCCTACTCAAAATACTGTTTTTTTCAGGGCATTTTTGGGAAACCCTGGTTTTCCATGGTAAATACCTCCTTTTTAGTTGCGGGTCGACATGATACCTTGAAAAAAACATGTATTTGGAGCAGGGGGTACCAAAAATGGTTCATGGAGTCTTCGCCTTTTGATTTGGAGCTCCCACTTTCTCACTTCGAGCAAGTGGCGCGTGCCAGGCCATGCTTGTCAAACACTGTTTTGTGGCCACTAAAAATCTAGGGGTTGCTTCCCCATTCTTTTCAGCCATCGTTCTTTTCAAAAACCCGCGATTTGTTTCTGGGTGTCCGGAGGTTTCCTAGAAAGATTCGGATCTCTGGAAAGAATGGGGAAGGTACCCCAAGAAACATGGTGAAACCCACCTTGAAAGTTCGGCAACTCGGGAAGTGAGACCTGCCTCACACCACATACCCATTTTGAGTCGGTAATTCCTGTGGATGGACGAAATCCATTTCGCACCACCTCAGAAACCCGTGTCTGATGATTCCCCTGTACATACCAACAAACAATGGTTTCAGATGTTTTTCAGGTGGTGCAGGAATTGGTCCATCCACAGTATGATGTGAAATGTCAACCCTTAACGAGTTGTATGATGTGAAATGTCAACCCTTAACAAATAAAGTGGGTATTTACCAAGTGTGTGGATCCCGAAAAGGTGCCCCCCGCACCAAATACACACCTTTTTCAGGGTATGGTAGGGTATGATGGCAAACCCCGGCTTTTACCTTGGAAAACCGATCGGTTCTTCAAGACATGCCAACTAGATAAAGCTCCAAATACCCGCCTTTTTCAGGGTATGTGTTTGAAAACCAGGTTTTCCCGGGCAAAATACCCACTTTTTCTAGGCTTTTTTTTGAACAACTGATCGGGTTTCCATGGTAAAAACCGTTCCCTTTTTTAGTAGAGGGCCGACAAAGCATACCAATTGAAAAAAGGCCGGGTATTTGGTGTAGGTACCATTGGTTGTTATCCAATTCAAGTCCAGCGGCAGGCCATGGGATTTGGGGTAGGCCTTCTCCATCTCTCGCGCCATGCGCAACACGCGCGACGCACGGCGCGCGAGCGAGTCGCCTTCGAAACGCGCGAGCCAAAAGCTGGGCGACGGGGAGTCAGTCAGTGCGAGCACTTTAAAGCGGCGCCTCATCTTCTCCGAAAACAGCACCAAAACCAAAGCGTTTTCTTCATATGAAATGTAAGAGCCTTTCCTGGAAAAGGCTTGTTCTGTGTTTTAATGGAATACTTTCTTTTTTTTTTCCGGAGAACCCCCGACAACTAGAACAAACTATCCTGGACCCTCAAACAAACCCTTCGAAGAGGGAATTCACCGATCGAGGGCCCAGGAGAATCATAACCACCAGAGCTGGAGGTCTGGTTTTCGAAATCTGTTTCCAGTTGCCCGGCAAAACCGGACACTTCGGCTTTGGAGGGTGACGGGAAATCATGAGGTTCATGATGCTCCAGTTGCCAACCAGAAAACACCAGAATGTTTTTCGAGGAACTGGTGTTGCAGGTCTACGATTCGCTCGAGTCCTTCTTCAAACTCCTCTGGGCTGTGCTCAGATCCCGTGCTAAAAGCTTAACTTTTAGTGGGTTAAGTGGAAATCCCAACTAAACCCTAGTAAGCTAAGCAGCTAAAGGGATGGCTGCAAACCACCAAGTCATCACTTGGTGTTTTTGTGAGGGTCGCATTTGGGGTGGTTGAAAAGAAGGAATTGCAACGGACCACTGCCGATGGAAGCGGCCTCTACTCCCAAATAACCGCAATTTGGCTCAGGGCATGTTGTACAAAAACCACGCAAAAGACTCAAAATACCAACGCTTTTTTTCAGTTGGTGTTTTTGGGAAAACCGATCGGTGTTCCATGGTAAAGACCGAAACTTTTTTAGCAAAGGGTCGACATGATCACCAACTGAAAAAACAGCCGGGTATTTCCAGTAGGGGGTAATAACCATATTTTCAGGGAGCATGAAACCTCATGTTCTAAAGGCTTGACATGAAACCCTGAACTTACCCCTTAAAACTCCAAGCCCTGGGGAAGTTCTCATCTTTTACAGACATATAGCCCATGTTACCCCCAAAATGTTGAGAAAAGTTTTGTGTTTTTAAGAGGTAAGATTTTAAGTGAAGGAAGAGGGTGTCTGCAGTAGGAGGGGGGAGGAATTCCCACTTCTTCTCTTCAGGCACGTTTTGATCACAAGGCTTTGGAGGAACGCGCAGGTTGGCCCGACCCGAAGAAATACCTACTCCAAATACCCTGCCTGTTTTCAGTTGGTGTGATGTCCACCCTCTACCAAAAAAGGGCCGGTATTTACCATGAAAAGCCCAAGTTGTCCTTGGAAATACCAACTGAAAAAGGCGTGTTGGTATTTGGAGCTTTCGGGGAAACGGAACCTCCCCTTTGCACTTTGCTGAGAGCATTGGCCAAACAGTGGCTCCAGACGGCTTTTTGTTGCTGCTGAAATGCGCAAAACCCGAAAAAATCACCGTCGGGGTACAAAGCTTCCCTCTGCTCCCCATACCCTTTTTGTTCAGGGTGCCTTTTGAAGCACAATGTTTTGTTTGGTACCTTCTGCCGTAAGCATTGCAGCCTGAAAGACCTGGGTATTGCCTGAGTGAGTTATTTCATGTGCTCAGACCATGGCAAAGGATTTCACCTGTTCTTCCCCCTGTTGGTCCTTTTCTTTAGTATTTTTTTAAGTACTCTTTTAATCTTCTACAGGGGTGGAACCACAAAAGCCACATCCAAACCGATTCCAGAGAGCAGGGCCCAAGAAACAACTCAAAGCCAACTCGAAATAAAACTAATAAAATAATGGTAACCCCGGATCAAGCAGAACTCCTGGTCCCCTTTTAGTGGTTGGATTCAGACCACTTCTGGAGGGGTGCCACCCCCCAAATCATGGGACGGGTTTAATCCTGGGTCAACATTCGGCGCTTTTGGTTGGGGGTATATAGTATGTGTCTTTTTTTCGGAGGTTACCCTCCGGTTTTTTGAAAGAAAACAACCGAACAACACCAGCACTTGTCTTTCGTCCGCCTGGCTTTCCATGCCTCGAGTTGCAACCGATAGAGGGAGCCGGCGCTCCCCGGCAAACTGCTTGCCAGTCAAAAAAAATCAAAAGGACACCCAAAAGGGCTGAAAACAAATAGGTGGGCCCGGCAGATAGCATGTACTCCGACAGAAGTGGCTCTATTTGGAGGGCTGATTTGGATGCTCCGCACATCGACCCCCAAAACCTGGCTTTCACATGTCAAATACCTCCTTTGACATGACCAAGCGAACAGCAAGTGGGTGGGATCCAAAGGATACACAAATTACAAACAAATGTTTGGACCTTCCCCTACTCCACATACCCGCTTTTTTAGGGTATAATATGGTACCATATTATATCAACCCTTGACTAACAAAGCATACCCCCTACACTCAATACCATTTTTTTTCAGGGTATGATGTCGGCCCTCTGCTAAAAAGGGAGGTATTTACCATGGAAAACCAGGTTTTCCACAAAAATCGCCTGAACAAAGCGGGTATTTTGAGTAGGGGATATGTGCAGTAGGGGGTTCACTCGGGGCCATTGCCAATTCTTTTTGCCGCGGCAAACATCTGCGAAACTCGCCGAAACGACTGGCACGCGAAATCCTTTGCTTCGCAATCTGCCAAAGGCCCTCATCAAACAGGGTCGTCCTTTGAGCAAAAGCCTTGGGTCGATGGACCCCACCAAAAAGCCCACCTGGACGCCAAAAAAGCTACCCCTCTCAAAAGGGGAGCAAATACCAACCAACATCTTAGGGCAAACAGGCCCCATTTTTCAGGGTAGGTTCTTCGGGTCCAGGTCCCGTTCCTGGAGTTTTTCTTTTGCTTCTTAACAGGTGGAGGACCCCGTACTCCAGATACCCACTTTATCTTTGAAAAACCTGGGGTTTCCGTGGTAAATACCTCTTTTTTTTTTAGTAGAGGGTCGACATGATACCCTGAAAAACGGGTATTTGGAGTAGGGGGTAAGAGGATGTTCTGACCTGCTTAGGGGTCAGAGATTTGTTTTCTGGATGCCCCGAGTTTACGGGACCCTCAGTCTTTCCAGCGGTAGCTAACCGCTGAAGACTTGGACTTGTTTGCCTGACCAAAAGCAAGGCTTGGAAATGCCGAAACACATTCAAAGAAATCCCAGCCAACAACAATGATAAAAAGGAGTGTTGGCCAATCCCAATTCATTATCCCAAAACCATCGTGTAACTCAAGGTAAGGATAGGATTAAGGAGTGCCGTTGAACAGCCCAGTTAGAGGAGTGCATGAATCATAAACGTCAAACATGCAGCTCAAATAACATGAGGAACTGACCTTGTTGAGGCCTTGCTGCGCCTGTCGAAAGGAGCAACCTCGTTAACTTAGTTGCCCAGTAAAACCCAGGAGCAAAAGGTTCACCCTGGGACCTTGACGAAAAATGGTTGCCAAAATGGATTAAAATTCAAAGGGTGGGATCAGAAAAGGTCGCTGTGCGAAACGGCCCAAGGGCAAACGCGAGTTAATCATTGGTCCACTCTTGGACATCTACGCTCACGGTGGGCCCATCTCGTAGCAGTGCGACCAGCCGCCCAACGTTGCCTCGGGGAATCGAACGGGGGGAAGGCGCGAATGCGGCCCTGAGGAGATCAAGTACCCCCTACACCCAATACCCGGCCTTTTTTCAGTTGGTATCATGTGATTGGTATTTTCCATGGAAACCCAGGTTTTCAAAACACTAGAACAAAGTTGGTATCTGGAGTAGGGGGTATGCGTGCCTTCTCAACCCACCAGGGAATGCTGTTGTTGCTGAAAAAAAAAACTCCCTTGTAGGCAACAGACCCCATTTCCAGAGTCATGCAGTGAATTATTGCGGTTCATTTCTTCCCAAAGGGACTTCAGACCATATGTAAATGGAATTCAAGGGGTCACCTTCCCCCCTCCCGCATTCCATTTCACACGTGGGATTACTTGAAGAAAGTGCTACCGCTGGGCGGCCAAAGCGAGAACATCCGAAGCAAATCTAAATTTGGTTTCCTACCCCCTACTCCAAATACCTTTTTTCAGGGTATGAGGTCGGCCCTCTACTCAAAAAGGAGGTATTTACCATAGAAACCCAGGTTTTCCCAAAAATACAGACTAAAAAAGCGGGTATTTTGAGTAGGGGGTATCTTTCACCCTGAAAAAAAAACCGAGGGAAAAAACACCCTATGGCCCCATGCCAAATCCGAAACCTGGCGTCGCCTCTCACCGATAACTGATTTACGCAGGCCCGTGAAACGGATCGGATCCGGATCGGATCTCAGCGAGTAAAAAGAAGAGCGGTCGCAGCGGATCTCATGTTCCACTCCCCGAAACCTTCAGAAAAACCCCTGCTTATATGGGGTGTGCCTAAACATTAAATAGGAGGGGCAAACTGCAGGTTTTGGTCCATGTTTCCACTTACCGATCGGGCTCCATTTTGGGATTCCGGTTTTTTGAGCCATAGCCATATTTGGAGGGGATACCCCCGTAACCTCAAAACTATCGCTTTTTTTTTCAGGGGCCCGATTTCTTCTTGCAACCAAAAAGGCAAGGCACACCATACCCCCGTAACCTCCAAATTCCCAGCCGCTTTTTTCAGTTGGTATTTGTGGTTGAAAACCGAACGGTTTTCCATGGTAAATACCTCCTTTGTTTAGTAGAGGGCCGACATCATACCCTGAAAAAAGTGGGTATTGCGTGTTGCGGGTAGGGGATAAGTTGACTTTGAAGAGATACAACTCGGCACCTTGTGACGTGACGAAACTTGCCCTTAGCGTTACTTTTGGGTCTCTCTGTCTTTTTCAATCACCATTCAGGGGTAAGTTTGACGATGTCTTCCAAATCACCCAGGTTACACCCAACATCATACCCCCCACTCCAAATACTCTCTTTTTCAGGGTATCATGTCGACCCTCTACTAAAAAAGGTGTTTAGCATGGAAAGCCAGGTTTTCCCCAAAATGCAAACTAAAAAAGCGGGTATTTTGAGTAGGGGGTATATTCGATGTCAGTTTCCCATTTCGTGTACCGCCCCTTCTCCAAATGCCCGCCTTTTGGTGGGTCAATTTTGAAAGCCTGGCTTTCCATGGCAAACACATAGCTCCGATTTCTAGTGTTGACAAATCATAGCAACTGAAACAGGCCCAGCAAGCCCCAAAATACCCGCCTTTTTCCTAGGCTGGAATTAGGACCCCAGCAAAAAAACAACTTGTTTGCCTGGCTAGTGGAAAACAAAGGGACCCCAAAAAAGCAACAAAACAAAAAGGGGAGCTAATTCTGGGGAAGTTTCAGATGGGTTTTCCATGGTAGGGGGGCTTGTGCTGAGCCTTTTGGCCTAAAAAACCCATGTCGGCTTTCCCCCGTGTTGAGTGGCAACGTGGGAATTTGGAGCTTATTCTGCCCCATTGATCTGGTACCTTCCCAGAGAGCCGTGGCATCGCAACTCCGAGGTGCTGCTGAAGGTGCACACGCACACCGCCGCCTCCAAAAAAAAAAGAACTCCAAGACCTCCCCTTGATTCGAGTGGTCATGGGAAAAAAGCGATCGCAACTGGCGATCCAGGTGGTTTCTGATTCGAGTCCAAGGAAAATACAAAGCGTCGTGGTTTCAACCATGGCCCTTTCGTGGTGCGATTCTGGAGATCGCCCTCCGCGGAAAGTAACGCTTTTGGTATTCACGGAAAGCTCACTCATTCCGAGAAGTCCAATGTGTGGTGGCGGTTCTCTTGCTCGACGTTGGAAGGGGATCAACAAAAATAATAATTCAGCAGATAAGTGGATTTGGAGTTCAACCACTAAACCACAAGAAGCAAAAATGTAAGATGTTTCCCAACAACAACCATGTCCCCCTCCAAATGCCAACCTGGATTCCTGGGTAGGCATTGGGGGGAGATGGGAGGGGGTCCCTTTGAATCAGCGGCCTTGGGAATTTACTTCCGTTTGCACAGTGTTTGTCATTTTCCCCTGTTGGTTTTAAAGGGAATCTATCACTGGACTGTTCATACTTCCTAGATAGCCAAGTTGCGATCGCTTTTTTCAGTCTCTGTTGCTGGTTGTTGTGGCAGAGTTCATGGAAAAAAGCGATCGCAACTGGCGATCCAGGTTGCACAATTTCCTAATTGCCATCTACCCTGCCATCTAAGAGTTCATTGACAATTCTTTAAAGATTCAACCGATCCTTGGTTGCTTTCTACTCCCTGCTAAAAAAATAACTTTTAGTGGTTTAATTCGGAAAACCCATTCGTTGGCAAAAAGTTAGACATGCCTAACATCCCTTGGCAAAATGCAGCAAAGCATCGGAGCCAACCCCTTTTTGTTCACAAAAGAAGAAGACAACACGGCCAACTAAAACAACCTGGACCCCTAAAAATACCCTTTTTTTCTGCCTTTCTACCAACCTTTTTTTTGGGTCAAAGGCAGACAACAACTTGGAATCGGTCCGCTTCCTGGGGGTCCGGGAAGCAGTTTTCGGGGAGTCCTTTCGATCTGACCCGAAGAAGAAGGATGGCCGGCATGATGTTCACCCGGAAAACCCTCCAACCCACGGTGCGGCGTGGCAACCCGAAAAATTCCAGGCGGTTCCAAAAACGTATCACGGGTATTTGGAGGTTTCGGGGTTAAAGAGGTGTCCTTCTCTTAGACGCTCAAAGGCCCAGTTTCAGAAAGGGGGAACCTATCAGGAAGGGCCCAAGGCCCCTATTCTTCTCCGACCGATTGTTGGTTTCCTTTCTTCTTTTTCAGAGTTGGGAAAGGGAGCCTTTGATTCGGGGGAAGGGATTGAATGGGCCTCACAAACACACCGCAACCCCCCCCCCCCCGCCGCTGGGACCGAGGAAGCCCTGAGTTTTGAACGGAACCCCTGGGTATGTGTGTCTTCCTTGTGCACTTTTCGCCCCGGAAAAATCAGGAAAATATGGCCAGTAGTAGTGAAAAAAAAACATTCAAACCAACAGGGGGAAAGAAAACATACCAGCGACTGCAACTACCCATCTTTTTGGAGGCACTTGCTATGGAAAGGCGAAGGAAAAGGCGGGTATTTGGAGTAAGGGGTACCCCATTTCCAATCCTCTGTTTGCTTAAATTATCCCACTTCCAGCCCTGAAAAACCAAGAGAGGAAGATAGACACTATGCAAAAGCACATGCAAGCTACCCGTCCTCCCACCAACATCACGCATTTGTGGGAGGGTAGCTGGAAGATGAATTTCCTCAAGGGACCCGCTGTCAGGTCTCATGCAACCGCAGGTCTCCAAATCACTGGTCTTGGTCCGAAGTCGTCCCCGCTTCCATGGTCAATGGTGGCCCCATAATCCCAATCGGAGCTACCTGGATCCCCAGTTGCATTTCTTTATTTTCCAGCTACTGTTGCATCAAATTATGGGCTACTAGTGGGTAAAGTGGCTGGAAAAAAGTGGCTACTTGGGGATCCAGGTAGTAGCGACTAATAAGGCCTAGGGGCTTTCTTGATTTTTGGGGGTCGCCTCTTTCGGGAATCGGCCCCTGACAGCCACGGGAATAAAATTGTGCTGTGAGGACTTTGATTTGCTCTAGCCCGCTCAAAAAATAGAGAATATGTCCAGTAGTGAAATCGTTTCCATTTAAAACCAACAGGGGAAGATCAAAACATACTCATTTCAGCAAATGAAAGAAACCCAGCCGCCAGACCTTACAAACCTAACGAAAGCGCAAACAAAAATTGGCGATTCTTTGGGAACCCCCAAGCAACTGCTCCTTTGTTGGGCACCAAGGGAAATATTCTTAACTGGACTGCCCTCGGCTCTCCCGCTAGAAGTTTCACTTTTGGTGGGCTACATGGAAATCTAAACATTGAAAAGCAACAAACAAAACGAAAAAGCTGGAAAGCTTGAACACTTGTGGGTTAAATGCAAGCCCAACCACTAAACCAACTACAAGAACCCTCTACTCAAAATACCCGCTTTTTTCAGTTGGTATTCTTGGGAACACCGATCGGTTCTCCACGGTAAATACGCCTCCTTTTCTCGTAGAGGGTCGACATCCTACCCTGAAAAAAGAAAAGCCGGGCACTTGGAGTAGGGGGAACAAGTATTGTTTATGACTACCCCCTGAAAAAAAGCGGGTACTTGGAGTAGGGGGTAAGAATCTACGGAACCGGATAGCCTCCGGGAGCCACCACGTTCAGCCAACTTGTTCCCGCTGACCGTCCCCCGTTGACTTCCCAAATGGCGCCTCTCGAAGCACCTCCACGTCCGCCAGGAACTCCTCGGGTGCAAAAGGGATGGGAAGACCGGGGGGTAAAACCCCTGAGACCCGGTAAGCCGTAAGCAAGCAATGTTCACCCCATCTAGGTCCTCCAGATTTGCGAGGTTAGCATAAGTTGGTACCAACTTCTTTTTTTCCGTAGTCTAATTTACTAGGGGAACCCCCCCCAAACAAAAGGGTAAAAGGGCACTACTGAGGGACCTAGAAGCAATGTTCAACAAACCAGTTTATCAACAGGGGGCCCCAGCCTACCCCTAACCCTGTACGTACCCGTTATACTGCACCTTTTCCCAATACAAACGAGCGAGCAAATATGAAGAGTTGGGATAAGCTTGTGGATGTTTAGGTGTGAACAGGTCTGAGGGCCTTCAATGTACAAATGGACCAGACTTGGAAGTAGAAGCGAAGAAAGGTAGAATGGTGGATGGGTATCCAGCTCAAATGCCCAGTAGCCATGGGAAAAAAGGATCGGCATCCTTTTTTGGTTGCTTGACTTTAAAGGAACACCCAAAACCCCCAAACAAGTGGAAACAATGGATTTTCAACCCACTGGGCAACAGGATCATCGAAATACTTACCCCCTGCTCAAAATACCCACTTTTTGCAGGGTACTTTTGGGAAAACAGATCGGCTTTCCATGGTAAAAACCTCCCTTTTTAGTAGAGGGTCGACATGATACCAACTGAACAATGGCCGGGTATTTGGAGTAAGGGGTACTTAAAGGGCTTCCTCGACGATCCTTCTTTGTCGCCCACCAAAAACAATGCACACTCTTCAGTGACCGGAAAAAGGGGAAGCCGCCAAAAAAACTCGACTACCTTTCGCCAGGGTATTTTTTAGAACACCTGGTTTTCCACGGTAAATACTTCCTTTTTAAACTTTTGGTGGTTTAATGGGAAACCCATTGTTTGGCAAAAAGCCCTTTGGCAAAAAAAACACATTTTAGTCCTAACATCCCTTGGCAAAATGCAAAGACAAGGTGACAGATCCCGCGTGGCATCCAGCGGCGCATTCGATCCATCCGAGCCGCGTGGGTCATGGCGGTCCGCTGCTTCGCGGACAGGGCGTTGTAGTCCGCCTCAAGCCGCCGAAACGCGAAAAGCGGACCCACCTTCAGGGGGGGAGGAAGGAGGGGGAGGGAGCCCAAATAAGCTATGAAGCCCTTAAGGCCTTATTTAGGGCTTATTTGGGCTCCCTCCCCCTCCCCTCCCTCCCCCCCGGCCCCCATGACACGTGGAGTCGCCTTCTGACCCTTTGAAAATGGTTGGTTATTTCCCAAAATAATGGGGTCATGGACCCATTTTTGATTCGGGTCATGGAGACTCCAGGCACACAAAACTTCGCTCTGAACCAAATACCCACTAGTTTTAGGGAATGTTAGGGTTCAATGTCAACCTTTTGTTTGCTACAAAAGGAGGACTGTGCCATGGAGAACGGATCGGTTCTTCCAAAATACCCTATGGAAACTTGTTTGGAGTATGGGGTACCCAAGTCACCCAAACAGCCCCCAGAACTCGTTTGTTCGGACCAAAGCTCGGCCAGTTCTCCGGTTGAGAGTCACCCCGCCAGGAGTTTCCTCACGTCAAACAGTGGCCCTTACGAACAAAGTCCATGTTTAAACCAACCCACGATCGGAAAGATACCGTGGATGGACGAAATCCTGCATCTGAGAAACCATGTGGTTCAACCATGGTTTCCATTCGAAATGGATTTCGTGAGGCTAGGGGGCAAACTCCGGACGTGGCCTACGTGACGTCAAACATTTGTTTATTCAATCCATTTCGCACCACTTGGGCACCATGGGAAATCATTGTGTATTGGCATGTATAGAGGAATCATCAGAAACCAGCGTTTCTTAGGTGGTGAAAAAAAAGGTTCATCCACAGTATCACTCATGTTCGATATTTATGTCTTACACATATTCATGTTTCAAGTACCCAGACCCGAAGACACTACCCATTAGATGGGGAACCCCCATGAACTTTCCCTTTTTCTTCATAAAATCACTACACAAACAATGCTTTTCTATAGCGTTTAGCTCTCTCGACCATTAAAAAACCAGCGTAACATGATGTTCGCCAAATCCTGGTACTTCTCAAGAAATGATGCATGCGCAGTACCTCAGCACGTTGACAGAATTGCAAGAAAATAGACAGTTATGGCTGGTGAATGTCAACCATTCTACGTAATGGCTAGTTCCAGGGTCGGTTCCTCGCTTGGCGCATGCTTTGCCCGAGGGTCCCGGCCTTGGAGGACCAGGTGTGCCAGGCAAATCGGATTTTTCCCCAGATAGCTGAAAGCTACAGGGCTTCTAACTTCTAAAGCTATAGGGGTTCTAGCTATAGGGAGGACCAGGTTTGCCAGGGCAAATTGGGTTTTTGATTGTAGTAAAGGGTTGTCAAATTGGATTTTGTTTGTAAAGGGTTGACACATCATACCAACAAAAAGCAGGGGTATTTGAAGCTTTCGGGGGTATTCGTAAAAAAGGGATGCCCTAAACTTACTCCCAACGGGTTGACAGAATGATTGGTGGAAAAAGGGCAAACTGCCAAACAAACACAAGGAAAAAACAACAACACCACTCCAAATGCTTTGCTGGTCAAACAGTGATTGGAGTTTTTTCAAGGTAACTATATGTTTTGTTACTCGGTTGCTGTTAGCTCGTCTCGAAAAAGTTTAACTGTTTGTGGGTTCAATGGAAAACCCCTTGATTTCCCCAACAGTTAAAGTCTAAAGATACAACCCAATAGCAATCAAGTTTAGTAAAGGGTCGACATCAGGTTTTGACACACAGTGGGTCTTGGGTGCTAAATAGCTATGTTCATCGGCCTCGAGCGAAAGAACGCGAGCCAAACGCGTGCAACAAAGAAGGGGGGGTTGATCAAGAGGCCCGGTATATATGGGATGATCATTGGGATCATGTCGCCCTAAGCGGGAAAAGTAAACTGTGCTGTCCCAAATCCCCTGCTAACAGCTTAACTTTTAGTGGGTTGAATGGGAACCCCCACTGAACCCTAAAAGTCTAAGATGCTAAGGAACCGGATGGCGGGGAACCACCAAGTTAAACCCCCAAGTGATGATCAGTGTGTCTTCATTTAGGGATCGGAACCCCCAATGTTTCAGATTTTTCGCCTGCCCTACAACTATGTTTTTAAAAAAAAAAAAAAAAAAAAAAAAAAAAAAAAAACTGACCCTCGGATTGATTGAAATTCAGTGAGTCACCATGACTTTTGTTGGCGTTGCCTTTTTAACAGGAATCCAAAAGGAAAACCGGCATAATTAGTTTTTCCCCCAGATGGCTGAAAGCTACAGGAGTTCTAACTTCTATTAAGGGCATCTTGAGGGCAGGGTGCAAAGGGGCATGCAATGGCATGCAGCTTGACAGTAGGGCGCTGTTTGGGTGCTGCTCGCTGCGAGAGGCAGTTTGGGGTGCTGGTGGCAGGTGCTGCTTTAGGATGCTGTTCGGGGTGACGGCGCCGGCACATGTTGCTCGATTGACGGCTAGGTTTTGTTTGGGGCGCTCTTTGGGGGGGTGCTGGTATGCAATCATTGTTATCTGGGGGTCTGGGTCCCCTAAGAAAAACACACCCAATTGGCATTCCAATGACATTCCGTAGATGAGGGCAACTAGGTCCTCCAGTAGACAGGATAGAATGACGGTACCAACTTTTTTCTGTAGTCTATTTTAGTAGGGGAACCCTCCCAAACCAAAAGTTGGTAAAAAGGCACCTAGCTGGAGGACCCAGGCAAATATGAAAACCCTTGCGCAAGAGTCCAGCAGCTCAGCAGTCCAAAACGGGCTTTTGATTACAGCACAGGCAAGCCGTGACTGTCACAGCCAGTCAAGCTTTGACCGAATCTGAGCGCTGTCTCCGCCATAGTCGGGATGACCCCAAGTCACTACGGAGCCGTCCTTCCGGACGGCAGCAAATGCTCGCATGGTGGCTTGGATCTGTTGGACACGCGCCAACTGCTCTCGAACCTTGCTGCTGTCACCCCCCCAGTCAGGATCGCCCCAAGTCACTACAGAGCCGTCTTCCAGGATGGCAGCAAAAGCACGAGGAGCTGATTGGATCTGCTGGACGCGCGCCAACTGCTCTCGCACCCGGCTGCTGTCACCACCGTTCGCAGGATCGCCCCAAGTCACCACAGAGCCGCCTTCCAGGATAGCAGCAAAGGCGGATCCAGTGGCTTGGATCTGCTGGATCCGCACCAACTGCTCTCGCACTTGGCTGCTGTCACCGCCGTTGGCAGGATCGCCCCAAGTCACCACAGAGCCGTCTTCTAGGATGGCAGCAAAAGCAGCGTGAGTTGCTTGGATCTGCTGGACGCGCACCAACTGATCTCGCACCTGGCTGCTGTCACCGCCATTGGCAGGGTCGCCCCAAGTCACCACAGAGCCGTCTTCTAGGATGGCAGCAAAAGCAGCGTGAGTTGCTTGGATCTGCTGGACGCGTACCAACTTGTCTCGGACTTGGTTGCTGTCCCCCCCGTACAGGCGATAACCCCAAGTAACTACAGAGGCGTCGTCCAGGATGGCAGCAAAAGCAGCGTGAGTTGCTTGGATCTGCTGGACGCCCACCAACTGTTCTCGCACCTGGTTGCTGTCACCGCCATAGATGCGGTAGCCCCAAGTAACCACCGACCCGTCTTGCAGGATAGCAGCAAACGCATACCCATTTGGTTGGATCTGTAGAACGTTTACCAAATGATCTCGCACCTGGCTGCTGTCACCGCCACAGGCAGAATCACCCCAAGTCACCACGGAGCCGTCCTGCCGGATGGCAGCAAAAGCTCTCTCAGTTGCTCGGATCTGCTGGACCTTCGCCAACTTCTTTCGCACCTTGCTGCTGTCACCGCCACTACCAGGATCTCCCCAAGTGATGACAGAGCCTCCTGCGGTATACATGGCGAAAGCCTTTTCCTCGGCTGAGTTGGGACCCATCTGTTGGGTTGCCACCTAACATGGGAAATCGAACTGGGTAAGGTCAAAAGGCTCAACACAAGCCCCCTACACCCAACACCTCCTTTTTTCAGGGTATGATGTCGACCCTCCACTAAAAAAGGAGGCATTTACCTATGAAAACCCGGTTTACAAATTAAAAATAAAAACAAATGAAAAAAGCGTGGGTATTTGGAGCTTTCGCGGGAGGTCGATTCGCGTTCCTTTTTTGCATGTGAGTTGCCGTGGACGCCAAGGCGACACACTGCACAACGGCATCCACGCAGTCGCCGTCTTTCAACTTTGACTCCTTCAAGGTGCGGGAGAGGTCCAGCAGACCTTGACGCAGTGTTTCCCTACTCCAAATAGTCCAACTACCCACGCTTTTTTCAGGGTATTTTTGGGAAAACCGATCGGTTTTCCATGGTAAATAAATATTGTTTTAGTAGAGGGTCGACATGATACCCTGAAAAAAGTTGGTATTGGGTGTAGGGGGTATATTATTTGTTGGCAAAGACCTATTGTATTAAACACAAAAAAAAGTGTTGGAAGGGGATCTCAACCACGAAACCACCATAAACGCAAACAATATCAACCCAACCACCCTAAACCAACAAAAAAACAAAAACACCTCCCCCCCAGCAAAAACGAGCAAAATGTGTTTTAATCACCCTAAACAAAAAACAACAAATAATCACATCCCCCCCAGAAAAAATAAGCAAAATGTCTCCCAACAACAACCAGCAGACGTCCTCCAAAGGCCAACCTCAGGAAGCCGCGCTGGAGCTGCTTCTGAGCCTCCAACTTCAGCTGCACCGCCGGCGTGTCTTCCGATTTCGTGACGCAGCAGCTGGTGCCGCTGGGCAGACACACCGTCACTTGCAGCGCTTGGGCGGCGCCCATGGCGCACGCGTTGAAACCGGGGAAACTTGGGTCCTCCAGATTTGAGAGCTTAGAATAATTCCGGGACCTCCAAATACCAACGGCTTCTTCTTTCTTTGTTCAGTTGGTCTCATGTGTGGAAAACCGATCGGTTTTCCCAACAATGCTCTGAAAAAAGCGGGTATTTTGGGTAGGGGGTAAGGGTACCCGATGCTTTTTCTGTCGTCTATTTTAGTAGGGGAACCCTCCCAACCAAAAAAGGGTAAAAGAATTAGTAGGGGAACCCTCCCAACCCTAAAAGAGTGAAACGCGAATTAAAGGCGGCTCTCAGAGCAGAGCCAGGGCAAAAAATGAGGTCACCATGAGTTGGTGCTTTGGAGATAAAGCAATGGCAAATTGGGGCTCCACTTCCGGAACACCAATCCAAACCGCCCTGAGAAACCACCACCCCCCCCCAAAAAAAAACACACGTTCGAAATACTAACAAAAAAGCCAGGGATTGTGAGGATAAACCCAGGGTTTTGGAGCAGACCTGACCATCTCACGGCTTTTGGGTTCCCTAGGACCAACTAGAGGGAGCTGCAAAAGAGGAGTGCCCTGACACCTTCCCGAACTCTGCCAAAAGATTTGCCACAAACCTTTCAGGTGAAAAAAAGACCCGGAGAACAAAAAAAAGGCAACAGCACGAATCAGCACCCCCCCTTTTGGAAGTTGGGTGTGTCTTTTGCGAGGGTACCCCTTTTTTGCCGTTGTAAAGATAAGACCAAAAGGACAACCACCCAATTTTGTTGGGGGGTCCCCCCCAAAAAGAAGACACACCCAGTATGGCGTGAAGGGGAACCCCCGGAAAAAAAAAACAAAAAAAAAAAAACAAAAAAAAACAAACTGGGCAGCGAACTAACCCACGACCTGCTCGGGCTACCTGCACGGCTTCCTGTCACAACTCCTACCGACCGAAGATAAAAAATAAAACCGCCGGGGCATTGAAAGGCTCCCTGGGCCCAATGCGGGAGTCCCTGGGCACGGCCCCAATTCAATCAAAAGCCCGGACCAATTCCATCACCAGCCCCGAAAAATGGAAAAAAAAAACCACCACCAGTTTTTGAGGGAAAGGTCGACCTTAAAAAAAAAAGGCGGGTTCACTGAAGGGGGGACGGGAATTCCAGCCTTTGTTTTTGGTACATGCCGGCTGAAAAAAAAGCGCATCGGTCTTGGGCGGTTGCGGGGGAGGTGGTTCCTCCTGTATGTAAACATCACCTTGTTGGCCCAGTTGAATCCTCCTGAAACCTTACGGGGTGGGTTGGACCACCCATTCTATAGCACTCTAAAGAGCCGTTTCTTGGAAGGTCAACCCCTCCTTCTGGGGGAACTTCAAGGGGGATCCATTTGAGGTGCTCCAAATACCCGTGCTTTTTTCAGGGTATCATGTCGACCCTCTACTCAAAAAGGCTTGGCATTTACCCTGGAACACCTTTCCCGGTGTTCAACCCAAAATACCAACTGAAAAGAGCGGCAGGGTATCTTTCGAGGGGTACCTTCCTTTCCATTCCGAATCCAGGGATCCGAAATATTTTCAGGAAACCATCAAAAGCCCAGGTTGGAAACAGATCCGGCCTGGTTGAAAAGAATGGAACAGGAATCAACCGTAAGCGTTTCGAGTAGGGGGTATAGGGCACCCCGTCTCCTTTCGAGTCGAGCATCTTCCCGCCTGCCAGTGCCCGTGCCGCAAGTTCTCTGGCACCTCTGCCCGAAACCGCCACCTCACCTGGCGGTTTCGCACTTTGGGCGACTCAGCCGGAGCGCCGAAGACCCGGATCTGCGCATGGTTCAGTTCAGTGTGTGTTCTTTTCTGGGGAACCGTGATTTTTGCAGGGAACATCCCCTTGCTCTTCTTCTTTTTTGTTTTTCCCCTCTCAGTTGCTTCTTGTGCTGGAACAGCAAGAAAAAACATAAGTGTTCCATGGTGAGCACCAAACCGTTCTTGGGTACAAAAAGATGACATGATCCCCCCCCCAAAAAGAAAAAGGTCTTTGGAGCACGCGCCAGCATGGCAGAAAACCCAGCGGGACCTGAAGACTCCAACCCAAAGTGGCCCTTCGAGGTGTTCCTTTTGATGCCCCTTTAAAAACAAACCAAACCATAGGTGCCCTTTTTGGGCAAATCGATGGCCCTAGTTGATTGAACTACCAGGTAAACCAGGGCCGTCTATTCTTCAACCAAATCAACCAAAAAGGACACCTATGAACCAAACGGGGGTACCGAGCCTAAACGTGGGTCTAAAACCTGTTCTGGTGAACATCAAAATAGGTGGGACATGGATGTTTAGAACATCCGCCCCAATATGGAGCCATAGGTTATAACCCATGGCCATTTCTTCAGTTGTTCAGTGACCCTGGAAAAAAGTGAACCCTTTTTCGGGAAGACCATTTTTAGTGGGGCAGCCACCAAAAAAAAAGGAAAAAGGGTGCACCTGAATAACTGACTTTCTCACTTCCACTCGAGATTGACCAGAAGACGGGTTAACCCTATTTACCAAATGGCAAAAACAAAAAAACAAGTCAAACATGCGATGACCATTTGGGGGAACCACAAAAAAGATTCGATGCTTCCCACTAAATGGGAACAGATACCCATGGTCATTTGGGGACCAGGAATATTGATCAACCTTTATATAACAGCCCGAAAGCCCCGTTCCCCGCTAAACCGCAGGTTGATCTTTTTGCATAGGGCCGGCCCCACCCAACTTTGAACGGTCCTTTTCTCAAAAACCAACGACCTGGACCCTGAAACTACCCTGAAGAAAATTGGTCCTCCAGTGGAGAGGGTAGTATAAGGCTTATAAGGGTACCAACCTTGTTTTTCTGTAGTCCATTTTAGCACGGGAACCCTCCCCCAAAAAAGGGTAAAAAGGCACTACTGGGGGGCCTTGTTTGGGTAAACGGATCGGTTTCCATGGCACATGCCAACCCTTTTATAGCAAAGGGTTGGCATGCCCTAAAAAGGCTGGGACTGGGTGTGATTGGGCACCATCACCCCAAAGGGACACCCACCGGGGTTTCATGGGCGACCTACCCTTTATGGAAGTGCAGAGGCCCCTTTTGTACCAAGTGCCTCGCGAGGCAGCATTCTCATCACGATTCCAAGCGCAAGAAAACGTCTCAAGTTTCACAGCTCTAAAGTCCAAGCCTCGTAACGTCATACAGCTACCAAACAACGAACCACTGCCAGGAGCAACTCTGCTCGAATGGCGATCTCCGAAAGCACAGCGAGGACCAGGGACCAGCGTGGCTTGAACGCTGAAAATCGCTGCGGGGGCTTCCTCAGAGCTTGCATTTGCTCTGTGCAGCAAAGCGATGCTCGAGTTCTGCCGGGCAGGGTTCTGGGCTGAATGCGAAATAGTAGTGGTCGAACTTGGGCGGTGGGTCTGCAAAGTCCAGGTGGTTCAAAGCGCCGTACTGGTTGGCCTTCCCTGCTTTACCCTCGCACCATTCCAAATTCCCTGCTTGGTGCGTGCAAGTATCGATAACAATGAACTTGATTTCCTTCTGAAAAATCTCGGCATCTTCCTTGACGTACATAGGGTAAGACTGAGGATGCCCATATATAAACCGGCCTTTGCCGCAAGCTCCGCAACCCATTCCAGCTGTGCCCCCTCCTCCTCCATCCTTTCCGCACCAACAGCCAGAAGCTCGTTCAAAGTCGCCCTGCATGTTCTCTGCTGAGGCGACAGCATAGTAGCCCGTGCCCTTCACAATCTTGATGGTGTCAAGACCCCCGCATGATGTGAGACTGGTGTGCCCATATCTCGTGGTAGTTGCCTTGCCAGTTGCCCAAAGGAGCCAGAAATAAAAGTTAACCCTTTGGGGACACTACCCAAAAATCGGCTCCCAAAGCGGGGAAACCAACCGGTCGCTTCATGTCGCATTGGTTGCACGTGACGAAAAAACATTCGATCCACAACCTGTGTTTTCCAAGGACCCGCACAACTTGGTTGCTGGAACGACCCCTCTGCAAAAAGTCTACTTTCTTCGGGTTTAGTGGAAACCCCCTTGATCTCCCAAAAAGTGTTCCAGTCTAAAGATCCAACCCAATGGCAGTCAAGGTAAGCTGCTGGCAACCTACCCTGCTCCAAATACGACGTGCTAACCTCAGGGTATGACAGGGTATGATGCCGAAAAAGGGGATGGGTATTTTACCCTGGAAACCGAAACCGGTTTTCCGAGACATACACCCACAAAGAGCAAGTATTTCAAGAGTATCATGTCAACCCCCGACCAAACAAATGACGTTCTTCACAATGCGAAGACATGTTTCGCCCAAGGACCCATTCAGTGTGTTGACTCGGCAACTAATTCGACCACCAGGATGACAGCGAACAAGCAAATGGAGGTGTCTTTAGTGGGTTGTGCTTTTCCTCTTCAAAATTGACAACCAAAACAGGGGCGGGGGGACCCTCTTACTCAGCGGTACAGGTGAATCTTAAACCAACCGGCTCACATGTATCCTTTACTAAAACACGTGTCTGGTTTCCCAAACACGAGCTCCAAAAACTGGGGCTACCAAGCTGCCATGTACTTGTAGCCCAACTTCTGCGGATTCGGAAGCCCCGCGCTGGTTTGCCTGGCTGCGGCTTGGAGCAAGTTGAGGTCGCTGGCATTCTCTGCGTTCATGGCTGTCAAGAGCTCATCCGTGCATTCTCCCAAGCCTTGCAGAGTTGCTTTTCTTAGTTGGGTGTTTTTTGAGGGTATCACCCCTTTTTGTGGTGTTGAAAGGAAGCATAAGGAAACTAAAGGCAAAGCCACCCATTTTGGGGGTCCCCCGTAAAAACAAAAAAAAAAACAAAAAAAAACATAAAAACTATGGCATGCCCATTTTGCTACAGAAAGCAACCACTGCCCAAAAAAAAATGCTATCCCAAGAAGCAACTTTGCGTTCCTTGGTCGCATAAGCCAGATGTCAGCGTCAACGCGACGGCCAGGAACTTCATACATTCATGCGGCATCTGAATAAAGTAATTCGTGTGAATTGATAGCGCTGTCAACAAGGGCTCATGTGCTTGAGCCAAAAGGCACTGGAGAACACATGATGTCTACAAGACTTCAACAGAGCAAACACCGTTTAGGACGTTCCTCTGAAGAAATGCTTGATTGCATTACCTTTGATTTCCCAATATGTCCCATCTTTGTCAGTCAATGAACTCCTGCAACCAAGAGCTGGCAACAGGTTCATGCAGGAAGTACCGGTTGCTGCCCAAAAAAGTTGAGCAGCGAAGCACACACAAACACAGGCATTGCTATTCCGCAACCGGCCCGAAACCACCAGTGGACATTCTCGACATGGCGTTAAATCGTTGATTGACTGCCTTCGACAGCACCCAGAGACTCCAATTCGATTGATTTCGGGCCTTCAAACCACCTGGTCTTCAGACCCCGAACCACCAATTCCCGAGGTGTCTAATGCTTTGGGCTCGGGTCTTCCATTGAAAGCCGAAGCCAGGAGCCTCTGGGCAAGAAAAAACCGGTGACGCCGGTCTCCGGCCACAATGGCCACAAAGTTGATCGCGGCAACTCTGAGAGCGCCACATCTTTGCTCTACCAACACCAAGGGCAGTCAGTGCAACTTACAAAACATGACGCAGCAACGATAACTAGGTCTTAAGGGTACCATTTTTTTTCTGTAGTCTATTTTAGTAGGGGAACCCTCCCCCAAAAAAGGGCTGGGGGACCTAGATAACCAATGGGAATGTCATGGCAACCTCAGGACGACAACAACACACTACCATCACAAAAACATAATAGCAGCTGGAACAACTCAGCGTCCGTCTCCAACTGGTTCTTTGAAGGTGTTCCTGGTCTGGTGGTTTCTCATCTACCCTCTACAAGAACCAGGGGCTCCTTTATCCAAATCCAAACCACCAAATAGGGGGTACCCAGGTGGAACGTATCATTGATTGGACCATAGTTCATGCTATGAACCATATTCAATACTCCCTGTGTGGCCGATTGGGTCATGATTCCCTTAACAGAAATCATTGTAATGGGTGAGAATCCTTACTACCAGGTTGATGATCATTCCTATTATGGTTTGTATGTTGATCAGCAATCATGATAAATGTATGGTGAAACATGGTTGATGGTGTGTTGCAGCCAACCACTGTTGAACAACTTTACAACAAGCGACAACCACTGATGGGCGGCCTACATAGCATGAGCATGTTTGCAAATGCGGATGACGGAATTCGGACCCCCTAGGACGAACTTCAGCCTGATCGCATTGAATTGCGAGCACCATGATTCGCATCGCGTCCACGCAACGAAACAACGAACCAAACAACAAACCCGACAACAAACCCAGCAACAAACCAAACAACGAACCAACAACAAACCAATCAACAAACCCAGCAACAAACCAAATCACAAACCAAACAACAAACCCGACAATACACCCAGCAACAAACCAAACAACGAACCAAACAACAAACCAATCAACAAACCAAACAACGAACCAAACAACGAAAGAAATAAACCCAACAAACAAGCAGCAACACATCAACCAATGCGACAAGCGCAAGATTGCGCGAGGCCCATGAGGCGATTCCGCGGATTCGGAGGTGAGACCGGCAAAAAAAACAAAAGACACACCCACGTAATCGATTCCCTTCAAAAAAAAGAAAGGGCTGGGACAATTGAAGCAGGAGGGGCACAATGGCTGCAACTAGGGTTTCTTCCCCTCTGCCTCAAAAGGCGGCTGGCGGCTCTCTCCTCTTGGGGTCTTTTCGGCACGCTCTAGGAAGGGGTGTTGCCAGGGGTGTTGCAAAAGGACATGGCTGGGAAAACTCCAGCGATCGATCGGACCCAGGCAGCCTCTGTTTCCTTACTGCAGGCCTGGGAAAGCAACCCCATTGTTTGAAGACCAAGTACTGTGGATGACGAGCATGCGCTTTGAAGCCGTGGCAAACCACAGAAGGAACCAACCCCTGGTGTTAGAAGGAACCAACCAACCCCGGGTGTCCCTTCTAGGGTGTCCCTGCACTTTGTTTTGCTGGTGTTTGCAGGGACACCCTAGGAACCAACCCCTGGTCGTTCAGAGGAGCCCCTTGTTTGTTGGTTTCATCCATCCCCCCTACTAAAACCTAAAAAGGGCACTACTGGGGACCTTGGCCAATGGAGGTGGAGGGACACCTTGGCTGCAAGTCCCGCCCTTGGCCGCTCGTCCCCCGCCTCGGCGCTTCGGCTTAGGCCCAAAATCACCTCCCCCAGCTCCTCCGCTGCCGAGAGGTCGTCGGTGCCTCAGACTCGACGCGGCGAGGCGAGGCGAGGTGGCTCGGCTTCGTCCCAGCAAGTATAGCCTGTCAAAAGTGAATCCAAAGGCAAGTCAGAAAATTAGAAGGCTTTTTTTTGAGACAAATCCGCATTGGCATATGTGCCACGGTCAGTTGACACCTATCTGAGGGATGGCATCATTCCAAAGCCGGAAGTCCTTCAATCCCCAAGGGCGTGCTCGTTGTCCGCCCCCCTCCCCCCCCACATTTCGGTGAGCTCTCATCATGAAATGGGCAGCCCACTGGACATGAGAAGACGTTTACATTTGTTTGTCCCCGCTTGTTTGTCAGCCTTTGTGTGTTGCAGCAGACAACGTTCCATGTGGTCTCTTGAAGGTACTGCCGGCACCAAGGGTTTGTTGGGAACAAGTATGATGCTAATCACTGACTTCAAGGAAGTTTGGAAACGGATCCCTATTTAGAGAAACACTCCCACGGTTCTTTCGAAAGGGTTTGGAGCTGGCTGGAACCCGCTGGTTCTTTCGGGGTGGCCAGCCCATTTATCCTCCACAAACACTACACCCACTTTTTTCAGGGTATGATGTCGACCCTCTACTAAAAAGGTTTGGTATTTACCATGGAAAACCGATTGGTTTTCCCAAAAATACCAACTGAAAAAAGCGTTGGTATTTGGAGTAGGGGGTAAGGTTTCCTTCCCCAAACCACGTCCAAACCCCTACTGTGGACGGAATCCATTTCGCACCTGAGAAACCCCGGTTTCTGACGATTCCCCTGTAAATGAACCCTGTTTTCCAAGTGGTAAGAAATGGATTTCGCACCCATCCACAGTATTTCAGGGTAACCTGATTCTTTCCAGGGAAAATTGGTTCATGGTGTGTGCTGAACAAACAAAACTTCCAAGATAGCCCAGTTGCTTTTTCGCTTTTTTCAGTCACTGTTGCGATCGGTTTTTGGGGTAAAGCTCATGGACAAAGCGATCGCATGGCGATCCAGCTTGTTGCTCCCTGAGAACAAGCTCGTTGCCCTTCCCAGCATAGCACTGGGAGGTTCCCTGGAAGATCGACTTCCTCTTGGCGGGACCCCTAGGTCTTATGTTGAGAGGCAGGGTAGAACTTTTTGAAGACAGAAGAGAGGTTAGAACAAGGGTACACCTTTTTTCTGTAGTCTATTTTAGTGGGGGAACCCTCCCAACCAAAAAAGGGCAATAGGGCACTACTGGGTACCTAGTAGAGTACCCGCAAGCAAAACCCAGGAAGCAAAGAACAGAACATGTGACCACCCAGAGGCTCCTGGGCTTTCAATGGAAGACCCGACCCCTCCATTAGACACCCCGGAGGTGGTTGGGGGTCTCAAAACCAGGTTGTTTGAAGGCCCTAAATCAATCGGGAGCCTCTGGGCATGGAAAATAAGGGCGCCGTTTTTCGGTTTTGAGTTTAAAGGGGAACCCTTCCCCCCCAAAAGAAAAAAGAAAGGCAAGCAGGGCGCCACCGGGCAACTAGGGGAACACGGCCGTTTTCTCGGCCCGCGATGTCTCGAAAGCCAAAGCGGCACACAGCGATGACGTTGCACTCCGCAGTCACGTGTTTCAGCGCTGCGCTGGCGAAGTCCATGCCTGAAGGCGACACAATTCGTCGAAATTCGACGATTGGGACCTCACTTCCGATTGAGTGGATTGGCGAAGAGAAGGTCAGAACTTTCTTATTTACCACTAAAAAAAGCCAAACAGTCTGATTTGTGTATTATTTCCCACTAAAATGCTCCTTCCGAAAAGTATGAAGTCCACGAACTCAGGAAGTGAGAGGGATGGTTGGGGGTCATAAAACCAGGCTGTTTGAAGGCCCCAAATCCATCGAACTGGAGCCTCTGGCCTCTGGGAAGGAGAAAAAAGGGCACTGGGCAACTGCATGACTTTGATAAACCCCAGAAAACACTCAAAACCCATGACCTCAGTTGGAGGTGTTCCGGGGAGAGGATGTCTTTTTCTCCACCTGGAGTCTCCTTCGGACCCTAAAACAAAATCTAGGGGTCAAGAGGACCCATTGTTCATGTCAGAAGACACCTGGTGTTCGGATCTCTTTCTAGGTCTTCCAGTGGAGAGGTTAGAATCAGGGTACCCTTTGTTCTCTAGTCTCTTTCTGAAAGAGACTCACTACTGGGGGACCTAGCTTTTCATGTCAGAAGACTCCAGGTGCTATTTTTCTCCATCTGGAGTCTCCTTCAAAAAGAAAATGGGGGTTACTCAAAATATAAATGGATCAAAAAGACACATTTTCTAGGTAAGAGGTTAGAGGGGACCCCTCCCCCAAAAAGGGCAAAAGGGCACCACCTGACCTAGTTTTGCATGCCAGAAGGATACTCCAGGTGCTCGGAGCCTCTCTTTTTTTGCCGTTCGAGGCGCCTGTGACCTGGAGGCTCTCCTTGCGGTTCCCCGCCACCTTGTCCCCCCTCCGGATCTGCACCTCCGCGGGGAATCCGAATCCGTCCATCCATCCGTGGGAGCTCGGTGGCCCAAAACACGGCGGACCCGGAAAAAGACGCAACCGACGATGCCCACTAGTGGATTTCCAGGGGACGAAAAGGGAGGCATCGTCTTTCTTTTTGGGGATGGGGGACCAAAAACTGGCTGTGGCTCGCTCAAAAAACCGGTGGCCCAAAATGGGTTGTGTGGGGAAGTGGAAACATGGGTACCAAAACCTGCGGTTTGCCCCTCTTTAATTTCGAGCCACACCCAACTGGGACCCGGAAAATTTTTTAGCCGCCGACGCCCCGCGGATTGGATATTTCCGCTCGGGAGGGAGAAAAAAACGGGATGCGCCCATTTTTTGGGTTGGTTGGTTGAAGGAAGAAAGGGCACTGGGCGACTGGGAAGGTGATCACCTTGTGGGTTGCCATGACTACACTTGCTGGTGCGATAGGGAATGAGGGAACGAGGGAATGAACCTGGGGGTCCCCATTCTCTTCAGTCTTCAGGGATCCTCCTCTTCAAACAAAAAATGCCAATCCCCCCCCAAAGAAAAACATGGGTAAGTGGAGCCGTTGCCAAAATGGGAAAACCAAAAGGTTAAAAAGGTCGGCGAACCGCTGGGCAAGCGAGGTTTTGAAGTCTCAGTGGAGGGTCTGTCTGCTTTTTGGGGAGGTACCCCAATTTGTTGGCGGCTTTTGACAGGAAACCAACGAGAAACAAACATCTGTTCTTTTCGTTTTTGATATATATATATATATATATATTTTTGGGGGGTACCCTACAAAAAACATATGTGCCGCGGTCAACAAGACTCCTTACATGGCCAATTGGGTCATACTTCTCAGAGGAATCATTGTGGGCGGTCAGGATCCTCACCAGGTTGACCGCTCCTACCAACCCTAGAAAAGAAAGAACAAAACACGCTCCTTTGACCATGGCTCTAGGGGTTGATTCCCCATTCTTTTCAAGCATCGTTCTTTTCAAAAACCGGCTGTTTGCTCTGGGTTTTTGATGGTTTCCTGAAAAGAAGGATCCCTGGAAATAATGCGGAAGGTACCGCTAGAATGGCACACTAGTTGCTCCGCCTCAAAGTGATTAGACTCAACATCAATTGATCCAAAGCAACCACACAGGGTGTTACTCCACACAGGGTAGTACTGTGGATGGACGCAATCCATGATTTCCCTGTAAATACCAATGGACAATTGTTTCCCATGGTTTCCAAGTGGTGCAGGAGTTTGTCCATCCACAGTAGCCCATTTTGTTGGGTAGTTTGACAAGGTCCAGGCAGTGTTTTGTTTGCTGCTTCATGAAAATCATAAAGAGGTGGGATCCACAACAGCCCCTACAACCCTCCTGAACCCTCAGAAACCCTCCGAAAATGTCCGGATGCATCCCTGAAAGCTGCCTCAAACCACCCAACTCCTATCTGGGCCGAGACCCCATAGCTTTCAGCTGTTGGGTGGTGAAGCAAGGCAGCTGGGTTTGCAAAGTGTGCTCCGTTCACAGAGAGTGGGAGAAAGTTGGTTACCATCACTTCCTTGTCCCAATGACTTCTTGCACATGTCACTTCGACTGGGGGATTTGCACGAGGGAAAAAGAAACCGGTCGTTCTCCGGGTGATGGTAAGTGCATGGCGCATTTTTGGGTCAAACCTCCATTTGCTTCAGCCTCCTCGAAAAAAATGAAAACATACTTCCAGCAGTGATAGATCGATTCCCTTCAAAGCCAACTTGGGAAAGTTAAAAAACAAAGATTCAGCAACTGGAAGAAAACCAAACACCGCCGCGGCCCGCGCCGCGATGTACTTCTCCGGCAAGCGCAGCTCCGAGTTGAGCCTGCGGACTGCGGACCGAAGCACAGACTCCACCCCAGCGCGACCTGCTGAAACCGACGCAAAAAAAAGAAAAAGAAAAGAGGAGAAACGAAAAGGAAACCACCAACTTGGGCGGGGGTTCCTGGGGGAAAAAACCTGAAACACGCCCATCAAAATATGGAGTTGAGTTTTCGTCAAGCCTTTGAGAAAAACAGGTGTCCTGTTCGCTTCTCGGAGAAAACACGACAATCTTCCAAGGACCCGCCAAAAAATTGGGGGGGGCACTTCTTCTAGGTCCTCCAGTGGAGAGGATATTCTGTGGTCTGTTTTAGTAGGGGAACCCTCCCCCCAAAAAAGGGTGAGAAGGGACACTACTGGGGGACCTAGTCTTGGTTGGGGTACAAGTTGCCAAGTTTTAAGTCGCAAGTAACAGCTTTCTCCTGTTTCCCCCCGGGCTGTCCGTGGCCTTCCATGGCAACCAAGGGCTTGCCACCCTAAAACCGAATGGAACATCGCGACGGGCGAAAGGCCCGGGCTCCATTGGGCATGGTTCGTGCATGGTTGCGAACTCCAATTCGCACCACGAAAGGAAACCATGAGATTGAAACCATAACGTGCATCGGTATTTACGTTGGGGAATCGAATCTTAGGTGGTGCAAAATGGATTTCGCAACCATCCACAGTATGGAAGCCTTTTGGGCCCCAACTGCACGGGCAGCTTCCAAACTGCGATTGTGTCACAAATTCCCAATAGAAACACGTCCCGGAAGTCGGGCGTTCAAAAAACCACGCCAATTACTTGGTTGACGTTGGAAGGGGAGCAAAAATCAAAATTTAGCAGTCAAGTGGGGATTTCCCACTACCACAATAAGCAACAATGTAAAATGTTTCCCAACAACAACCATGGTTACATGTCAGGCCGAAAGCCCTTTCTTGCCCAAATGGAAGCTCTTGTGGCTTGGAAATGAAGTAATTGCATCTTTAAGGCAAACACGGAACCTGAAACCCTAAGACCATCTCCAAATCAGTGAGGCCAATCAAGAAAGGTCAGATTCATCACACTTCTCAGACGCTGAATGGGTTAAACGTGTTCCAGCTTGCACCGAAAAAAGAGTCATGTGTGTAGCATCCTACAACCCATTTTGGGGTCTTTTCTTTTTGGGGACCCTCCCAAATGGATTTCGGTGTGCCTCTTGGTTTCCCCAAGAAACCACCGAACAATGGGTGCCCTTCGAGAAAAGCGCAGGTCGCCCAACCCTCCGGAAGGAGAACCCTTGGGCTGCTGGGTTTCAGTCGATTGGCAATACTAAAGTAAGTACTGTCCCTCCCAGACCCGAAAAAGGATTTTGCCCAAGGGTCCAGCTGACTGGTTCCACTCTCCGGGGAAATAATCGGGCCCGCCAGTCCCGCCTCTCGATCCTTTTGGCCGTCTCTCCAGTGTACCGCCAAATCCGCCGCAGAAACTCCGACCTAAGTTGCCGACATGTTCACCTCTCCCATGACGAGAAAACACCCCCGGAACCTCCAAAGACCCTCTTGTTCTAGTGTACATTCATTGAAAACCAGGCTTTCCGGGATAAATACCTCTTCGTTTTAGCCATGGGGTGACATACCGAAGAAAAAACACAGAAACGGATAGTTGAAGCATGTGGCAGGTACCCGTTGGCAACAAGGGCGTGTAGAATTCGAACACTTTCGGGGCGTTCAACAGGGCCTGTGAACCAGGACTCACCACAGGCATTTGCTTGCCCCCTATCAAACAACAAGTCTTCATTGGGGCAACCATACTACCCCCTACTCAAATTACACGCTTTCTTCAGTTGGTATTTTTGGGAAAGCCTGGCTTTCCAAGGTAAATACCTCCTTTTTTAATAGAGGGTCGACATGATACCCTGAAAAAGAAGGGTATTTGGAGTAAGGGGAACAAGTATTGTTTATGACTACCCCCTGAAAAAAAGCGGGTATTTGGAGCAGGGGGTGACGCAATTTTGCTGGAAGGGATAATACAAGAACATTCAAAGGCCAAAAGGGACAGGCCAGTTCCGTCTGGCGATGCTCCTCCCTTTTGATCGAAACGATCAGGAAGCGGAAGGGGACTGCATCCTTCACTAGGTCCTCCAGTAGAGAGGTTAGAATAAGGGTACCTCTTTTTCTGTAGTCGATTTTAGTAGGGAAACCTCCCCCACAAAAGGGGAGAGAAAGGGCACCTAGCTGGGGGACCTAGTTCAGCTGCAATATGCCCTTAGGAGCAACAGGTGGGACAAGCTGTTTGGTTTAGGTCGAAATTGACCTTCTATACCCCCTACTCAAAATATCAACGCTTTTTTCAGTTGGTATTTGTTCGGGGAAAACCGAGAACGGTTTTCCATGGTAATACCGATCCTTTTTTTGTAGAGGGTCGACATGATGCCAACTGAAAAAACAACAAACAACTTTATTGGAGGTTCTGGGGGTCTATCGGCTTCCCGGGCAAGCCGGGATATAGACCTTCTTTGGACTGGCTTTTTCACCGAAAAGGTCTAAGGGATCAGGTCACACCCAAGACCGAGCACTGAAGCTTGCCTTGCTCCCTGGAATGGGACATCCTCAGGTAATGAGCCAGACATTTACAATTATCTTTGTCTGAAAAAAATAGACACTCTCCACATTGCCTATTCAGATCCGTTGTAATCATCTGGGATTGTCTGAAAAGAGACACCGGTCTCCACATTCCCCAGATCCGTTGCAGCCCACTTGCTGTGTTTTTTTCGCCTACCGCCCCCTGAAGCGATTTTTCGACGAATATGCCGGAGCCAACCAGCCCCGGAAATCCCCCGCTTTGGGACAGTAATCAGATTTGGGGCATGGGTGAAAATCCAATTCGTACCCCAGTGAACATCCCAATCGCCACTAAAATAGACTAAAATTGTAACATTGGTTTTGACCCACAGCCATTTAGGACCATGGGAAGAAGCAAAAAGTTGCAGTTGTGTTTCGAGAAGAAGTAGTTGGACAGTACCAAGCAGTTGGCAAGAACCAGCACCCGACACAAAGTTGCCAGGTGCTTGGAACGGCAAGTTGCAGTTTGCTTTAGTTGTCGTCTTCTTTTTGTTTTTGGCTTTTCGGTTTTTAGAATCCCCGGATGGGCCAAAGCGAACTCGATTCCTCACAACGAGGCCGCCGCTTCCGCTTGAAGGACACGCCCTTCGCGTGCTTGCAAACGGCGAACCAGCCTCGCCAGGAGAAAAACAAACGAACCTCCCCAGTTGGATGTGTCTCATAGCCCTACTCCAAATACCCGCAGTTTCAGGGTATGATGTCGGCCCTCTGCTAAAATAGGATGGAAACCCAGGGTGGGTATGGGTCAAAATTAAACCACCAGGGGACCACAGGTTTTAGTCCTTGTTTCCATTTACCAGGGTGCCATTTTGGGGTGACCAACTCTTTTTGACCCACAGCCAGGTATTTACCATGAAAACCCAGGTTTAAAAGCAATACCATCTGGGAATTGGGGGTCAGGAATAATATGGGTATTTATTTATTTTCTTAGATACCACCTGGAAAAAGCCGTAGGTATTTTGAGGTTACGGGAAGGTTACGGGATCGATCCTCTCCAACGAGCCACGTCGGCTCACGTTGGTGGACTGGCACATGTTGCCCGAACGGCTAGGTGCTGTTTGGGGCGCTCTTTGGGGGGGTGCTGGTAGGCAATCACTGCTATCTGGAAAATCTGGGTCCCCGAAGAAAAAGATGAGGGCGACTAGGTACCAACTTTTTCCTGTAGTCTATTTTGGTAGGGGAACCCTCCCCCCAAAAAAGGGCATAAGGGCACTACTGGGGCTAGTCACTTTTGTAAACTGGCCAAAACAAGTCCGACCTTTCGGTGTACCACCGAAATGGGAGGTGGGGGTATTATTTGTACCAACAAAACCGGGTTTCCAGGCCAAACCTCTTTTGAGTCAAAGGGTAACGTCATATCCCAACAAAAACTTCAGAAAAGTTGGGCATATACCACAGCAAAAGCTCTCCTCTTTTTGGCAGCCGAAAACCAAAAAACAAATATGAACTGGGCTGTCCTCAGATGCTTGAAAAGTTTAACTTTTAGTGGGTTAAGTGGAAATCCCCACTAAACACTAAAAAGCTATGAAGCTATAAGGGGATGGCTGCGAAAGCTAAGGGGGATGGCTGCGAACCACCAAGGGAACAGAAGCGGGGGGAAAAGAACAAACAAATCTATAGAACATGCAAACAGCGGTGAAGATCCTGAACAGTCCTAAACAGAGAGGAACAAAAAACACTATGTTTCTATGTAAAACGCAGGGCTGGGGGCGTTGGCCTCTCATCCTGAAATACTACCCAAGCGAAATGGTGACAAATGGGGGAAAAGCCCAGTAGGCATGTTGAGAATTGCCAACGAAGGCAGATACCCCCGTATCCTCCGAATACCCGATTTGTTTAAGGGTATGATGTCAACCCCGGACCAGACAAGGTTTGGTTGTCATCCTCAAAAGGCATGCTTTGTCAAACAAGTACCCTAAACAAGAGGGTATTTGGAGTAGGGGGGCGGGGCAATGTATCAACTTCGCTTACTCAACTTCCACGATTGAGCATCGCAGCCAGTAAGCGGTTGAGTACATGCTGCAAACTCAATCTCGGGGACTTGTTGCTCAGAGTTACTAGCCACAGTGCTTCCACTTACACATCATGGTGATACGTGGATGTTCGGCCAGGTTAGCAAGAGATTTCTGAAGGGGTCATAGCCGACCGCCCTTTGGTTTACCACTTTTTGGCAAACCCGGCTTTCCGTGGCAAATAACTCCAGGCTTGGACTCAAGGCGTGAATCAAACCCCAATAGGCCACTGCTTGCAGCTTTTGCGGGTAGGTTACACTTTTCGAACACCCAAGTAGTAGAACCCTGTCAGCAAAAGACTGGGTCACCTCAACTTCAACCCAACGCAAATATCCATGGGTATAAGCTACCTGGACCCTGAAACTACCCGACATGGAACTGGTCCCCGGTACCCCTTAAGATGGTGGGTTTTCCGTGGGTTTCCAGACGCCCTCCAACTTCGACTGAGCTCGGGCATGGATCGCCAAAGCAAAGTGCAAGCTGTTCGTTTACCACTCAAAGTGGTCTTTCCGACAGCTTCAAGTCCGACCCCGGAACTCAGAAAGTGAGTAGCAGACCAACCGAAACCTCCAGTACCCTTGTTTTCTGCAGTCTATTTTGGTAGAGGAACCCTCCCAACCCAAAAAGGGGTGAGAGGTCGGGCACTACTGGGGGACCAAACCGCCCCCGAAACCGACCCCCGAAAACCGACCCCGACTGTCCCCCCGAAAAACTCCGCGCCCGCGCGCCTGGCGTGGCCACGCGCCGGTTCCTCCGCACCTCCAAGGGCCGACAGCCCTGCGAGCAGCGCCGCAGGATCAGCGGCTCCGCCTGGCGCTCGCTCGCTCGGACCGTGGGGTCCGAAGGCGCCCGAAGCCCGCGGGCGAAGCGTGGCAGAGTCTGCCCACCCAGACACTCCGATCGGCTTCGGCTTAAGACCTGAGCCCGAAGCATTAGACACCCCGGAGGTGGAATTGGTGGGTGGGACCCGGTCTCGAAACCAGGTTGTTTGAAGGCCCTAAATCAATCGAATTGGAGCCTCTGGGCCATGATTTGTTTAATTACCTGGAGTCTCCATGACCCTTTAAACATGGGGTCATTACTCAAAATGTAGGGGTCATGGAGGCTGCCCCCGTAAATACCGATCCCGATCCCTTTTTTAGTAGAGGGTCGACATGATGCCCTGAAAAAAGGCCGGGTACTTGGAGTGGGGGGTGGTGTCCCAAAACAAGTATGAGCATTAACTTTAATTAAGTCGACCCTCTGGCGGACATCAACATTCAGTGGGGTTTGATCTCCACCAACCACTTTGCAGGGGGCTCCTCATTTAAATTCATATAGCCTTATAGGTGTTTTGTAGGGGTCGACTTTTTGGAACTCCTGGGGGTCGGAGAATTCAGTCTGGGTCCTCCAACAAATTTCCTCCCTTCCCGTCAAGAGGATTGGGCTGGATGGAATCGAAGACTGCTTCCTGGCCGCCCGGACGCCCTCCATTGGACACCCCAGAGGGTGTTGGGGTCTCAAATCCTGGCGGTTTCAGGGCCCAAAATGAATCGAATTGGAGCGTCTGGGCGCTCGAAATCCACACCTCGCTGCCACCCTCCATCTAGCAACTCTTTGCCACTCAAATACTCATAAACAATTTTCTGCCGCCCTCAATCTGGCCATGGAAAATGGGTTCGTGCCTCATGCCCAAGGACCAATCACTGCCACCCTCAATCTGGCCATGAAAAATGGGTTCGTGCCACATGCCCAAAAACCCCGCCCTTCGGCCTTTCCGCCCCCTCGCCCCCCGCTTTCCGCCGAAACCCGAAACCGAACGTCGAAGGACCCAAGGACCTTCGCCCGTGTCGAAGGACCCAGGGACCTCGCCTGGAGGTAGGTGTGCAAACGCCCAGAGTTCCACACCTCATCCTCCACCACGCAGGCGAGGCCGTTCTCCTGACGCTTTGCCAAAGGCCCAGATTGCGAAAAAGTTTCTCCTACAGACTACCCCCGGTAACCTCAAAATACCCAGCTGTCTTCTGTTTTTCAGTTGGTATTTTTGAGAAAACCGATCGGTTTTCCATGGTCAATACCAATTCTTTTTTTGTAGAGGGTTGACATGATACCCTGAAAAAAGAGAGTATTTGGAGTAGGGGGTGAAGATAGTGCTTCAAAGAGTATAAACGTCCATGAACTCGGGAAGTGAGACAAAAGACAGCGCAACAGAAGGGAGCCCGGAACTGAAAGACATACTCAGGATTGAAAGGAAACATGTCCCCCTACTCCAAATACCCGGCCTTTTCCCGTGTATCATGTCGACCCTCTACTAAAAAGGAGGCATTCACATGGAAAACCAGGTTTCCCAAACATACCAACTGAAAAAGCGGATATGTTGAGTAGAGAGTGGACCTCCGGATCTCATCCATGTGGTGAGGCTGACTGTGGGCAAGTTCCCATACCCCCTAATTTGCTTTCCCCGAGACGACAAATTAACAAATAAGCTACCACTCTAGTAGGTGACCAAACGAAACAGTTTTGGTAAGACTTAGAGGTAAAAACCAAAGCGTGGTTACCACTGGAAGCACTTGTTAGAAATTCAGTGAGTTCCCCCATCCCGATGGGCTAAACATGCTGACCAAACCTCAGGGTCATACCCCCCAACACCCAATACCCCCCTTTTTTCAGGGTATGATAGGATGATATGATGTCACCCTTTGTCTTCGACTAAAAAAAAGGAATTTACCCTGGAGAACCTAGTTCTTCAAAAAATGCCCTAAGAAACGGGCATTTGGAGTAGAGCTCAGGGTGTTTCCAATGGTCTGTCTGGGTGTTCGGAGAGATGTGCGTTGAATCCAGGCGTAAGGGCCGAGTTGAGCCTTCGCCATCTGGTTTGGTTGACAAATTGGGCATGATTACCTCCACAAAGAGTCGGAATTGCTAGGGATGCATACAGTTGGCCAGTACGTTGAGTAAACCTATTTTAAAGAACACACTGATAATACTAAAACCCACAGACATGTTCACCTTTCCAGACATGAAGGAAAAATCCCTACCGATTAAATAGTGACTCGCGCGTTGGTGTTGTCTGACCCGCACGTCTGTGTTGTCTGACTCGTGTTGTCTGACTGTTGTCTGACACGGTCTACTCTACAATAGTGAAAGGGCTCTTTTTTGGTAAAGAGTTTTCCACGGTAAATACCTAGTAGTCAAGGTTTGACATCTCTTGACAGCATACCCTAAAAAAATGGGTAGTTGGACTAGGGGATATGACTCAGTTGATCCTTGCCAGACATGAACGAAGAATTCCCTACCGATTGAAAAGGTGAAAGGGATCTCCAAGCGGGCTTCGCTGAATGGCGGGAACCTTTGGGGAAACTTTGGGAAAACTCTGAAGTGCGACCTGACCAACTAAACCCACCTATACCCCCTACTGAAAAAGAAAAAACACTTTGTTTCAGTTGGTATTGTTGGGCAAACCGATCGGTGTTCCATGGTAAATACCTCCTTTTTTAGTAGAGGGTCGACATGATGCCCTGAAAACAGAGTGTATTTGGAGTAGGGGGTATATCCGCACGCATTGATTGCCTCAAAGATTACTTGATAGATCAAACACTGGTGATGTATTCCGCGCAAATATGAACTCCAAACTGGAAGGTCGACAAGGTACGTTGCTCTGGTTCAGGGCAGTGGGAAATGGAATCCACTTCTGCGATACAACAAACAAGGCTTCCCGAAGACTAACCCCCCATAAAAAGGGGGAGACATTCCCCTGTATCACAGAAGTGGTTAGATCACAACCCTGGTTTGTGGCCCAACTTTTTGCTGAGTAAACTGTCTGTGTCCTACTGGTCTCTTGGGGCTGCTGTGCCCGTTCACTCATTCCCCCCATAGGTGACAGAAAATACTCAGATGCCAGTGGATTCCCGTGGGCAAAAAAAGGGCATCCGTTTTTGGTTGGTTGAGTTTAAAGGAATCGGAACCCTTCCCCAAGAAAAGTTTAAAAAAGGGGGCCGGAATCCACTGGGCAAGTCTTGGGACTAGAAGGCGCTTCGGGTAACCACGGGTTGGTTCCCAGTACAGGGAGCCACCCCGCACGGGCCGAAAATGGGGGTCCTGTGCATATTTGTTGGCGGGTCCGGCTGGCGGGTACGGAATCCGCGAATCTCGCAGCATGAAAGGAAGCCTAGGCAACTACATCCTAAATGTAGCTGCAAGACAAAAATCACCTCATCTGCTTTGGAGCTCCCGACTCGAGCCCCCGAGCCCCCCGAGTTCCCTGCTCAGCTCCTCGCAGGCGATGGCGGCGGAGACCAGGTTGTTCAGCTCCGAGCCGAAGCCCCGGTCCTCAAACAGAAACGGGGAGGAAGCCAGGCGTGGCTTGGAGCTCCAGCCTGAGAAGTCAGCAAAATTACCCCCTGAACATGGGGATGTCGCCCTGAAATTATGCTGCGAAATTGCTGTCCTGAACTTGGACCCCTGAGATTTGTGGCCCTTAAATGGTGCGAAATCCCTGAACATGAAATTGTCGCCCTGAAAAATGATGCTGCGAAATGGCTGTCCTGAACTTGGGGGCGTAGCCCTGAAATCATGAGCAAGTGCAAACTTCTATCTACTTGTAATTTCAGGGCCCTGCTAAAGTTAAGCTCTGCTTGGATCGAGCTGCTTAGCAACTAGGTGGAAAAAAACCGGACCAAGACAAGAGACAGACAAAGGGAGGTTGAGTCTAGGAAGCAACCCTCTGGGCAACTGGGTCGAGGTTGAGAAAAAAAACTCCCCCTGACCCTATGTGCCATAAGGAAACACAGAACACACACCAAACAAAAAACACGGGCCCGGGCGATACGATTGTGGCTCAAGTGACTCCAGTCCGAGGAAGCGAGCCCAAGGTTTTGCCCTTTTGGGGGGAGGGCGGGTCGGCATGGGGGCTGAGTTTTTCAGATTCCTGGGGGCTGAGTTTTTCAGATTCCTGGGGGCTGAGTTTTCAGATTCTTGGGGGCTGAGTTTTTCCATTAAAAACACTAAAACATACCAAAAATATAAGATCAAGACCCGTGACCTCTTAGATTTATTGGGGTGCGTTTTTTGTTTTTTTTTGCTGATGACATGACATGCAAGCACAGATTCATGTTCGATCCAATGAAGACTCAGATGCATCCAGACCTGCAAAATGAGCTAGCTTCAATCTGCACAGAAGACAGCCTGCTGAGAACTATTTTGCACAAATATCATTGTTGGACACAAATATTTAGCAAACGTGTGTCTGTAGCTTATTTTTGGATAATTGGCATGCTTACGCATGCCAAGTTTATAAACCTCAGGGTGCTAACTTTTGGAAGACATATGCTTGGCACAAATCTTCAACACAAGTTGCATACGTATGCAATATTTTGGAAGACGTATGCTTAGCAATCTGCAAGCAGATGTATGTTTGGGACAAATACTATTGTTGTGTTGCAATTCTGAAACACGTAAGTATGGCAAGCACAGCTTGCCACGCATATGAAATCATAAGAAAGGTAAGATATCGCTGATCTATGCAGCTTTCAGCTGCAAGACTCAGCTCTTTTTACAGTTGGATGTTCAATATTTTTCAATATACGCATGGGCAGACTTGAGAAAAGACAGCTAACACAAACATATTTATCGCATAATGAGCTGGAGCAATTGGAGCACAGCTCCAATCTAGTTGCTTGAGCTCAAGAAGCACAAGATGCAAAGATGAGCACCTGCAACGATATCTGCAGATGCAAATAACATTCTCTGCATACAGCTGTTCAGCTTTGGAATAAGAGCTTTGGAATAAGATTATCTGCAGCTATTCGTGTTGCTGAAGAGCTCTTGCAACAGTAAAGCTGTTCAGAATAGATTCAAGTAGACACAAGCCACAAGCAATTGCTTGTGATGAGATGTTACCTGCAGAAGATGAAATGAGAGATGAGATAAATTATCTCCAGTTACCTGGGGTTACCTGCAGAATATCTTGGAAGAGGCTTACGTTCTGTTGATACACATCTCATCATATTATTGATGTCTTGCATCAAGAAGGCTTGCATCAAGAAAGCATCAACCAAGTATTGTCTTCAGATGATGGGCTGTGTTTCTTTGTTTTTTTTGGTTTTCTTGGTGTTTATGAGCAAAGGCACCAACAAAAAAAAAACAGACCCATGGCCCTGAACTAGCAGATGCAAATGATGGGCTGTGTTTTTTTGGTTTTGGTGTTTTGAGCAAAGGCACAAAAAAAAAACAAAACAGACCAGACCCATGGCCGTGAACTAGCAGATGCAGATGATGGAGCAAAGGCACCAAAAAGAAACACAAAAACAACAAAACAGACCCATGGCCCTGAACTAGCAGATGCAGATGATGGGCTGTGTTTTTTTTGCTTTTTTTTGGTTTTTTTGCTGGAAAAACTCAGCCCCCAGGAATCTGAAAAACCCAGCCCCCAGGAATCTGAAAAAACTCAGCCCCCATGACGACCCCTTCTGTTTGGGGGGCCATGACTCAAATGGTTGTTGAAACGGGAAAACCAAACTCGGTTGCGAAATCTGCGAAGCCCTGCTAAAAGTTTTTAACTTTTAGTGCTTTGATACGGAAAACCCACTAATTGGCAGAAAGTTGAAGTCCTAACATCCAAGCCAAAAGGGTCAAAAGGTCGATTCGCTTTGAATCGATCGGGATTTTAGGAGAAAATGAAGCCCAATTGGGCGTTTCTCAAAATCGTCCCCTTGTTTCAGGAATTTTGGAGGAAAACCAAAAGGAAGGCAACCATCTGCGGTCCTTTTTCAGGTACCAAAATGGAGCCCTTTGTTATTGGAAGAGTAAACTGAACCTGCGGCCCAATTCCTGGTTCAATTTTGGCCCGTTTCAAAAGTTGATCGATTTACTTGTGGTTTTCATTGAAACCCGTAAAGCTACAAGCTAAGGAACCGGATGGCTGGGAGCCACCCAGAAAAGTTCAGCCCAACTAACTCCGTTGGATCCACAATCGAGTTTTTGTATTACACCCTGGGACTACACTGAGAAATGACCCAGAATGGTTCAATTTTTTTCACACGGGCTTTATCCGGACATGTGCCTTTCCTGGGGTCAATACCCAGGTGTATTCCCAGGTAATACCAAAACCCTTAGCCACACCCCTTAAAACTCCAAGCCCTGGGGAAGTGAATCTTTTACAGACATATAGCCCATGTTACCCCCAAAAAGTTGAAAAGTTGTGTTTTTCAGAGGTAAGCTTAGACCCAACCCACTTCCTCGTGATCCCCCCGCCGGAAGCCGGAAGCCGAGTGCCTCAATCCAGAAGTGGAGGCAGCCGAAGGCCTGGCTTGATGGCTTCGTGAGATTTCTCATCTTCGCCGCGGCTTCTTTTGAGCTCCTACACCCCCGGATCACCTCCAAATAAATCGATTCCTTCAAACACGGAAAGGGAACATGTGCAAAAGGGTTGAATTTCAGCAAATGGAAGCTTACCCCCTACTCCAAATACCATCGTTATTTTCAGTTGGTTAATTTATACCTATGGTGAACCAGGGTAAGTGGCACTCAGGTTAGTTGGTTGATAGTACTCCTGCAACCCACAGCTTGTTGTTTCAATTGGTGTTTTGGGCAAACCGGTTTCGGTCTTCCACGGCAAATACAGATCCCTTTCTTAGTACAGGGTCGAGATCATAGCCTGAAAAGAGCGGCGTATGGCAGTAGGGGGAACATGTGGGCAGTAGTCGTTTTTGAGGGGCGGTATCAAAGCAAGACGCTCATGTTGAAAAACCTGGGCCCGCAAAAACTACCATGAACAAATCATGGAAAACGTCCACCAGGTCATTTTTTTGTGGTTGGCAACCCATGTTTCTGGGCAAGGGCCCAGGAACGGACCCTATTGTCTAAACCACCACACAATTCCCTTCAAATGTTCAAATGGGTGTGTCTGTTTTGGCGGGTACCCCCAAAGTCAACTCCAAAAAGCAACCTGCAAGCCCAGCACAGTCAAAGCCCCAAGGCCTCACAAGTCCACCCCCACAAAGTCGCACTTCGTTCCAGTCAACGGTTGGCTCGGCGACCCTCGTGTAAAAACCGTCTCGCTCGCTCCTGGAAGTCCACATCTGCGGAGTCCACCCGTTTGCCCACCTTCTCCCGAAGCATCGCCTCACATCTTGTGTTGCCATGTGTCGCACCGGGAAAAGATGAAGCCTCCCCCTACTCAAAATACCCGTTTTTTTTTCAGTTGGAATTTGTGGGAAAACCGATCGGTTTTCCATGGCAAATACCTCCTTTTTTAGTAGAGGGTCGACATGATACCCTGAAAAAAGAGGGGGCATGTGTCCCAAGAGGGGATGCCTCAAACTGAAAAGGGGCCTGAAAGTGGTGTCCGTTGCTATACTGTAAATGCATTTCCACCCCCCCCCCCCGAAAGCTCCAAATACCAAATGTGTCTTTTTCAGTCTGTGTTGTTTGAAAAACCGATCGGTTTTGCACAAGAAATACCAAATATTTCTCTATTCGGGGGTTGACATGATACCTAGGTCCTCCAGTAGAGAGGTTAGAATAAGGGTACCTTTTTTCTGTAATCTATTTTAGTAGGGGAACCCTCCCCCAAAAAAGGGTAAAAGGGTAAAACTGGGGGACCCAGTACACTAAAAAATACAGTTGCCCCCATGTTAAATCAACCTCCGTTTATTAATAGGGGGTGGGGAATCATCGCCTCTGGAGGGGAACACCCCATACTAATCAGCTGGTTTGATTTAATATTCTGGGGACAACTTACTGCCAAATGGCTGCATGGGGAAATCCCCTTTGCACCACTTGGAAGTTATGGTTGATAACATCAATGACTTGTACTTAAAGGGGAGTCGAATCATTTCAAGTTTAGCTATGAGGATCAAAAGGCCAGATTCCCACACCTAACCTGCACACAAACCCGCCTTGTTTAAGGGAGTTGTTTTTTTCCAACCCGGTTTTCCGGGCAGAATACCTCTTCCGTTTTAGTACAGGGCTGACATGAACAAAACAAGCATGTTTGGAGTAGGTATGGGTTGACTCCATGTTCAAACACCCATCGTTCTAGCGGTACCTTCCCCATTCCTTCCAGGGATCCTTCTTTTCAGGAAACCATCAAAAACCCAGGGCAAACCGCCGGGTTTTGAAAAGAACGATGCTTGAAAAGAATGGAAAAGGAATCAACCCCTAGAATCGTTCTCTCTAGAAGCTACTTTCCTGGGGCTCTGGGTCCGGCTGCTGGTTACCATCCACCTCCCTGGTCCAGGTATGTGAATGGCGTCCCCTGGGGAAAAAACGCACCAAAAGCACATATGTCCAGAAATTCCCTGTGTGTGTGGCTCGTCCCCCAGAAAAGAAAACAACAAAAAACAAAAACAAAAAACAACAACAGGTGTCCAGTGCTAGCTTCCCTTTAAACCATAACCGGCCTGAGTCCATACCCCCACCCAAGATCTCCAAGGCCGGCCTTCTGCAATATGAATCGCTGGTCCTGCGATTCGCGGCGCAGAAACGAAGCGAAGCCCAGTACACCGCCAGCCGGCGAGGACCACACGATGCATTGATGCCCCGGGAGACCTGTGGTCGAAATGTTCCGGACGAATTCACCGATTCACCCCTACTCAGAATATGTTTCAGGGTATTTTTGGGAAAACCTTCTTTTTTAGTAGAGGATCAACATGATACCCTGACAAAAGAGGTATTTGGAGTTGGGGGTACCCCAAATACCCGCTACTCCCAAAACATGATTTTCCACTACACAAATGGGACATAAGTTGCCCACGGTATTCTTTGGGGCCAGGAATATTTTTCATCAACACCGTCGCCCATTTGTTCAGCCATGATCCGTCAAGCCTGTACTCCAAAAAGGGATCCGTCGTACCATGAAAAAAAGGGGGCTTTCGGACGAAACAACCAGACGAAATGAAGGTGGGTACCAAAACCTGCGGTTTGCCCCTCCGATCGTTTAATTTTGAGCCACACCCAAATGAGTATTTGGAGTAAAATGGGTGCCGTTTCCTTGTGACTTCCCATGCTTTGGGGACTCTGCACGAGACACCTTCAAACGAAACCTCCGTGCTTTGCTTCAAGAAACCGTTGGGGGCCTTGACACAAAACGTGGTCGCTTGGAGTTTGCGGTTTGGGGATAGGAACCCCTGGTTCCCGAGGGATTTTGGTGTTGCTCCAAGATTTACGTTTCAAACATTTCTGGGATTGTTGTCCGGTTCAGTGAGTGAGGTTCAGGCTTAATCATGCTTGGGGTGGGCTTGGGATGGGCCTTGCTTCTGGGTTGGCTTGGAGTAGATTTTCGGTTGGTTTAGGGTGAGGCTAGGGTGGGTGTTGAATGAGGTGTAGGGTGAGTTTGACGCGAAAAGACTGCTTGCCTCCTGACTTGGTTCATTATTATAAGTCAAGGGCGGTCATGCGAGCCGGAAATACTATGGATGAAGGGACGGGTGGTATGCCCGTGGGTTTGCTTGAGCACCTTGGTGGCACCGTTTTGGAAAACCCCCTGCGATTGACCCAAATGTGGTGCTGCAAAAATCCGGTCACAAGGGCAGAAGTGTGCTGTCCCCTTTTTGTTGAGGTTCGTTCCATTCCATCGTGGGATTAAACCTGGTACTAAAATGATCTGCCCAAAACCATGTAAAGCACTAGAACGCTGGATATCCGCACCTAATTACTATACCTAACTTAGCCTGGATTTATCCGGGCTTGGAGCCAGTGGCTCCTGTTCCTGCTGGAAAAACAAAAGGGTCCGCAAGTTTGTACATTCAAGGGGATGGTCTATGTGCAACCCTCAAATTACCCTTAAAAATAGGTTATTCCCCCAAAGTTTTGAGGTGAATTCCCTTATGGGCGGTAGCTTGGTCCAGGTATCTGATGCCACAAGCCTATGCAAAACCTGAAAGGGTTAACACATGACCATGGATTCCCGAGGACCGTCATGGCCGAATCATGGCCTGTCATGGCCGAATCATGGCCTGTCATGGCCTGTCATGGCGGTTGTCCCGAAGCAATTGCTACCTATCTGGGCCCATCTGGGGCACGCTGAGCATACGATTTGCAAAACTTATGCTTCATACTTAGTCTAACAGACACATATATGTGTTTGGAGAAAACCACATACATATGCTTTGTGTGGCTCGGAAATCGGCCCGCCATGGCGGCTGGCGGGTCCTCCGAGATCATGCGGTTGAAGCGGTCCAGGCCCACCTGGGGTCTCTCTACACTCCGGTTTGGGAGGTTCAATTTAATGGGTGGGCCCTGTGGTGGACATCCCCCCTACTCAAAATACCCGCCTTTTTCAGGGTAGTGTTGGGAAAACCTGGTTTTCCATAGTAAATACCTCCTTTTGTAGTGTGGGGTCGACATGATACCCTGAAAACAGCGGGTATTTGGAGTAGGGGGTCATTGAGGTGGGGATTCATGTCCAACCAACCACTTGAGGTGGTTTAGCCAATTCAGAATGTCAGGGGGCAGCTTTTAGGGTTGTGGTTTAAATGGCCATGCGTCAAAAGGCCATACCCCAAGTGAACGACCTGAAATCGGAGTCGCGTCTCATATCACACGAGAATGGGGAAATCCATGATGCACGACCTTCTTGCTCGTGACAAGCCTTTGGGTGACTGCTTGAATGGGTTCTAACTGATGCCCCTTTTGGTCCAAATACCCGCTTTATTCAGTTGGTATTTTGCGGACAACCTGTTTTTCCAGGGTAAACACCTGCTTCTGTAGCAGAGGTTCGACATGATACCCTTAAAAAAAGGCGGGTATTGGGCGTAGGGTGTGTGTGTTCCTTTTGGATGCTACGGCGGTGCAATTCCGAATGTTTTTTACCCGTCGACTCGCGACCGGCCGAGCTTCAGGGAAAACCGTCACGAAAGAATCATCGAGGTACAAATACCTGATGACCTGCCCCGTCACCTCCAAATACCCGGCATTTTCTCAGGGTAGCATGTCGATCCTCTACGAAAAAAGGATGTATTTACCGTGGAAAACCGATCAGTTCTCCCAAACATACCAACTGGAAAAAGAAGCTTTGGTATTTTGAGTCGGGGGTACTATATTTAGAAAAACCGTGGGTCGCACAATACCTACTGTTGGTCAGGGTTCACATGATACCCGAACACAAAGTCGGTGCAGGACTAGGCATGCGGACGGGGAATTCACGGGGAATTCCCCTCACGTCCAGTAAGAGTCTGGGGGTACCTGTCCCATTCTTTCCAGGGATCCTTCTTTTCAGGAAACCATCAAAAACTCAGGGAAACCGCCTTTTTGAAAAGAACGATGGTTGAAAAGAAGGGGGAGTCAACCCCTAGAAAGAACTCAAACCTTCTCACGCAAAACCAATCAAAAAGGGGATTCTCCCCCCCCAACAAAAACAAATTTGTTTCCCACAAACGATGGGACATGAACCATGGGTTGGCGCGAGAAACGGGCCTCGGCATAGCTCGTTTTGCCCTTCCGCCCGAATCGGTAAGCCCGTTTTGCCATACAATTGAAGCAGAGTGTTTCTGGAACCTCAAGAGATCTTCACCTCATGAGAACAAAGGCTTCCTGAGAGAACAACCATGACCATCCCTAAAGAAAGCTGAAAAAAACGGTACTTGTGTACCTGCTTGCATTGAGAGGCTTGGCTTGTGCGAAAGCTCTGCACGTGAAGCACCAGGAACAGAAGCACAAGGGTTCGGTTCCGGTGTGTGTGTGTGTGTGGGTGTCGGCTCTTGGGTTGAGGAGAAACCACCAGCCTGCGGTGATCAGTCATACGTGATTTCGTAGGGGAGGATGGGATACTTGGTGCAGCCAGCTGGAAGTAGCAAAGAGTAGCTGGAAGTTCGACTTCTTTCGAGAATGAATCTCATCAGACCAGAAGTCACAAATCATTTTGTCCCTGATGTGAGTCTTCTATTTGGAAGGCCCCGTTTGGACAATTTCCTTTGAAAAACAACAGGGGAAAATACTCCCTACTCCAAATACCATCTTTTTTTCGGTTGGTATCATGTCGACCCTCTACTCAAAAAGCGATCGGTATGTACCAGGGAAACCGAAGCCGGCTTTCCCAAAAAATAGCAACTGAAGAAAGCGGGTAGTGAAGCAATTGGGGGCTGAGCTCATCAGTTGTCAATTAACATCTCTACTCTTGGTATGCTAGCAAAAAGCTGACTGTTTGTTGCAGACCCCCAGTAAAAATGAACAGAACCAAAAAACTAAAAAACCAAAAAACATGCCAAGAACAGTGAAGTTAAACAACAACTGCACATCAGGTTGTTACGCCGGGTTTGTGGTCCAAATCCTGATGTGAGTACTGATCAGTTGCCCCATGTTGCCCCCCCTGCCACCACTTAGCGACTCCAGAAAACCCAAGCTCCCCCCGAAACCACACGGTACCGATTTGATTGAGTTGGTATGACAGGGAATGATGTTAACTTACTCAAAAACAAGAAGGCAGAACACTGTGGCAGTGCATTGTTTGCCATACCTTGATTTGTTTGTGGCACTTGTGCATGCACGTCTGTATTTGCTGTTTCACTCGCCTTATGCTGAGCTCTTGTTGAATGACATTTCATAAATATTAATTCATTTGTAAAGAAGACTTCATTGGAAATAAACACCTGTGTATGTGTCTAGTTAAAATATCATACTTACTATGTAAGTTCTAATTGTAGGTGTCGCTTATGATTGGATGATTCCCGTGTGGAATGCTATTCAAATTCAGATAGAGATTGTGCTAAGATTAGAAAAACAATTAAGTTGGAAAGGACATCCTGTGTGAAAATCAAATTGAAACGGACCAAATATTGTTTAAACACTAGTAACACAACTGGAACTTGTGCTTGGATTCTGCCCTCATTACGTGTTATTCACATTCAGTTAGATATTTGATTGATATTGAAAACAGAACAGAACAATTTGATAAGGAGATGATTTAGAGGTCCCAATATCGCGCTTTGACCAAGCCCTCATCGCTACCATGGCCAGAACACGCTGTAAAGCACAGTGTGTTGTAGCGGCTCGTGCACCAAAATCACATCTTTGCCACCGGCCGCTCTCTAAATTCAATTAGAATGTCTAGCCTGTTCGAAAACCTGGGGGCCTAATCACAATCTGCAAGCCGCTTAATCTAATCCGTAAACCGCACAATCCGTAATCTGCAAATCATTGGGGATTAGGTTTTGAACAAGCTTTTTCAAAGAGAGTTTACATGGGCCTCACGAAGGAAGCACGTATTTTGAATCCAAGGGGAATTCCCATCTTAAAATTGAAAATGATATAGAAATTATTGCCAACTAGAACCTTGTAATTCAATTAGAGTTAAACTAGAACATGGTAAGGACATGATGCAATCATAATTTGTATTTAACCATTCAACAAGAACACCTCCATTTCACATTAGACACACAGCATGTCCTTTCCAATGCATACACACAATTTATTCAAGCAGAGTTTAACCCGACATTTCATTCTAAACTTGACTTTTGAGTAGGAGTCCCTTTCCATTAAGAAAAAGCACATCCGCAGGATCAGCCCTGCCGAACACCAAGCACCAAAACAACCTCGAGAACACCAACGAAAGACTTACCCTCCCTCCAACAATCATGCAAGCTGACAGGAGGGTTTTGGAAGACTATTTTCCTTTTGGGCAACCCCTTTGTCCACTTCAACGATTGTTGGACAAAGGGTAAAAACCACGAACAAAAAAGCACACACACACACACACACAAAAACAACAACGCAGACAAGTCTTTGGGGGGGGGGGAAAGCAATCACCGCATGTCTTGCTTTTTTGGTGGGTCCCCAGGTTTTTGTCCATCGAAGCCGGGCGTTGAGGCTCCGGCCGAGAGCCTTGTAGAGTCCTGATGGTTCGGATTGGGGGGGTTCTGAGGGTTCCGAGGTTTGGTTCTGTGGGGCTCAGCTCTTTGAGGTCTTTGAGAAACCAGGAATTCAAGCAACAAACATACCCTCAACAAAAGATTTGGGGGTTGCGGGAGAAGCTTCGACCGCAAAAAAACACTATTCTACAACCATGAAGTCTATGCACCAATCACTAACCACAAGCACCAAACGAAAGGGGAATGTTAACTAGGTCCTCCAGTAGAGAGGTTAGACTAAGGCTACCAACTTTTTTTCTGTAGTCTATCTTAGTAGGGGAACCCTCCGCCCTACTAAAGGGTAAAGGGGCACTACTGGGGGACCTAGTTGAGTTCTTTGAGGGTGGTACCTTATCAAAGCAGAGTGCTGTTCTGAGTTCTTTGATGCACGACCGGCTCTTCCCCGCGCGTGAGGGCTGGGTCCGAAGTTCTAAGCGCTCGAGTGGATTTGTCCCGAACTTCAAGGGTAGAAATGGTGGCCCAAACCTGAAGAAACTACTCGTGAAAGCAAGCGAACTTAAGTGCACCTTACGAAACTAGGTCATCCAGTAGAGAGGTTTGAATAAGGGTACCTTTTTTTCTGTAGTCTATTTTAGTAGGGGAACCCTCCCCCCAAAAAGGGTTTAAAAGCGCACTACTGGGGAACCTAGCAAAGTATAGTTCTGTTTTGAGTTCTTAGATAATATGATATGACTTCTTGGAGTTCTTTCAGTACCTGGATCCCCAGCCAGGCCTATATTTTCCAGCGAGGTGTGCCAAATTCTGGGCTACTAGTGGGTAAAGTGGCTGGAAAACAGTGGCTACTTGAGGGTCCAGGTAAGTGTCGTTTCGAGATATCTTTCTTTTGTTGGGGGGGGGGGATCTTTTTTTCTGGGTGTGGGGAAGGAGGAGAAGGGGAGTGGGGGGCTGATCAAAAAGACCGCTGCACATGGGGTGACCATTGGTTTTGGAAACCACCAAAAAAGATAAGACTTTCACCACCACATGGGAAAAGTTGCCCATGGCCATTTTGGGGCCAGGAATATTCAGCAGCCCGCATGTGTGTTTCTTTTCTTTCTGTTTATTTGGGGGCGGGAAGCCAACAGCAAGACCTTGAATTCCATTTCACTTTTCTGACACCAAACTCTGCTTGGCAAAACATCTCCCCTTTCCGAGACCAGCCATAAAATACTGTACAAATACTCTGTCTTTGACCAATTTCCCATCCAAAAGGCACGCCCCCGCTTCAAACACCCCCTACTCAAAATACCTGTTTTTTTCAGGGTACTTTTTGGGAAAACCTGGTTTTCCATGGTAAATACCTTCTTGTTTAGTAGAGGGTCGACATGATACCCTGAAAAAAGAGGGTATTTGGAGTAGGGGGCACTAAAAAACAAGTGCTCCTGGCTGCGCATGGCAGCGTCCACTTCGCGCCAGGCCTGGCGAAAAACACAAATACAAAAGTCTGCTTCGCACTTTGGCAGAGCGAAGGGAGGCTTTTTGTGTTTTGAGCGGTTGGCTTCGCCAAGGAGCCAAGGGGTGGTGGGCTCACATTGTTTTTTAATTAAATGGGCCGCGTCTGCAAACCAGTGGTTCCCGTGAAGAAAGGACGTGCATCTCTTCGTGTCTGGTCTTCTTTGAACAATCCCTTAAAGGTGGGATGCGATCCACAAAGCTGGGGTGCTGTAGATACCCCAGCAAAAAGTTGTTGTTGCTGGTTGCAAGGAAATATGAGGGGAATCCAAAAAGTAAAAGTCTAAAGATCCAACCCAATGGCAGTAGAGAAAATGATGAGATGTTATCCAAAATGAAAGCACCAACGTGTCTTGCAGGTGCGAGAGGCAGGAAATGAGACTCCCGTAACCTCCAAATACCACAGGTTGTTTGCAGGCGATCATGTCAGCCCTTTCCCAGCATTTACCATGGGAAACAAGTGTGCTCAAATACCAACCAAAAACGAGACAAAAAGGGTATTTGGTGCTAAGGGGTAAGGAACCCTGGCTCTCCAATCTGGATTTTGCCTAACATCTGCCCCCGACACCCAAAACCCGTTTGGTTTGGGCATGATGCCGACTTACCAAAAAAAAACGGTTGGCATTTACCTTGGAAAAACCCGGTTTTCCCAACAAATACCCTGGCGAAAGGGGGTATTTGGAGTAGGGGGTACCGCTCTTTTGGGGTATTTGTTTGGAAATCTGGTTTCCATGATGTGGGTATGGGTCAAAATTAGACACCAGGGCACCACAGGTTTTAGTCCTTGCTTCCATTTACAAGGGTTCCCATTCGGGGCACATATTGACCCACAGCCATGTGCTTTTCTAAGTAAAGGGTTGACATCATACCCTGGAAAACGTGGCTATCGTGTCTAGGCGAGGGGCGTTGAAGACGCGGATCAAACCCGGTCGGCACACATGGCCGCATCCACTTTTTAAACGACGCCAGTTGATGGATCGATCCTTCTCACGGATCGCTTGTCGCACACTGAACATACCCCCTACACCCAATACCCGGCCTTTTTTAGAGTTGGTATGAGGTCGGCCCTCTACTATAAAAGGAGGTATTCACCATGGAAACCCAGGTTGTTAAAAAATACCAACTAGAAAAAGTGGGTGTCTGGAGTAGGGGGTATTCCCCCGTAACCTCCAAACACCCGACAATTTCCAGGGTATCATCTCCACCCTCTAAAGAGGTATTTAGCATGGAAAGCCGATCGGCTTGTCCAAAATAAGCTGACAGCAACAGGCATTTGAGTCACTTGCTCAAAACCTGGTACAAAAATGGTCGACCCAGAACCATGCTTCAAGAACTAAGAAGGCGGATATTTCCGCAGCTATTTATGGCTTGGTCCCTTGCTAACCGGATCACTCACCCGAATCGGTTTTGATTTTGGCTCATTTGGAGGTTGGAAAGGTGGCCTCAAGGAAGGGACAGACATCACTTACCCCTTGTCCCGGGCCCCTTTTGGCCCAATTTGGACCAAGCTTTTGAGGCCCAATGTTAGGTTGCAACCTTTGCTTATCTCGCAACCCCTGGTAGGGTAGCCAAAAACTGTCTTTCTTTTGCAGCCCCACTAATTAAAGACGAACAGAACCGAGCAAAAATGAACACCTAAAAACATGGGCCTTTGGCTAGTATTCCTATTTTGGGCTGGTGTCAGAAGGACACTAAACGCTGTCCGGTAATTGCGCTTGTCAAATTACAGTAAAAGTGCTGCGCAAGTACGTGGTCAACTCATGCTACAAAACAAGTTTTTTCCCATGGCTTTTGCTGGCCGAAGCATCCATGAGAAAGCAGAACAGATCACTCGGTGTCCGTGGTGCGAAACTAAAAGGATAGCCAAGTTGCATGGAGGTTCCCACATTCTCAAACATACCCATCAAGCGCACCTTGAACTGAACGAGGAGTCAAGAAAAGTCGCAATTTTCGCTGACCATTGTGGGCTCCATCCAGATCTCAGCAGGAAACCAAATGCATGGATTGTGAGGTGAATACATGGATTTGTGCGTCTAAATGAAAACAAAGCCAAGCACAACGCGAACAAGGTTCTTGCTTCGCAGTTTGCTCTATTATCATCGCAGGGCCGAAAATGATTCGTCTCCCCTTTGACACAAAATCCCGCATGCATCTCGATCAACATTATGGCATTTTTCCAAAACGCTTAAATCAAAACAGAATCTTGGTCGCTGTTGAGCCCTCTGCAAAAAAGGCTTTTAACTTGTGGGGGCATCTGGTTGCACGCGTTCCGTTTCTTTACCCCGCTTGGGTTGCACAAGCCAAGCCGGGACAACTAACATGCCCGAAAAAGTCATGACATGCATCTTACCTCACAGCGTTGGATTTTCCTTGCTGCAACCACTCTCCTGAATTGTACACATACCCCCTACACCCAATACCGACTTTTTTCAGGGTATCATGTCGACCCTCTACTAAAAGAGGGATCGGTAATTACCATGGAAAAACAGCATTCTCAAAAATACCACCTGAAAAAAGCGTTGGTGTATAGGGGGTATATGCATATGGTCGGCTTTGGGCAAGCGAGAACAAGGACGCTATTTACCCTGAAAAATCCGCTCGAGCGGTTTTCCGCAAGTATTAGGAGTAATAGGATGGATGCCAGGTTTAGTTGAGATTCATGCGAGTCATCTATGAAAATTGGAGGGGGACACCCCGAAACTGTAGGATGGGTGAAACATTCTAAACGGTCGGCGGCCGGGCCTAGAGAGAACCGAGTTATTTAACTGATGACTATTGAGAACCAAGTTGCTGGTTCGTGGGCGAAACACACAATAAATCGGGAAAAAAAACTCTGGGGAACAACTTTGTGAACAACTCTGGTTTTGGTGAGTGGGCAAAAACTAACATAGGTTCTCCCCAAACTGCTACAGATCCAAAAAGGCGCCTTCAAGCTTCTCAGCGTGAAAATGCCGGGCAGCTACGGCCGGCTTGCGATCAGGAGACTCCTCTCCCAGGTCTTCTAGTTACAATGCAAAAAGCTGGTTACCTACTATAGTTGTGTTGAAGTTCATCTACTTACTCAGTAACCTGCTTCTTGAAACTTTTCAGTTCTGTCTTCCTTGCATGCCCGGTGGCCACGAGAAAACAACACACCATTTGTTGAAGCACCACAAAGCAAAGGTCGAAGATGGTTTCCACTACCCAAACCACTACCCCCCAAAGGTTTAACGGGTTGCACAGCCCTTATGTAAAGGGTATATATACCCCGGACGTAGGGGAAGCCATGCTAGACAGGGGGAATTGCTCAACTGGGAATCACTACTTGAGTCCCTGGTCTGCACAAGCCGGGGCGTCCGGAAGAAAATCGGCGCGCCCAAAAACTTGGGATCGAGGCGAGAGTGGCATGTGATAGGGGTTGAAGCACTAATTACGATCATCTCACTTGCCCGAAGGACCCAGGACTAAAAGGTAAAAGGTGATGACCTTTTGGGGCCATGACGAACAAAATGCTTGCCAAAAGGGGAACATTTCAAAACGTCAGATCGATCGGTCGATTCGCTTTGGTTGAAACTGATGGTTGGGTTGGGTTGGTTGGGTTGGCTTGCTTGGGTTTTTTGGGTTGGGTTGGGTTGGGTTGGGTTGGGTTGGGTTGGGTTGGGTTGGTTGGGTTGGGTTGGGTTGGTTGGTTGGTTTGAGTTGGGTTGGGTTGGGTTGGGCGGTTGGGTGGGTTGCTTGCGTTGGGTTGGGTTGGGTAGGGTTGTTAGTTGGGTTGTTGGCTGGTTGGCTGGCTGGTTGGCTGGCTGGCTGGCTGGCTGGCTGGCTGGCTGGCTGGCTGGTTGGCTGTTTGGTTGGTTGGTTGGTTGGCTGGATGGCTGGTGGCTGGCTTGCTTGTTGGCTTGCTGGTTGGTTGGTTGGTTGGTTGGTGGGTGAGTGGGTGGGTGGGTGGGTGGGTGGGTGGGTGGGTGGGTTGGTTTGGGTGGGTGGGTGGGTTGGTTGGTTGCTGGCTTTCTTGGTTGCTTGGTTGCTTGGTTGGTTGGTGGCTTGCTTGGTTGGTTGGTTGGTTGGTTGCTTGGTTGGTTGGTTAGTGGGTCGGTCGGTTGGTCGGTTGGTTGGTTGGTTAATTGGTTGGCTTGGTTGACGCGTTGCATGGGTCCTTGGTTTTTGTTGGCTTTCTTTGTTGATTCCTTGGCTTTGTTGGCATGCCGTTTTTCGTTCTTGGCACTGTTTCTCCCTTAACCAAGTTGACAAATGGAAGACCCGACACCTCCCTTAGACACCCCGGAGGTGGTTGGGGGTCTCAACCCAGGTTGTTTGAAGGCCCTAAATCAATCGAATTGGAGCCTCTGGGTAAACAAGTTGACAAACTGAAGACATCCAACTAAGGAAATCTGGGTGTTGCCGTCACACAAGACAAGGAGAGCCCAAGCCAACATCCTCAGAGTTTTCGTAGGTCCCTGGCCTAAGATTCAAAGTTGAAACCCCACATCTCCGTGTTGGAGTCTGTGTCGCAAACCTCTTCTTCATATTTCCAGTAGTGATGAATTCCTTTTAACACCAACAAGGGATTTAACAAAAAAACATGTTAAGCAAATGGATGTATATAGGTTCTCTTGGGTTCGGACACGTCTCCAAAATGACGTCTGCAGCTGTCTGCAATGGCCAATTCGCCTTGGCGGTGCTTGCAAACTCGACTTCGAAAAACCTGACATCAGAAAACAAGCGAAGCAACATTTCAGGGTTTCTGAGTTGCGAGAAGGAGTTCGTCCACAGTAAGCAAAGGATTCAAACGGAGGTATTTCCCATTCAAAACCGATCGGTTTTCCCAAAAATACCAACTGAAAAAAGCGAGGGATATTTTGAGTAGGGGGCACCAACATACCAAAAATACCAACTGAAAAAAGCGACGGATATTTTAAGTAGGGGGCACCAACATACCAAAAATACCAACTGAAAAAGCAAGGGATATTGTGAGTAGGGGCACCAA